TCTGGATAATAATGTATCATACAAGCTAATAAGAGCTAACCCAGTGTGTGTTTCTACAGGGATTAGCGTTAGCCGAAAGGGGCTTACCTGCAGTAATAACCTGAAACAACTCCTTTTCGGTTGAAGACAAGTCTCCCTTCTTCGGAGCAGACATGTTGGTAATAATTAGATTGAAAATAGGCTATAATGGCACAGATAAAACGAGAAGCTCTTGATTAAATGTACGCTTTCTGTGGTTCTAGCAGTCGGCTGGGTCGGGCATGTAGGCTAGCTCAGGTTGAGCTGTCATCTGAAGTATACCACTGAGTGAGGGTTAACAGGGGTGTAGCAGTTCAAAACAAAATTAATACAGACATTTCTGTCCAGTAACTTGCAATTATAAATACAAATAAGTAATTTAAAAAGCGAAAAGATATACATGCAGGATATGTAACAGTTACTAACAGCGAGGATTACGAACTATAAACACAACCAAAACGTCCATTACCCCTATACTTTCACTCAAATAAACACTTCCATTAAATCTAGAAAATGCATTCAGAAATGTAAGTGCTTAAAGGTGGACCAGCTGAGACGTGACATCCGATCGTTCATATAACATATAATCAAGTTGCTTAATTAAAATACAAAATGAATGATATAGCCATTTATTACAGTTACTGAGAGAAAACTGTGCAATTAAATTACAGTAACTAATCAACATGTTAGTGAGTGGTGATTACAAAGGGGTTTCATTATTATTACTGCCACCAGTAGTACAAATGTATTCTCACAAACTATATCAAACGACATATATGCACTTCTTCAATATGTTATTTTGCACTGCAGTTTATACATCCTGCTTGGCCTGCTTTGCAATATCTAAACAGGGAGTAAATATGGTCCGACCAGTCTGATTGATTGATTGATTGAAAAGTTTATTAACAGCTTGTATATTGGGTACAGTACAGTACAGCTCAAAACATACAATTGTTAAGGGGATGCAGACCAGAGAAAGACTTTCGTCTTGTTTACATCAGGGTCCCCCATTTCCAATTCATCATATCATTTAAGACATATAAGACCTATTTGACATACAGATGGCTTATTTACAATTTACATACAGGTGGTTTTTTACATACAGATGGCTTATTTACAATTTTCATTTTAGATTTCGTTCTAATACATCCTAACCGGACATTTAAGACATACCAAGTCTACAGATATACAGTTAGTAACAGAGTCTAAAATGCGAGTATATACATAGATGGGGGGGGGGGAAGCTGTCCATTGTACGACAGGTTGAGATTTGTACCATTACCGGGGCCAGTTTTGCAATGCTTTCCCCCGAAGGTGCTCTTTAAGAGAGGTTTTGAAGGTAAGTATAGTTTTACTTTCCTTTACAGTTGTGGGAAGAGCGTTCCACCTTGATGTGGCATAATTGCGAAACGTGTATTCCCCTTTTTTTGTGCCAAATCTGGGTTTTACATGATTTGTGGAGCTCCCTCTGGTGTTATGATCATGGTATTCCTTGACCTTTGGGAAGAATTTTGACATGTACATGGGTACCATAGAGGTGTAGTGGATCTTGTAGACCAGGCCCATTGCAAGTAGCTGTACTCTGTCGTCTACTCTAAGCCATCCTAGGTTGTCAAAGTGGGCAGAGGTGAGGTGGGTTCTAGATGAAAGGTCAAGCAGTAGTCTGACCAGTTTATTTTGCGATGTTTGAAGTTTTATTTTTAGCGCCTTGGAGGTGCTATGGTACCATGACGTGCAAGCATAGTCATAGTACCCTTGAATGAGTGCTCCTGCCAGAGTTTTCAGGGTGTTTTTGTTTACCAGAGAGGAGATCCGGTATAGGAATCTAGTTCTTTGATTGACTTTTTTTATTACATTGGATGCCATTTTGTCACAGGAGAGGTTTGCCTCAAGAATAGATCCTAGGTATGTAATTTCCTTCTTACTTGTGACAATAATGTCACCCACTGCAACTGAGAAGTCGTCGGATTTGCTGAGATTATGTTTCGAACCGAAGAGAATGGACTCTGTTTTACCCAGGTGTAATGATAATTTATTATCGGCGAGCCAGGTGCAGATTCTGCCGAGCTCGGAGCTGAGGGTTTTTTCAACCTGCAATCTGCTCCTGTCAGAGACCAGCAGGGCTGAGTCGTCCGCGAACAGGAACAAGTTGCAGTCACATGCTGATGACATGTCATTTGCATAAATTAGGAACAGTAACGGACCTAATATGCTTCCTTGTGGAACACCACAGCTCACTGGGAGGGGGGGGGGACAGAGTACCGTTTACCTCCACCATCTGTTCTCTCCCCTCCAGGTAGGATTGCATCCAGCTCACCGATAGTTTATCAAAACCAATTGCTTTTAGCTTGTCAATCAGAATGGGGTGATTGACAGTGTCGAAAGCCTTTTGTAGGTCCAGCATCACCATGCCGCAGTATTTACCCTCGTCCACCTCTTGTTTGATGTGGTCGTTCAAATAAAGAAGGCATGTGTCAGTGGAGTGGGATGTTCTAAAGCCAGATTGAAATTCATAGATTAGTTTCTTTTCTGCGAGGTACTTTTCGACCTGTTCATATACTATTTTTTCCATGACTTTCGAGATGGAGGTAAGTATAGAAACAGGGCGGTAGTTGCCCGGGTCCAATTTGCTGCCCTTTTTGTGCAGGGGGGTTACTCTTGCAATTTTGAAGTCTTTGGGTACTTTTCCCTGTTTTATGGAGAGGTTAATTATGTGAGCTATGACTGGTGAGATGGCGGTTGCTGTGTCTCTGAGGAATTTGGAGGGGATATTGTCGTGGCCAGTGGCCTTGTTAGGTTTGAGGGCGCTCAGTTTAATGAGTACCTCTGCTGTTGTTACCCTTGCTAGACTGAAATCATCTTTGCGTACCCCTAGGTTTTTGTAGTAGGTCATGATGTGATCTACTCCAAAAAGCCCTGAGTGGGAGGGTAATTTATTTACAAGAGTTGTGGCTATGTTTGTGAAAAAAATGTTCAAGTACTTGGCCACATCCAGTTTGTCTGTGATGAGCCTGTTATCTGTCTTTATGTTTACGTTTGAAAATCTCGTTTTGAGTTTTTTACTGCAGCCAAGCTGGTTATTGAGTAATTTCCAAAGTTCACGGGGTTTATTTTTGTTTTCCTCAGTTTTGTCATTGATGAAATTCTTTTTGGCAGTTTTGATCATGGAGCTTACGTCATTTCTTAGTCTGTTTCTTTCAATTTTTAGTTCAGTCACGTGGGCCTGGAGTTCACTGCTCGTGCTTTTGGAAAGCATTGACTGACTTTTATGAAACTCAGAGCATTTTTTGTCTCTGGTTTTCATGGCGGTCAGTATGCCGGAGTGCATCCACGGCTCAGCGCGAAATTTTACCCTGGTTGTTCTTAGGGGGGCCAAATCATTGAGTATTGCAGAGAATTTGTTTTTGAAACCAAGCCATGTTTCTTCAACTTGTGTACCACTGAGCTCATCTGACCAGTCCAGGCTCTCCAGTTCTAGGTTAAAGGCCTCGCTAGAGTAGTTTTTGAGGTCTCTAGATATGACTGTTTTGTGACAGCCGGCCTTTTGTTTTAGCTTTTTGCGGGTACAGAATATCATATAATGATCACTTAAACCGCATGCTATAACCCCTTTACTGGAGATCCTGGACCTGTCAGAGATCAGAATGAGATCAATGGTAGTTTGTGTTGTTTCACATACCCGGGTGGGTTGGGTGATTAGCTGGCTGAAGCCGTGCAGATCACAAATCCTACTGAAGGACTTGAAGACGGACGTGTCTTTACGTTGCATATCCGTGTTCCAGTCTCCAATAATAATTGTCTCTACATCCCCCACATCAGCCAAACACCCATCTAATGTATCATAAAAGTCACTCTGTTCCGGTGGTCTATAGATTGTCCCGACTATTACAGATTTAGCATTGTCAAAAAGAATTTCAACCCACACAGATTCAATATTTTCATGATGCAGGTCAGTACGGTTTTTGAAATTGGTGTCTTTATGTATGTACATGCAGACACCACCTCCATTCACGTTCCTGTCCCTTCTCACTACAAGATAATCTTCGTCTCAGGGGTCTCTGAAGAAACTAATCCACATTTGAAGGCCCACGGCTACTTCCTGGATTATCTGGTCTTCCACCCTATCCCCACAATGGCCAGGTCAGTGTGAAGAGCTCTGCAGTAGTACCGTACCAATCAACAGTCCAAGACATCCATTTTTTTGTAAAACAAGGTAATCATAGCGTTTTGTTGAGTAATTTCAGTGTGCAAATGAGGGACTCACATGAACGACTCAACGTTAGCCCTACATTTGTAAGTTGTTTTATTGCCCCATTATTTTTTATTGTGGTAGCAGTAATTCACTGCAATTGCAAATGAAATACATAAAATACACGTTACTGATAATTACTTTTTTTGCACTATACCCATCATTCTATGCATACTTCTAGTAACTAGATATAACATATGTTGTGCCATGGTGTTTTGGTATTTAATTATAAGAAAGACAGCGAAGGCTAACAGTGCACTTATATTTAAGTATATAGTTTAGATCTGGGATATTGACGAGTATTTTATAAACTATCTAAGTACTGCTTCCAACTCTGGTCAAAAGACATGATCATGAAACAGCTTTTTCCTAAAGTTTGAAAGAAGGGCTCAAATTAAAACATTTTTTGCATTTTTCCTATATCATTCCCTTTTTTCTAAAAATGTTACTTTTATCGGTTTTGTAGATCTAACTCCCTCTTTCATCATCCATGCAAACACTGTTATCATAAGACACAGAAATGTAATTTGTATCATTTGTGATACCATTCAAATGTGCACACCTCCTCACTCTCACTCTCACTCTCTTTCTCCCTATCCTCAGGTTTACCTCACCCTCCCCTGCTGTCCATCTCCTCACCCTCACTGTGTGTGCTGTCAATAATTGATGATCCTTACTGACTCAAAGGGTAACAGGTCCCGGAGAAAATGTCTCACCCTTTTATTTATTTATTTACAAGTCTATCTTTATGTTCAGTCAGTCTGAAAATCCACATGCAGGAGGATCGATGTCAAGAAGCAGCTCGTCAGTTTTATAGTTTATGGCAGCTGCTACACCTGTGACCATGAGCGAGTTGCAGCTGAACGTCTGGCTGACAGCAGGACGGAGGGAGGAAAGGGAAGCTTAAATGAGCGAGAGGCAGGGGGCAGAGGAGGAGTGGCAGAATGATAGAGTGAATTAATTCAACCTTAGCCAGCCCTGATTGACTTGGTAGCAAACTGTCATGTGCAAACACTCACAGTGACACCAAAGCTATGGAGAGAGAAAAGAGGAATGACATGTCTTTCTCCAGAAAGAGAAGTTTCACTTTTGGAGCATATGGAGGGTGAGTAAAATATTCTTCGTCTCAAACTGTCATTTATTTAGCTGCATAAACTGAAAGATAGTAGACTGAATAGTTTAAGTAACAGTAATTATTTGATATTTGTTAGACAAAAAAAGTAACCCTGTCTATGTAAGATGTTCCATTTTCTTCTCCGAGTAGTTCTCACTTCCTTGTTTACAGTGTGGACAGATTCACATGTGGGGATGAGACGAGGTAAGGTTTTATTTTCCATCGTATTGAGGCTGTTTTCAACATTCAAGATGTATTGTATAAATTAAGAGCTGAATGAGAAGTGATGATTTGTAAATGAACCTGTTGCTGCAGACCTGAAACTGCAGAGGAAAACTTACTGGACTCTCCTGCCGGTGACAGAAAGCCTTTCCTCCCTGCCAGCAGCAACCAGAGGGTGATACCATCAAAATGTTCAGCATCCTATTTCAATTATATACATTTATATGTTCTAAAATACGGCATTTCTGACAAGTTTCCATTTGAATCTGAACAATTTGTCATGTTCCTCTTCCTCCCCACATTTCTCCTTCCCTTTCTCTCCGTCTGCATTTGTGTGTGACGTCTGCTGCCTGTTGTTCATATCAGGACACAGAGCTGTTTGAAATCATTGAAAAGCTGCAGGTGAGTTGCATCACCATTGATCCTGTGCAGTGTTCAGTGGCGTCTGAGCAAGAGAAGTTTCTTATCATCTTATCAATACTCCCCCCGTCCATCAGGGCAGCAGGATCGATGAGCAGCGGTGTGAATTCCCTCTTCCTCTGAAGGTGAGTCTTCAACCTGAGAATAGAAAAGGCACAGAGTGGTCTCCCTATACGGGTGTGATCCCGTGTGTGTTGACACTGACCTTTCTATGAACGCCATGACATTTGTTTTCCCTAACAACAGAAACGACAGACCCTCATCATCATCAGGTGCTCCTTTGTGTCTATTTTAGTCTCAGCTTCTCACGATAGGTGCAGACCTGCCGCTCATCCTCCCTCCGAAGCTAGGGGGCTACTGGGTAGACCCCCCACTGCAGAGGCTTGTAGATGTGAGTCCCACCTCCTCCCACTATGGCTTCGTCCCTGAGTGCTACGACATCATGGAGAGAGATCGGGAGGCTAAAATCTACCACAAGTTCTTCCGCTCACGAGTAAGCTATCTAAAGCATCTAGGAAAGTGTTATCATTCCTGAAATCATGTTTTCTCATGTTTCCCCCCCCCCCCCTTAGTACCATCACTCATTCACAGCAGTGGATCCTGCTTTGGGGCCTCTGGTTCTCTCTGTGTGTTTGGAGGAAGAGGAGAGCAAGCTGCGGGTGATACTCAGGTTGACATCTTCAGCCATTTTGGCCAAATACGATTTGTGTATGATGAAAGCTGCAATACAATAACAACATATGTGTATTAGGATATATAAAATTGCTAAAACTATCACTATATCCTGAGGGCAGTACATGAGACAGATAACCGGTAAAAAAATAACTTGTTCCTCTCTTTACCCTCAGTGCTTCTAATGCACTTCTAATGCACAACACTGATGGGGGTAGAGAAAGGATCTTTTTCAGATTATCAGATTTTTTCACAGATGTCTGCCACATGCACTGTTCTCAGGATATAGTAATAGTTCCAGCAAATATGTCCCAAATATGTATTTTATAAAAGTGACCTACATATGCTTTAAAGTCCCTCTCCACTTGATACTTTACATCATTGTTTGTGCTTCACTGCGCAGAATAATGTGTGAGCAAAGTCTTTGAATCTTTATTTGAATTTATTTAAATCTTTTAACTGTTCATTCCAAGCAATCGAACATTTTAGGCAAAAACAGAGATTGTGTTTCTTGTCTCACAGAATGAAGGAGTGCTCTCTGCATGGAGCTTTCTCTGTCTCTCTTTTCCCCAACATCCCATCTGCTGTTGAATTAGCAAAGGTATTAAACTTATTGTTGGAAGGTTGAAGTATTTATATTAAGCCGAGTACAGAAGTATTTTAAGTCTATAAAATACATTGTATTCTGTCTAGATGCTCTGTGACAGAGTGACTGTCTCAAAGTTTGAAGTTGTCAGCTACCTCAAGGTAATACTCTAATACTCGGAATAACTTCAATAAAATGACCAGTTATTTTAACTCCTTTTAAAGCTCTTCTCCCTCCCACTCATCCCTCAGGCTCCAGAACTCATAACTACATTTGATGAACACAGAGTGTCTCCTAATTTCAAGTTTGGGGTTTTGTACCAAAGGGACAGGCAGGTAAGAAATTGTGCAGAAAAATCCTGCATTCATTAAAATAACAAATAAAATATTGCATAAATCGTAACCGACCATTTCGAAAAACATCCATCTCTCTGTAGTTCAATGAGGAGGACATCCTCAGTAACAATGAGGAAAGTGAAGAGTTTAAAGAGCTCCTTTCTATTTTGGGAGAGACCATTCAACTGCAAGGCTTCACCAGGTAAAGTGTAGCTTGTTGATGTTGTCAAGCCGCATGAATGACAAGATTCAAGATTAAAGGCTTTATTGTCATGTGCACATTAGCTACAGTGTAGATATGGCAATGAAAAACTTAAGTCACAGACACATGTAAGGAATAATATCACATGATTTATACTCCTCACTATCCTTAGGTTCAGGGGAGGATTGGATGTGTGTCATGGTCAGACAGGAAGTGAGGCCATCTTCACTTCCTTTCATGGGAGAGAAATCATGTTCCATGTCGCAACTAAACTGCCTTTCACAGACGGTGACCCGCAGCAGGTCGGTTATCACCCTGATGATTCACAGGGCAGTTTCTGAGGTTATTTTGGGACTCGTGCAAAAACAATTACACATTATCTTTCTTTCTACACAGTTACAAAGAAAAAGGCACATTGGTAACGACATTGTAGCTTTGGTCTACCAGGAAGGCCAGTCCCCTTTTCTATCTGACATTATCAAGTCTCACTTTCTACACTGTTTCCTGGTGGTCCGGAGGATAAAGAGGACGGAGGATACGAGTGAAACTGCGTACGAGGTGGGTGAAAAACAAACCTAAGTTAAATGTATCATCCCTCTAATAAGTTAATTGATGGGAACATTGTTTCCTAATATTATAAGGCACACTGGGCCTGAGCAATGCTGGAAATTGATTTAAAATCTAACAATCTAACATGTAAGCTTATATTTGTCTTTTTAACATAAACAATTAACCTTTTTTTAATCCTTCATCAATAATATATGACAATAAAAAAAAATCTTGTCACTGCTCTCCGGTTGACAAACACAATTATGTGCTAATGTTTTGTATTACTTTAATTAGTAGAAATGCACACTAATGCTGAGCTAGTATCAGTTAATTGCAGTCAAGTTGATATATAAGTCAAAATATTTTCCCTTCACAGGTGTCCGTCACAGCCAGAGAGGATGTTCCTCCGTTTGGTCCGGTGCTTCCGGATCCTCCCATCTTCACTGATGTAAGTAACAATAAAAACATCCGAAAAGCTGTTTTAATTTCTTCAATATTACTTCACAGCAGCCTTATCTTTTCCTTTGCTTTCACCTTATTCAGACTTTACAAACAGACACAAATCTTCCTCTGTCCTGTGTTTTTAGCGTGCCTTGCTGAGAGAATTCCTTCTGACGAAACTCATCAACGCAGAGATTTCATGCTATAAAGCGCAACAATTCAGCAGACTAGAGGTAGGCATTCAAAACATATTTTAATGTTTTACTTATGAATGGCCAAGCTCTGATTTCTCTCTGCAATGTGTGCTCTCCTGACCCTCTTCTCCTACAAAGCTCCGCACTCGCTCATTGCTGCTGGAGAGCCTGCATGCTGAACTCTGCACTCGTTCCCAGTGCATGATGGGGGATCCATCAATAGCGTCTCTCCCATCCTCAGAGGGTCCTCGGGTGGTGTCTGAGGGGAGTGGAGGATTCATTGAAAACTTCAAGGTTAATGTTGGCCTCTAATTTCAACAGTACTCTCCCATACTTGGCAATACTATTTTACATTTACAATTTTTCTTCTGTCATTAGAGAGCCATAAGAGTGCGGAGTCACTCTTTCGAGACCCTCGGGGTGCCCAGGAGGATTGGAGGTAGTGCATCACAGAGGCCCAAGGTAACAATTCACAAATGTGATGCTTTACTGAATAAATACTTATTGAAAGGTTTGTGCTAATGTTATTTTCCATCTTCCTTTACAGACAGAGAAAGATGGAGATGGGTAAGAGTGACGAAAACAGGTGAAAATGTTGTCTTTTGAATTACTTATGGTTGAAACCGATAACCGTTTTTATTTTATTTTCAGTGACAGGTCTCCAGGTCCTCTGCCAGCTGACAGTCTGGGGCCGTCTGAGATCAGAGATCAAGCCAGTCCTCAAGAAGACACATAAAGGGAAATATCTATTAGAAGATTTAAAATATTATATATATGGTTACTACTTTATTATCCTGCTGGGAGGCTTAAATGTAAATAGAGTGTAAAAGTAAAAAGTATATCTGAGAATGTAATTATTTTATTGTTATAGCAGTAATATTGTACAAAGTATTTACAATGTTTTAAAATGAAATGTTAAAGAAATAAAACTGGCTTAAGTAAATGTTGTAAGTCTATACTGGTGGGTTGTTATAATAAACAGTTTTACTTCAATGAGGGGTGGGGGGGGGCAGGGGAGAGGAACAGCAGAGGAAAGTAAATGAAGTGATAGCGATTACTTTGATGATAAAGATAGGTGTAATGATACCAGTAAATATAAAAATATAGTAGCAATATAATTGATTGTGACATATTAAGAAACAAACAAGTTATAATAAAATGAAATCAAGCAGAACAGGTGTGGTAGAATATACCACCAGTAATGGAAGAAGTAATCAGATATTTTAGGGCTATATAAAAGATAATTAAATAATAACAATATAGATAAAATATACATTTAATTGTAGCTAAAAGAAACAAGCTCATTGGACAAAATGTGGTATTGAACTGTTTATTATGATCATTGTCAGTATATAGAGCATGTGTTTAAGTTTCAGAAAATATGTATCAGAGAGAATGTACATGATGGAAGAAATAAAGAGATAGGGACGAACAGGATCAGGAGTGAATACAGGACTGTGTTTGATGAGATAATTAGGATATAACAAACAGAGAGAAGGCTATCATGGTGACCTGCAGGCTGTGCAAGGTGAAGTCGGATCAGACTGCGAGCTATACAGCAAACAACAAATAAGCTAAAGAGTAGTACAAGTTTTGTTACAAGTCTGATCCCATAAATGTGTATTTCACACTAAAATAGCCTAAACATGCAATTCTTTCAGGCCCTGACAGAAGCTATTGTTGTAGCTGAAAGGTTAAATGAAATGATGAAAGAGACTCTAGCTATTTTGAATGCTGTATCAATTATTTCAACCAAAGCCTACATGAAAGCTAAATGCAGCAAAGTAATTGAGAGAATAAATTACATTAACAAAGTTAAAATAATCATCAAATCACATTTCAAAGATAGATCAGTTATGGGCCTTTAAATGATTTTCAATATTTTCGAAAAAATAGAATAATTGTTGGTTTAATAAATCCTTTTTTAACCCATAAGCAAGTTGAGCATTTCTGCTGTAGCACTATGCTAACTCCAGAAGGTGGCAGGAGTGCAGCATTCAGGATGCAACCCGTCGTAAAAATCAAACGAAGAAGAAATAACATAATCCTCGGTGCAGACCAGACAGCATTTATAACACTGGGCAGCCCTGTGTGGAGTTATTGAACTTTGACACACTGAGCAGGGCACTGACACTCTATTAATGTATAACTTGACATTATATTTAAGCAAAGACAACAGTGAAAGCCTCTAACCTCTGCAGACTTGAAGATGACATCAAAGAAAGTGATCGAGTTTTTTTACGATGTGGTTTCTCCCTACTCCTGGCTTGGCTTTGAGGTTTGTTTTTAAGTTTCGATCACACAGCCTTGGTTAAAAACTAGACCAAAGACATGAATAAAGAAACGTGTTTGTGTTTACAGGTCATGTGCCGCTACAGAACCGTGTGGAACATCGAGCTCAAACTGCGACCTACATTTTTGGGAGGCATCATGCAAGGATCAGGTAAATAAACAGTGGTGCAAAGTAACGAAGTACATTTACTCAATTACTATAGCAATGTTGAGATATTTGTACTAGGGCTGTGCGATTATGGCAAAAATCATAATCACGATTATTTTTGGTCAATTATAATTGATATCACGATTATTAAATACAATTATTCATTGACTTTGAAAACATCCATTTATTGAACTTTAAAACAAATACAAATAATAATTTGAACAGTATCTTTTTAACTGTTGATTACCCTGAATGTATAATTCAACTGAAAAACCAATAAAAAAAAATTAAAAAAAATGATAAATATATATTTACATTTAAATAAATAATATCAAAATAATAAATACCAATAAACAAGATCAACAAATATTTTGGAGCGCACTTCCACAAGCTACTAAACATATATAAATATGATAAATAAAAATAAATTAGACAAAAATTCATTAGATCAAATATGTTGCAGTGCAGTCACAACCTAGCAAAGCAAAATATCCCCTTGGTGGATTAATAAAGTATGTTTTATCTGAGTTAACTTGAGATGCTTTAAAGACTCAGATTCATTAAGCAAAATCTAATCAACAAATAAAACGTATATTGTATTGTAAAAAGTTAGGATAAGCTGGCAAGCTACAAGTGATTGAGCTCCACCTTTACCAACTGCAACATTAGAGTGATCTATAATGCATTACTTATTATTGCCCTAGTATACACATGATTTTGCACTTTTACTCATATTCATGTAGATGCTGTTAATAACGTTTTTTTCATAATATATGTATCTTTCTTGACAGGTAACAAGCCCCCTGGTCTGGTTCCAAACAAATTCCTGTACATGGGCAAGGATCTGAACCGCTTGTCAGAGTATTTTAATGTTCCCCTGCGATCTCCCTCTGACCCCTTTGAGGCCATGTTCCAAAAAGGTACATGATGTGTATTAATTCAAACCATGGCTGGATTCAGTGTTTGCACAAGAGCGGTACTACTTCTGACTGGGCAAAGCTAGTAATGCAACAGCGTCCATGTCTTCTTCTGTTTTCTTCTCCTAGGCTCTTTGAATGCAATGCGGTTTGTGACAGCCGTACAAGAAAAGGGGAAGGGTGGAGACGAGCAGGTGGAGCGGGTGTCCAGGGAGCTGTGGAGAAGGATCTGGTATGAGGACAAAGACATCACCGAGCCTGCATCACTGTCTGAGGTACCATCTTGTCTAGTCTGTTGTTGTCTGAGAAGATTAAAGCTAGGGTATGCTATGCATACTTCAGAAGTAAATAGATGCAGTCACATTGGTTTTTTGTTGTTGTTTTGTTTATGCAGGCAGGAATAAAAGCAGGACTGTCTGACAGCGAGATTAAGGAATTACTGGAGCTGTCCAACTCGAAGGAGATCAAAAACAAGCTGAAAATCTCAACACAGAATGCCCTGGATTATGGGGTCAGCTTTCCTTCAGTTTTTCTTTAACATTCATGTAGATTCAACATTATTAACTGAATGACCAAACTCTCTCCTATTTCTTCTTTCCAGGCATTTGGCTTCCCCCTTGTGGTGTGTCACTTAAATGGAAAACCAGAGATGTTCTTTGGGTCTGACCGATTTGAGCTCATGGCCCATTGTATTGGTAAATTCTACTGTGCAGCAATCACAAGCACATGTAATGTAGAAGCAACAAACTAAAGATTAAAAGGACATTGGCATATACTTATTTTAAGGGATTTTGACAAACATTTGACAACTTTACACACTGTGATGTAGGTGGCTTTTGTCATTTGGTTAAAACTGAAGCTGTTTAGGATTCTTCTCCATTCTCATGCTGTTCTCTGTTGCAGGGGAGAAGTGGCTGGGACCTCTGCCGGACAAACCAGCTGCCAAGCTTTGAGATACACAGATGCCTTTGAACACCATGGCGGTGCTTCCATATTCGTATTTCAATAACGTATTTTATTTTTCAAATTTCATATTTCTGTGCCTTCTGAAAATAGGCAGTGTTTTCCCAATAGATTCTGATAACACATATTAGTGACCATAATGTAACATATCAAAGTACTATAAATGATGTGCATAATAAAAAGAACATTGACAACTTCCAGGTGACTTCATTTTCTCTTGAAATACAAATCCTATTGTATTTGTATTTATTATAATTACTGATGAATTAAAGTGTTATCAAAGCTGGTAAAGGTGCAGCTAGTTTTAATTACTTTGTATACTGTACGATAACTTGTGAATTTACTCCAGGTGTAACTAAAGTCTTATTTAACAGTTGATTATATTTCACATCATTAATCCAAATCTATAAAGTAACAAAAGGGTTTAAATAAACGTAGTGAAGTAAAAGCGACTATTTACCTCTGAATTGAAGTGGGGTAGAAGTATGAAGTAGCATTAAATAGAAATACTCAAGTAAAGTACAAGTATCTCAAAATTGTATTTAAGTACAATACTTGAGTAAATGTATTTAGTTACTTCCCACCTTTGTGTTTAAATACACAACATCATTCATACTGTAGTCTACACACATGTCTTTGTAGTCTGTATCTTCATGTTTGATTGCACTTATTGTCAGTCGCTTTGGATAACAGCAAAAATAAATGAAATATAAAATAAAACCACATTTAAAAAGAGATAAGATGGAAGATGGAAGAGTATCTATCATGTTCATATGTAACCAAAGCATTTAGCCTACATATACATTTACTTCCGGAAGAGGGCAGTGATGTGAACTTTTGCAGTAATGTTGTACTTTTATACTTAATCATGGCGGTCATACATTGTAAGCCTTTAGCTCTACCTAACTTTTGCTTTTTTATAGCTATATAATTCATATGCTTTAATAAAACAAATGGTATTCGTTTCAATAATTTCCGTTGAGGGAATATGTAGTGATTTGACTCGACATAACACCACAGAGTGCTTTATAAAACCGAGCAGCTCTGTATCAAGTTATTGAACTTTGACACACCTCGCGTCGCACAGTCTGGTAGCTAGAAAAGGTTTCTGTTAACAGTTAACTTCATATTTAATCAAAGTGAAAAACTGTGAGAGCCTCAATCCTCTGCAGACCTGAAGATGTCATCCAGGAAAGTGATTGAGTTGTTTTTCGATGTGGTTTCTCCCTACTCCTGGCTTGCCTTTGAGGTTTGTGTCGTCTTTGAGTACAGTTTCGATAACAGATTTGCTTGACAATTGAAGCGACAAAAGAATTAAGACACGTTTTTATGTTTGTGTTTACAGGTCATGTGCCGCTACAGAAAAGTGTGGAACATAGAGCTCAGACTGCGACCTACATTTCTGGGTGGCGTCATGCAAGGATCAGGTAAATAAACAGTGGTGCAAAGTAACAAAGTACTCAAGTGCTGCTCCTGATAACAAGTATTTAAGGTGCTTGTACTTTACGAGTATTTCCATTTTCTTCTAACTTTACTCCATTAATGAATTGTCAACTTTAGTATCAGACATTTTACAAAATAACATCAACTAATAAAATATCATGTATTATTAAAGGTTAAGATAAGACAAGATAGCAGAGTGGGGATTCACAGGCTACCCAGCTGTATATAAAGTAGTTTAAATGAGCTCAACCTTTATCAGCTGCAACATTAATGTGAAACAATCTTTAATGCATTACCTATTATAGCCCTATAATATAAATGCTTTTGGACTTTGAGTTTGACTTGTATATGTGCAAACACTGTTGGTGCTGTTATGTTACATATAGTATTTTTCTTTCATGACAGGTAACAAGCCCCCTGGTCTGGTTCCAAACAAATTACTGTACATGGGCAAGGATCTGAACCGCTTGTCAGAGTATTTTAATGTTCCCCTGAAGCCTCCAGCTGACGTCCCTGAGGCCATGTTCAAAAAAGGTACATGGTGTGTATTGATTAAACACTGCTGGATTAATTTGCACATGACAGTGGTGGTATTGTTTCTTAATTAAGCAAAGCTAATAATGCAGCACAGTCAGGTCTTCATCTGTTTTCCTTCTCATAGGCTCGTTGAATGCAATGCGGTTTGTGACAGCTGTACAGGAGATGGAAAAGAGTGGAGATGAGCGGGTGGAGCGGGTGTCCAGGGAGCTGTGGAGAAGGATCTGGTATGAGGACAGAGACATCACTGAGCCTGCATCACTGTCTGAGGTACCGACATATCCATGCTCATTGTATCTGAGAAGATACACCTAGGGTAGACTATTCATTTTAAAAGCATTTTTGTCATAAAAGCATCTAAATTCTCTTAATAAATTCTCGATAAATCTAATGCTCTGAAAATAAAGAAAAACATTGTATCTGCCTGTAAACTCATTCAGGTATTTGGATACAAGTAGCAATGACAGCTAGAAAGTTACCTACCCCAGCTTTAGGATGTACTGCTCAGTGCCGTCACAGTGGTTTTCACGTTTATTTTTCAGGCAGCAATGAAAGCAGGACTGTCTGACAGCGAGATTAAGAGAGCCCTGGAGCTGTGCAACTCACAGGAGATCAGAGAGAAGCTGAAAAGTGCAACAGAGGAGGCCCTCGATTATGGGGTCAGTTGTCCTTCAGTTAACCTTGTATATTTTTGCAAGAGAGATCACACATTATAATGCAATGTTGACCAAACTCTCTCCTATTTCCTCTTTCCAGGCATTTGGCTTCCCCCTTGTGGTGTGTCACTTAAATGGAAAACCAGAGCTGTTCTTCGGATCTGACAGATTTGAGCTCTTGGCCCACTGTATTGGTGAGTCCTACTCTGCATTCATAGCAAACAAATGTAAGATGTGACACTTGACATGGCATTAATATACCATTGCACTCTCTATAAGTCACCGATAAATAAACACCACTTTCTATGGAAATATACAGTTTTATATTAAGGCTGACAAACCTTTGACAATTTTAGAAAATGTGGCTTTCTCTTTTGTTTCAAGCTGAAACTGTTTAGGATTCTTACCCATTCTCATGTTGTTCTCTGATAAAGGGGAGAAGTGGCTGGGACCTCTGCCTGACAAATCGACTGCCAAGCTGTGAGATACAGAAACTGCCTTTGAACACCGTCGGTATAATCACAGATTCTTATTTTTTAACAATTCTTTGGGTTTTTCCTAATTTTTCAAATTGCATATTTCTGTCTATGCCTTCTGAAACCAGGCAGTGTATTTCCAAAATACCTTATAACAAATAGTTGTGTATATAATGTAAAATAACATTGTACTAATATTAATGTGCATATTAAAAATAACATTGACTACTTCCAGATTATCTTTTGTTTTTAAATACAAATGCATTTTTAGTCCTGCTAGTGATGTGGCTCTACTGGTAGTGGGACGGTCTGTTAGTCTGGTTTATGGTAGACAAGGCAATAATAACTATGATACACTCCACTGCCTTAAAACATTAAACAGGATGTGGTTATAGATAAACAATGGATTGTTGAACCTTTGTTATGAAATAAATATTACATGTCAAAACTTACTGTAGGTGTTACACATGGGATGGCAACAAATGCAGTCAGGTAAAGTAGCTCATCTACTACCAATCAGATTATACAGAAAACAGATCAACAATGTTTCAAAAGTACCAAAAAATGTAGAAAAAGTTGTGTAGCAAAACATTAATATTTTTACTTTTATCTCCAATTCATGCTTTTATGATCCCTCAGATTTATCTGGATCCATCCAAAACCATCGGAAAAAATCAGTTAAAACTAGCTCCCCCTTAACTCAGCTGTAACAGTTAAATACAATGTTGCATCAGTTTAAACAACCTAATGTATAATAATGCATCACTTACAGTACACTGTTAATTTCCTTGCAGAATGAGTATAGTTTCACATTTTGTCGACAAAACTTCTGTAGGCTACTTACTTGAGTAAAACATTTTAAAGCAGGACTTTTACTTGTAATTGAGTAATGTTACATTGTTGTTTAGGTACTTTTGCAAAATTTGAGTGGGATGTGGGATTGCTTTTCCACTCTTAATGTATGAACCTGGCTGGCTCCGGCCTATATAGCTGAACTGCTCCAGCGCTACACCCCAGCCAGAGCTTTAAGGTCTGCTGACCAGCTCCTGCTGGTAGTGCCCAAGACCAGGCTAAAAACCCGAGGGCACCGAGCCTTCGCAGCAGCTGGCCCTAGGCTCTGGAACACTCTGCCCCTCCATGTGAGGTCGGCCCAGACCCTAGGGGTTTTTAAATCAAAACTAAAAACACACTTCTTCTCTCTGGCTTTCTAGTTAGAGCGGAGCACGACTCCTGACTTTTCCGTGTGTTTTATTTTTATTTTGTTTTTTAAGATATATCTGTTGTAATTTATTGTCGTTTATTGTGATTTGTAGTAATGTGTTTTTATTACATGTACAGCACTTTGGCTCGATCAAAAATCGCTTTTAAATGTGCTATATAAATAAAACCTGATTTGATTTGATTTGATTTGATATAAATGCAGTTTGATAAACACTCCAGCGCTGGCAAAGCTTGTCATACAAGTTTCAGCAGTACAATGAGAGCCAAACAAGCGTAACGAAAGACCTAAACATGACAAAGTGACAGGACCAGTTTTCCCAAACAAAGAGGAGAAGGCAGGGCCAGTAGTAGCTGACATATGTCGACTCCATTGAAACAAGCTAATTACAGAATGTGGTAGAGCGAACTCTTAGAAAGGCAGGGCATAAACCTGATATCAGTGTGAAGTATCTCTTCTTAAACACGGCCGAGTGACAGAAAGGAGGAAGAAGGAAAAGGTAAGTGAGAGAGAAGAGGGAGAAGGAGTAGGGGAAGAGGGTGGAGTTACGAAAACACACACAAGGTGTAACATAGGCAAACAGAGGGCTGCGCACTGATCCCCTGAGCTTGACAAATCACCTGAGAAAAATAAGACAATTAAGATCTGAGCAGCGCGGCTGAACCAGGACAACACATTCAGCTGGGAGGATGTAAGAAAAGTGTCTGACTGTGAGAAGGAGAAAAACATGAGCCTGGAATACAAGGATTACTCATTTCATTTGGGGATATAAGACACATCTAAAGAAGCTGAGGTAAGGATTTTATTCATTACATGTGTTTTATCCTACACTGCTTTTTACATGTTTGTATTATGTCGTTAAGCTGTTAGGTAAAGTAAAGGTTTATACATGATATCAATCTAGTAAAAGCTGTGTTTCTCTCTCTATGTACACTAGTTCTTTGATTATTGTAATATACTACTAGTTTGTGTGTGCAAACCGATGCTCCATTTGCCTTTTAATGTTTACCCTCAGGGCGTGTTCTGCAATGCTAACATTTATGGTTTTAAAAATGCAGATGAACAGGTTTACAGCTTAGCTTGGATCTGACGCAAAAGGATGATGATGTTGGCAGTGTTTACTGTTCCTGTACACAAAGCAGCTCTGAATTCAGATATACAACACACATATTCCTCAGTATGAGATGATTTATTTTATTATTGTATGCAGCTTTGTTGAAGCTCATATTCTAATACTTAATTTTTTTGATTTGCCAATGATTGAGGTCTGTATGTAAGACCAAAACAGAAAAAAAGTGTTGAAATAAGTTTCAAATGAAGATGATTTAAACAAAAGCAATTTAGTGAGGCGTCAGAGCCATTAATCTAAGTATCTGGAGGAAACCGTTTTAGCACACCTCAGAATGTGATAGGCCTACAAACTCTTAAATTACACATTTGCTCACACACCTTCACATACTGGATACCTACAAGAGTCATGTTACTCTTCCACAGATTCAGCCAGAGACATGCTTTCAGCTGGCCCTAGGCTCTGGAACAGTCTGCCCCTCCATGTGAGGTCGGCCCAGACCCTAGGGGTTTTTAAATCTACACTAAAAACACACTTCTTCTCTCTGGCTTTCTAGTTAGAGCGGAGCATGACACCTGACTTTTCCTTGTGTTTTTATTTGTATTTTGTTTTTTATATATATCTGTTGTAATTTATTGTCGTTTATTGTGATTTGTAGTACTGTGTTTTTATTACATGTACAGCACTTTGGCTCGACCAAAAATCGCTTTTAAATGTGCTATATAAATAAAACCTGATTTGATTTGATTTGATTTGATTTCATGACTGTCACCTTATGTGTTGTTTTCTAAATACAAAATACGTTTAAGCCATTGCAAGTATTTTTGCATATGGAAGTAACCTACTATATATAAAGTATGACTGAGTGACGTTTGTTTGATTACTCTTTTTGTTCTTGACAGGATGTCTTCATTATCACAGGCAGACTCGCTTTGCTCGCATGGAGATACAATCTGTGGTACGTTTTCCCAGCTGAGACAGACTGTGAGGAATGTTGACAATAACCTGGTCCGGCCACTTTGACATTACTGTACAGCAGACTTTGATGTTTTTTTGTGTCTGTTCCCGTTTGCAGAGATCCGTGTTTACGAGCAGGAGGTGATCATTGTGCCCATCTTGCTGCTGACTATCTTCCTGGTCACTGTGGTTTTTATTTTCCTGCTGCACTTTTGTCCAGAGAAAGTCGATCGCATCCGTCCGCAGGGCTCAAAGTCGACTCCCAGGAGAGTGCTGCATGGCATCGATGGTAAGACTCTGAAATAGACAGCAATATGTTTGTTAGTAATGGTATAAATATACATGAAATCACAGAGCACAATGTCACACATTTTAAATTGGATCTACACTGCCAGCAAACAGTCAGCTTCCAGGCATACTTTGTTAGTTCAAGGGAAGATGTAGGCCTAATTATAAACAGTTTTCTTTTCTTTGTTTATCACCTTTTATACTGTCCCACATTAAACTATACTTTTCTTCAGCAGAAAATCTATAAAACTGAATTATCATTTTGTCAATTCCCCAAATTATAAAGCTGCCAGAATTTTACAAAATTAAACGACACAACTCGTCTTTCCACATTGTCAGTGGTCAAATGTACTTCTAGCTGTGGTCACAAAAATAACACAATATAGCTTTTCTAACTCTTGGAATCAATGTTTTACTTGGTGTTTCTACAAATCATTCAACTTTTAATCTTTGCGCCTTCATTTTTATGCATTTAACAGCATCGTTGGTGTAATAAAAGGGACCCATAACAAGTTTTTAAGTTTGGCATCACTGTATAACACAATTTAATAACACAACATCGTTTTTTCCAGTCCTTCACAAATAATTTGTTATATTTACCTATTCTCATGTAAATGCTTGCTCTTGTCTCTAATGATACTTAATGTGTTTCTCTCTTGACTTTCTGTCCGTAGCTCCACCAGGTATCAATGTCATGGAGCATGAAAGTATCGCTCTGGATGTGCCCAGTTCCTACTCCACCTTCAACCCCCCGAGCAATTACCTCTCCAAAAACCTCACCGTGGCTATGGACAAACCCTTTCTTCCACTCCCGCCCAACCCCCCACCTCAGCCCTACAAGCCCAGTTTCACTCCCATCGCCCAGCCCAGAGAGTTGCCCCGCCAGAGGCTTCCCGAGTCCTTCAACCTGGTCACTCCTCTGACCGTGGCCTTCTCCCTGCGCTCCGACTCCTCCGTGTCCCTCTACAGGGCCCGGATGGAAGACAGGAACGTGGTGCTGAGAGTCCTAAATGGTGAGATGATTAAAATGACATGCAAAATAAGCTCTTAATTGTCTTATTTGATTTTGAGGACATGATTTCTGTTACTGCATTGTTTATTTACCCCTCATATCCCTCTCATTCTTGCCCTTCACAGACTCTGCTGATGCCACAGAGAGACACAACTTCCTGGGCTTTGCGTCCTTCCTCTCCCAACTGGGACCCCACCCCTTCCTGCCGGAGCTTCTCGGTGTGGTCTCACTTCGAGCTCCACTGGTTACAGTTGTGGAGGAGATGGAGAACAGAGACCTGCTCAGCTACCTGTGGCGATGCAGACAGGTATACTACAAAAACTGATAAACCATATATTTGAGCAACGTAAATTCATCTATCATCCTTGAATGGCAATCTAACTTCTCTGTGTGTTTTTTTAGGAACATGCAGATCCTCCATGTGAGATGACTGAGAGACGAATATTTACCATGGCTACTCAGGTGGCCTCAGCTCTGGTCAGTATGCTAACATCCCGCAGACCTCATATTTGACTCTCAAATCTCTGCTTTACAATAAGCTGATACTCTTACAATATTTATTATTTATAGTTCAATTGTTGCATTTCCTTGACTTACTTGGATGGTGAGGGTTTTGGTTTTCCTGTTCCTCTTACCTGAGGGTTTACAGGTGACTGAACTGGAATAAACTGCACAGATTATGTGTTTTAATCCTGAGATTTCCCTTGTGTGTTGCCCAAACAGGAGTTCCTTCACAGCAAAGATCTACTCCACGGACAAATTCGTGCCCGCAGCGTTCTGGTCACCAAGGATATCACAGCCAAGCTTTGGGGCCTGCATGGCGTCTACACAAGGAAGAACCAGGGAGAAACTAAGAAAGAGGACTCCAGCATGAAGAAATGGCACGCACCAGAGCTGTTAGCTCGGAGAACAGCCGGGCCGAGCAGCGACATGTGAGTTGTTCTGTTTTCATTTCTGGCATTGTCTCTTGTTCATATCTTCCAATACAAGACAGATGCTGCTGTTGCAACATAAAACACTAGATCATTTATTGACTTATGTCCTTTGAGTTTATGTTGGAGTGTAACTAATGTCTGTGTTTTCCTCTCCAGCTGGTCACTTGGCATCTTACTGTATGAGATGGCTACATTGGGTAAGTTGAATTTAAAAAAAAAACCTTTTAAATAATGTACCTACAAAAAACCATCAATGTGATAAAGTATCATCATTGGTTAGATTAGCCAAATACGCACATGCAGCTATTTTATCCCAAAACAGCTTTTGTAACGATTTTTTTGAAAAGTTGTTATAAAACACAATACATTGATGATGCAATGTGAAAATACATTTACCTTAATATCATCTCCCACTCTTATATTCACCTCTTTTCCTTCCAGGTGAAGCTCCATTTGCCGAAATCTCAGTTAATGAGCTTCTGCAGTTTCATCAACGAGGGAAAAGTCTGAAAAAACCTTCAGGATGTTCCAACGCACTGTAAGTATCCACTCCATGCACCAGATCACACAACCAAACCTGAAGTGGAGCTTCCCTCTTTAACTGATGTGCTGTAAATCTCTCTCTCTCAGACACTCCATCATTAAGGCGTGTTGCCAGTGGAAGGAACAAGAGCGACCCACCCTGGCTGAGGTGAGCCGTAAGCTGGCCTCAGGAGAGAAAAGTGCCTCGGACAAAGTCCTCAAGGCGTCTGGGACAGTAAACATTGAGCAGTACCTGCAGGAGGCAGGATACGGGGAAACCAACAGCTACACTGTTTTCTGATCATAACTTGTGCCAGCAAATTAAATTGCACTATTCTCCCCGATGGTACCCCACTGGTGCACTTCTACAGAATAATACATTTCCGGTGGTCAAGAGGTCTTGAAAGCTATTATTCTATATATTCTCGTACTACTGGTTTACAGAGGAAACAAAAAAGGGTATGCTAAATAAGTTGTTTTCTTTTGGGAACCATTCATTTTCTTTTAAGTAAGACCTCATGTGTGTCTTCATCTGTCGAGGGAATAAAGAGATGTAAACTTGATTGATGTACGGCCGCTTCAGCCTAAACTTCTACTGGTGTATGAGTTTATAGATCTCGTTTGTTACTTAAAGCCAATGTATTTTAAGAGATGTAATATCATTTAGCACATGTGGACATTAAGGGCACATAATGTATATTACACTCACTGTCTTCTCTTAACGCTTAAGTCATGTGAACCTCTACGAGCAAGATATAAGCTCAAAAATGTTTACAAATATCAAATGTGAATAAAATAATATAAGTCCTACAATGTTTTTTTAAGTCAAAAGGTATTAAACACACACAGGTCCAGTAACAGGTACTACAGCACCGTCCTAATACTAGGATGGGTTAAATGCAGACACTAAATATCACTGTGTGTGTGGTGCTGTGTATATGTGTGACCATTAAAAGGGAGTTCATACAAATCATCCATTTCCATTTTCAGGTATTGTTTATTGGCAGTACTGCATTCGTGTACACGGAGCGCTTCCACTCAGCCCTTGAAAGAGCAGACCACGAGGAATACCTATTTTCAGGTAGTTAGGTTGATTAAAGCTACTAAAACTATTTCGTATCCATGGAAAAATAATTTTGATTGTAGTACAAAATGTAAAAGATACAAAACTAAACTTTTAATAACTGGTAAAAAATAACTAATTATACACCCAGGCTTTATGAGTGTCCTATGCTCGGTGTGATTGGAGCCTGGATTGAACATCTACAGTAAATAAACAAATAACTACTAAAAGGACATATATATATAATATCGCTAAAGTTAAAGCACCGTTTGAAATACATCCAGAAGGCAACGTTTCTTTTCTTTTAGAAACCAGCAGATGTTGTCCTAGTTAGATGACCTAGCACCAATTATCACATGGCAGTTTCATAAGAGTATACATACAAAAGACTACTCACTGTGACAGAATAAAACAAAGAACTGACAAACATGACTCACATAGATACCCAAAACTGTCCATGCTCACCACTCACACATAACACAATACATAAAACATGTTTTTGCACATTCAAGGTCCGTAAAGTAAACTATCCATCCAAACTGTCTCCACATGACTGATGGTGCACCGTTGTTTTGTAAAAAAAAATCCTCACTGTCCCCATGGATCTTAGTCTTTTTAACTTTTACTAAAAGAGGTCCAGGTATTTAATCTAGGGACAAGTCATGAATGAGGAATCCTGGTGTCCCTCTGAAGAAGTCCCTGCATCACTCACGCAGGGTGTTGATGGATGCACAGATCTTGAGAGCGGGGCCGAGCTTAATATTCATGGTGGAGATGAGATGGTCCTCTCGCAGCAGCATCAGAGCCTGCCCGTCTATTTCCTGTGATAGAAAGTGTGCGGCCAACTCTTCACAGCCTGGACACAATCACACAGGAAGTATAGGATCAGTACAAAGAAGAGGCATGGCTAGGGCATACAAAACTGTAGTCTAAAAAGAACAAACACAAACCTTGAAGTGAAGAGATAAACCTGCAGACTTCCTCCACACTCCACTGCCCAGGAGTCGCAGAGAGGAAGTTAGCCCCCTCTAGTGGGAGGCTCCCAGGAGCCGAGCTGTCAGACGGAGGAGCACTGCGCTCGGCTCTGGAGCAGGAGTGTGAGGAGCTTGGGGACAGCGAAAGAGAATCGTCCTCGTCCTCTTCACCGTCGCTGGACAAGTCCTCCGAGCGACTGGATTCTGAGTGAAACTACAATGAAAAGAGCGGACAAACAAAAGAAGAGGTTCATTCAGAGAGTAAGCTGCATTTGTGGATAATGCCACTGCATGATATATAAAGCATAAGGCCGCCATTGTTCAAGAAATTCCATATACTATCAATACTGTCTGATTTCCCTACTGACTTTGCCAATGGGGACAATTCCCTATCGCTCTACAAAAAGGTATCAAACTTTTCAAAGACAGAGGAGGAAATACTGCAACGAACTGAACTATTTTCAGCAGGTTATCAGTACACATTTATCAGATCTCAGCAGTGGCAGCGGTATGTGTGACTCAAAAATAAACGCCAGTGCGTGTCATTTAATTCAAAAAATGTTTGCTCATTAACAGGTTTTTAATAGGTCATGGACAACAGTGTAAATATAACCAAAAGTGTTTTTAGATTCACTTGCAATACTTGGTAACTTAATTCATTGCTGGTTTTGTTATTTTCATGCAATTCTTTAACAATGATGAAAATAAGAATATCAGCGGTCTCATCCTTTACAGATCTTACCTTAACAGGTAGATGCCTGCTTGATAATTGATCACAGTTGATATTAGAGCTGCTCCTGCGCGGCGGGCCCCTTCTCCTCGAAGCGCTCTCAGATGGGGGGGGTGGTGGAGGCAGTCCTCCGCCACTCCTCCCTCTGCTTGTCTTGAAGTGTTGGCTGCAGCTCACATTATACCTGTGGATCCAGGAGCACAGTCAAAACTCTGTAAGACATTTTTAGATGTTTGTCCTTTTGTAGCTTTTACTTAAGCGGCTTCCCCTGGTATAGATGTTGGCTATGTTAAACTATCATTGATGTAAAGCACAGTGGAGTTTTTGTAGGAATGAAGACATTACCAAACATCAAACCAACATAACAACAAAAATGGTAAGTAAAAATAAATCCTACCTCTTTGCACAAGTATTTGAACAGAACCTCTTTGATCCTTTGAACTGGCTGGCTGGGGCGAGGCTTCCACAGTACTCACACTTTAACACTGCAGAGAAGAGATACAACTCGGTTACACATTTTGAAAATACTGATGATGCACTTCATGCTATCATGTCTAATTCTTTAATTTAATTTATTCCATCACTTACATGGAGGTCCATTCTCTGAGCGACCAACCAGGACAAAATCTCTGTCTTTGAGAAGTCCAGCAACCTGTCACATCAAACACAAGCCAGGAAGTAAGGAAACCATGTCAGAAAATAGTGTATAGTGCATGTATTTCAAATAGAAGATCTGATTTAAAGTGAAATCTATGTTTTCAGAGCAGTGCACACTTACGGGGAAGGGCTCAGCTCCCTCCTGGATGACAAAGCCCTCGATGAGGTGGGTGAGGACTTGAGGTTTGACCACAGCTTGGGGAACAGGCGCTCTGTCTTTGTCCCCGTGCCCGACTCTTGACAAGGGCAGAGGCAAGGACAGGGTGGGAGGACATGAGAAGGCAGCTGCTGCAGGAGGAGCTAGCGAGGATTGAATTAAACAGGGAAAATGATGAGCGTTCAACCTGATTTATAGACTTAGTTACACTTTTTAGGATTGCTCCTAATGCTATATGCTTGAATTGGAGATGAAAACCAGACATACCCGAGTCCTTTGTTGGGGCAGGGGATAACGGAGGAGCAGCATCTTTCATGGGTGGAGAGTTAAAAGATTCTGTCGCCATGTCATTTGATGCATCACAGTCAGATTTTCTCTTCAAAGAGCCAATCGCAGGCTTTATCTAATGATGGGGGGGGGGGTTACAATTTATAGCACAAGGAGAGTTAATACAATGATATGGACTGATTCAATGATTAACAATCCAATATGATAGATGCAAATTGAAAATGTATCAGCTTGGCTTTATAATGACATTTCGATGGCATGTCTTTCACAATTTCTGTTCTATTACTGGTAAAGCCCAACATTACTATTTTTATCAAATTGTAGTTGCTTTTTGCAGTTGAAATAAATGTTACTGTTTGTGTTAAATGAAACCAAACCAAAGAAGTGTCAGTGTCGCAAAAGTACGTCCTTTCATTGGTGGATCTTACCATAGTGCTGTTGTTGACATTCCCAGCAGGCGTACTCTCCTGGGCCATGCTGCATCGGGCCTGTGCCAGGGCCACAGCCTGGGCGTTTCCTGCTAAGCCCTGCCTGGCTCCCACAAGCTGCACAGGGATGTGTGGAGGGTTGTGACTGTTGTGAGGTGGTGCTGGGAGGATGTGATGTGGGTGTCGAGGAGACATCTGCACAGGTAAGCGATGTCCCTGAACTGTCTTGGGCTGGATTGGCACTGGTCCTTTTTCTGCAGGAGTGCAGGCCTGCTGTAGGGGCTGCACCACCAGAGTCTGCGTGTTAATGTTGGCTTTCTGGGTTACTGTGCCGATAGAGTAACCTTGGGTGGTGGTAGGAACATTTGAGGTGGGCACCAGGATCATGGGGGTGGCAGAAGAGGACAGGAGGAGTTGGGAGAGAGGGAGTGCTTGGGAGGAGGTGGAGGAAGGAGCCACAGAAGCAGCAGGAGTACCGGCCTTTAAATGCATAGCAGTGGTCTGCTGAGCAAAGTTGGTTTTGGCCATGTGTTGCTGATGCTGTGGTTGCACTTGCTGCAGCTGAACTGTCTGGGCAAAAGTCTGCTGCTGCTGCTGACTGAAAGCTACATCTTTCCTCTCCGGAAGCTCACACTTGACAGCAACTCCTCTGTGAGTGGAGGCGCAGTGTAGGGCTAGATTCTGCACCTGTAAGATAAAGAAAGGAGAAAATTGTATTTGAGAAAAGTGGCAGGGTTGTGCTTGGTGGTGTTAAATAGCACTCCCATGACAAGTCATGCCTCTGAAAATACACTTTACAGGTACAGTGGGTAAAGGTGCTCAAACCTGGTCATTGTCCGACTGGGCAGGAGCAACTTCATGCTGCTGCTGCTGTTGTTGTTGTGGTTGTTGTTGTTGTTGTTGTTGTTGCTGCTGCTGCTGCTGCTGCTGCTGCTGCTGCTGTTGGGGCTGTGTCTGGGCAACTGTGGCTACAGTAGCTGTCGCAGTACCACCAGGCATGAAGATGAGCTGAGAGGCGAGAGGAGCCCTGAGAGAGCGATTGACCTATTCAAAGAGCAAAAGAGATTGTTAACCTTGTCAAATATGCATTCATTTAATAGTGATTACTCAAAAATGGACACAGCGCAGACAATTTTTTAACTCACCCTCAGATACATCTGTCCTTGACCTGAGTTTCCACCCAGCAGCACTGACTGGTTGAGAGTTGTTGTCGTTGTTGTTGTTGCGGAAGTGGCCGGGCCGTGGGGACGGGGATTAGTCACGTTTCCTCCTGCAGATGTGGTACTTAGGTTGACCTGGTAGGACAAGAACAAAATTAGACATGTTTATCAAACCTAACTTAATATTCCAAAAAAACTCTGTATGTATTTATAAATGCAAGCCACTTACAACGAAACTTACAGAGGTGTTTGCCTGCGACATGCTGTTACTTGGGGTGTTGGACTGACGACTGGCTGCAAGTGTCGCCTGGTTCAATGAGATACATAATGTTATTCTTCTGGTTATCATGCATTTGTACTGATTTCCTTTATATGTAATAATTCGGGTTACCTGTTGCACGGCGGCCAAGTTGTGGAGTTGGGCACTGTTAATCTGCTGCTGCAGCATGAGCTGCTGGAAGTACTGAGCTGCATTTGGCTGTCTTTGCAGTGCTTGGAGAGCCTAAACAAACAAACATACACACAGACACAGAGATATAAGATGTATACTAAACAGAAGTATTTATTACATTTATATATTGTTTTTAATTCAAGACAACAAACATGTTTCTTTTCATCAAACATAGTAAGACGTGTTTCACACCTGCACAGCCTGCCTCTCATATAGAGACATGTGGGCTATCTGGGGCGCACGAGAGTTCCCGGTTGTCTGTGGATTTCCATTGGTGGTGCCCGTGTTTTGGTCTTCACCTGCATCCATTGTTGCTACTCAAAACACAGAAGCAACTCATTAAAAGTGAGCAAAAATATTTGTACTAAATAAGTGTCTGTATTAATATCAGAATTTGCCTGGTTGCAATATAACAAACATATAAGATTTTAGCATTAACCATAGTTAAACATGCAATTGTTGGGGGGCACATAAATAAATGCCCATATTAAAACTTGAATCATTCTTATTCAATTCAATAGCTTTATTAGCATGACCATAATTACATACAGGATTGCTAAAGCTCTGTATAGTTGCAACATCCATACATAAATACATATTTGAAACAAACTGCTATATTCTGAACAGAAGCAAGAACAACTTGTATTTATTTATTTTTAACTAAAAAGTGAACTGCTTACTGACTCAGTATGTTTCAAATGTCTTACAGTCAGTGTTGACATCAAACAGAACAGTCCTCCAGAGAGCTGCTGCAGTAACGTTTCACCCTCATAATAACCAGCACTCGGATTGTTTTTATTCAGGGTTACTGAAGTTCTTCTTTCCGAGGACCCCTGTCTAACAGTTTTTTAACTGATAACGAGATTGCCAGACGTTACTACTATGCCATTGGTAGTCACACAAATTAGCATGTAGGTATTTTCATTAGAAAACGAGCTGTCAACATGATAAATGAGTGCGAGATAAAGAACAACATGGAGGAAAGCTCAAAACACCAAGAAAGGAGCTAGCCAGCTGTTGCTAACTACAATGGACTTTACAAGTTAGCCTATCCATCTCTTAGCAAAAGTCTGACATACCGTAAATAAAACACACATATCCGGGTTAGAACAAAAACCGAGTGCATAAATAATAAATGTAGTTGGAAAGCAATTAGTTTGGTGCAAAGAAGTAAAGCTGCAGCGTTAGTTTACCATAAGCTAGATAGGCTAACTAACTAGCAAAACTAGCTTCTCAATGCAGCAGAAAGCTAGCACTAACTGGCTATCATCATTCCAAAAGTCAAAGATTAGTGTTTTCCAGCGTGCTTGTGTGTTTACCTCTCCTTGGTATTCCTGTTCTTTTCACACTTTTATGCCCATGAGTTTATTTTTGCAATCTTGGTTTTAACTGCATTCAACGATCGCTAGTTTTTGCCTCCAACGAAACCCCGCCCCTCACAGTCCTTTTCTTTTTCTTCTTTGTGTGGTGGTGGATAAATCAAACGTCACCTAAAGCATACTGCCACCACATGTACCGGCGGCTGTAGAGCTCATAAACACACAATAACAAGCACAGTGATTACATGGATTCATTACACAACTATAAGAGTTATGAGTGTTGTAAGAATTACTCAGATGCTTTACTTAAGTATAAGTACAAAGGTATTAGCATACAAAATGTACAAGTAAAAGTAGTCATTATGCACTATGTCCCATCTAAGAATAATATGAAGTACACAATTATTATGAGCTAAATGTACTTTAAGCATCAAATGTAAAAGTACTCTTTATGCAGAATGGATCTTTACAAAGTTTCTTATTATACTGATTATTATATGATCCTGCTTTTATACTTGTAAGAGCATTACACTTTTTGATGTGGACCAAATTTTGATTTTTAAATTGCTGTGTAGATGTGTAGTACAGTACTGCATTATACTACATTAGCATATTTGCATATTTATAAAGTAAAAAGTAACTGTTTATGTACTAAAAAGTTCAATATTTGCCTGAAATGTGGTGAAGTAAAAGTATAAAGTAGCATTAAATGGAAATACTCAAGTAAAGTACAAATATGCCTAAAAAGTACCTAAGTACAATATTTGAGTAAATGTTCTTCGTTACTTTCCACTCCTGGTTATAATCATAGACTGTGAAGGTTAAAATACTTCCATGAGGATTTCCCCAAAATAATACCCAAACAAAACAATTCTCGCAATATGGTGTTCACCAAAACATCTGCCAAAAGAAGATCTGTAATCAAAACGCTACTCAACTTTAGCAATTAAAAACTTAAACACGAGGTCCATTAAAATATAAACTAATAAAAAAAGATCTGTGCATGAAATGTTTTTATTAAAACATTTTACATTCATTACATCTCCAGAGGTGAGTGCACTTGGGTGTGTACTTACTTCACCACTACAAGGGGCACACATAAGCTACTTTCATTTTTGGTGAAATGAAGAAACAAACAGAAAGCTTGGTGGTTTGAAATCATGCTTGAACCAAAACAGCTTTATGTTAATCTTGAGGTTGGTAATTTCACTACATCCACAGGAGTGACCATTTCCACCAGACTTCACCAAACTAAGCAAAAAAAAGGCTAATAAACACAAAAAAGCAAATCATGAAAAAATAAACAAAATCCAACAAACAAACTCTCACTCATTCACAATAATATAGTAAGTTAATTCACAACTGAAACTTTAACATCATTTCGACATAACTAACCTATCATTTTATCCTCAGAGCTGTAACATTTTTACAACCATAAAAAAACTTGAATAAAGAAGGTGTATAGAAAATGCTTACATTGCAGATCTATCCTCCTAAAATATTGTTGTCGTTGTTAGTGTTTGTGCATTTGCCGTTAACCAAACATACGTTTCCTAATTAAATATCTTGCGAGTATGAATATTGTTCCTTTACTGCAAATGTTATATTACTATGAAAATACAAGTAGATATAAACCATACTTTTTTCAAATCATACATTATGAAAAGCAGAATTCATAACCTTCCAAATATCCATCACTGTGTAGTAGCATTAACAGGCCTACAATAGTGATTTAAGATACAATTCACTGATAAATTAGCAGGATGCATTGCTTCAAACACCAAACTTGTAAGTTTAACACATCAACTTAACTAAATTGTTGACCTTTCTGATAAAAATGGAAGATGTAAGTCAGCCTAGATGTCAGTCAGAAAGCTGGAAATACTGAACATGTTAGGTACACATTAGCAATGATGTGGTATATTTTCGCCAAAATGTGCAAGAAAAGAAAATGCCAAACTAAAACTCAAATTCAGTCAAGCTATGGTTTCTGCAGTGATTTCTACCTCTTAAGCAAGGGTGTGAGCATAGTAACAGAACTAAACATTAAACACTTGCATTCTCATATTACTTTTAAAACACAAAAACAAACTGATTAAAGCCAAATGACACAAGCAAAAGCACTTGTTTTGTAACCTGCAACTGTCAGTGCAGAACCATGACGCATAAAAAAACAGCTTGCTGCAACCTGCACCAACTTCGAACAACAATCATTAGCTAAGCGGGAAAAGATGAGCAATATGTAATTGAGTTCAAATCAGAAACCCGAATTCTTAACTTCTCCCTTTTGTGCCAAATTTCCATTGAAGAGTTAATCTTTATTGTCACTTTGTAATCTTGGATGAATCATTCATTTGTTTGACAGCAAACAGCTGAATGAAATGCATGGGGAAGTAAGAGCAGACATGTATGTCCGCCCAATTAATAACATGCCCTCCTAAGTGACAAGCAGATCACACTGTAGTTGCCTTAGGCACAGGTTTGGAATACAAGCAAAGTGTTGACAGGTCCTAACCTAAACCAGCACAAGAGAAAACAAGACTTGTGTCTACCAACAACCTGAAACTTGAGAAAAAGTACGCCGTGTCACATAGTGAACATGTCTGTCCCATTCCTGACATATGGAGGTCACATAGGCAGTAAGTAGTCGTCTCGCTCCTCTGGCTCCTCTTCTAAAGGCTCTGTTGCCACTCCTCTGTAAGCGGGGGCTTCCTCACGATTTTGTGACCGGCACACAAAGTCACAACCATCCTGTATGGGGGGGTAAAGTTTATGAATTAAAACAAAATAAGTCACATGAGCCTGATCTTTTAAAAAGGGAACATTTGCCACATTTTATATGGATTTTCAATAGGTGGTGAGGGTAAATGAAGTCGATTGAAGAAACACGTTTCTCAACATGCTTAATTGATTGGGAAATCCACGTTTGCAACTGCAACTACGTCATTTGACATGAATGCTACGTAGTTGGACGCAAGGAAGAACTGCATGCTATTTCAGTTTGGATTTCTTGTCTCTGTCTCCGTCCAGACAGGGAGCACGAATGCACTTAAGGCCGCTTTGAAATATAACATCCATTTTCCCCTTGCAATGCAGACTGGCTATGTTACTGACAGATGAATGTGCAAAGGATGTTATAGACAAGGATATATTTAACAGTGTTTTGGGTGACTAGGATATTCAGCCAAATGTATTCTAGCTGGAGTATACGTCCATAGCAATGCAGCCAAAAGACACCGGAGCTATGTCTGCATTAGCTGTTAGACAAGGATATAGCCTGCAAAGCTGTACAGGCAAAGGATACCTGAACGCAATGCATTCTTGGACATGTAGGCACATAAATATTCTCTCAGTCAATATAACACACAGTAAGAAATGTGTTGCTTCAATTGACTTCAAACTCCCCATAAAAAGGTGGCAAACTTTCCTTTTAATTACGTTATGTATCAATCATAGTAGGCTTACCGCTGTCATATTGCCAACCTCCAGCCAAAAAGCATAATTTGGGAATTGCTCCATTCCTTTGGCTCCAACAATCAGTCGCTGGTAGAGAAATCCTCCGAGGAGATACACAGAAAGAAGACAGAAACCACTGGAAGAAGAGAGGGCCTATAATTACTATTCATTCATAATATTACATGCTTTGACATTAGGGTTTTGTGTCATTACAGAGTGTATTTACGCACATGATGAGTATTATGGAGCCAGTGCTGAGGTGGGACTCAAGAGAGGGGCACACTGCACTGGAGTCCAGCTCAAACAGGTAGAAACAGTCCTGCGTCCTCTGCCTGACTTCCAGCACCACCTTCATCTGGTCCTGGGTGTGAGATGGTAAAAGACACACAAAGGTAAATAGCCTACAAGTCTCACACAATAAAAAAAAAAAGAGAAATGGAGCATAACATTAGGCAATTTTCAGACCAATTGGTAGCGCTGTGTGAGAAACGCAGCCACTCTTCATTTCAGTAAGACAAAGGGTACTGCAGCAGTTGTAAAACGCTGTGCCATAGCATTATAAGTCTGTGTGGAGTATGTGTTTATGTCTTCCTTGATCATGTATCCAATGGATACCTAATAAATAGCCACCCCGATCCCGGCATTTGTGTTTTAAACATAGTGCAAAGCATTTCTCACATATCTGGTGATGTACAAATTTGCATTTTTTTTACCGAACTTATTCCCCTGTTACAAGAGATCATGATCATGGCTTTTCTCATTTCCTTGGAGCAGTGGCCATCATAGCTTTCACCATTTCTGTAGAACAACATCACCCAGTCACCTGCAAGGGCAGCAAAGTGTCAAAACAGAGAATGCAGACCTAAATCACCCAAATAAATATGGTTTATCCCATGAGTAAACAAATCTTAAGCATTTTTTGGTCATATGCTCATATATTGTGTCAAACACAGTGGCGGCTCCAGAGTATTTTTGTTGGGTAATCTATGGTAGGGCTAACCCATACAGTGGTGGGGCTCAAATCAGTATTTGCAATGTAATTACATACACGCTATATCGCCACTAGCGATTGACAGTGAAACGCCACGCGTGAGGTTTAGATTATTTCCCTGTCTCAATCCAAATTGAACTGTATGAAATAAAAAGGCACATTTGTCTTGTAGTAAATAAAAAGGGCGACCTGGAGCCAATCCTGCAATTTCCCCACAGGCGAAAGAGTTGACATGCTGAAGACCCAACCCCTGCAGGGGGGTCTGGGGGATTTCCCCCCAGGAGATTTTTTGAAATACTAACATAAAATACACATTCTGGTACTGTCTTGAGAAGAAAAATAAATACATCTATTACTACACATTTAAAAAAATGATTACCATTTTAGTTTTTGGTTACTTTGTTCTGAAAGCTGAACCTGCTGCTCCTCACAGAGAGAAGAGGGAAGAGGCTGTGTGAATTACATTACATTGTGGATAAGGGTGGATAGCCCCCATTGTTCTGTGTGTCAAAATGAAAGACAGCCCACACACCTATCAATCATCAAACCGTGGGGTCTTATTTCATTACGTGTTGATTTCTATCAACACGTAATGTTGTATCGATGTATATAGAGATGTACTACATCAAAAGTATTCTCCGTCGGGACTTCCTGTAACAACACCACGCCCTTATCGTGATTCTGATTGGCCAGAAGACATTATCAAAGATGTTTTATTGAGAAGACGATCACTACGTGACAAAAGTTTTCAAAACCGTTTCTAGTCTTCGGTATTTCCGGCTACTGAAATCAATCTTACTAACTGCTGTCTGTGCAATTTACTCCGCGCGAGTTGGCGGACTTTATTTAGCTTACTTTAACATCATTTTTCGTGGTGGGGCTAAGGTGGGGCTAAGCAATTTCTTGGTATGGCTGTAGCCTACCCCAGCCATACCCTGGCGCCGCCACTGGTCAAACATAATGCAATTGTCCAACCTTCCAATTCACAAATGGTTAACATTTACACAGAGTCAGGGTAAATAAGGGTGTAATTATTATGTTTTGGGACTTACTTCCTCCAATGGCCTGTGTTGCATTATACATGCCAATCACTGTCGGTTTATTTTCCATCTTCTTGGTTTCGAACTGAACAACTCCAGCTCCTTGAATCCCCCCCACGTCCCCGCACAACTGGAACACGTATGTGTAACTCTCAGTTCCATTATTGGTCACTGCTGTAAAGCTGTCAATATGAGAAAACATTTAATAAACAATTAATAACATCTCAAACGGATAAATCAGTCCAAATGTTTCTAACATGATTGGTTTGCATATTCAAGAAGTTAAATGTTTGATTGATTACAGGCAATCCAACAAATATAAAAAGTCATATTGATGTTGCTTGATGTGTCGGTTTACAGTTGAGTCACTTCTTACTTTTTATGGGCGAGTGGCTCTAGTCGATTGAGGACTTCCCGTTCTGAGGCAGACTCTGTTAACAGTTTACAGTTCTTTGTGCCATCAGTGGCGTAGACCCCACTGCCACAGAGCACCAGCTGAACCACCAGGGTCCACACCAGGAAGGGCCCTCCATCGTGACTGTACACCACCTGGCAGATGTCCACATGAGAGAAATTATTGACATTTGTTTGACAGCGGGTGGCTGTGGCTCAGTGGGTAGTGTGCTGGACTTCAAATCAGGGAATAACAAGTTCGAGTCCCACAGTCAGCATGTCGTTGTGTCCCTGGGCAAGACACTTCACCTCAAATTGCTCCTGTGGGGATTGTCCACAGTACTGAATGTATGTAAGTCGCTTTGGATAAAGCGTCTAACAAATGACATGTAATGTAATGTTATTATTCATTTGAAATAAGCTTTAGATAATATAAAATCTGAAAAAATGGAAACTCGAACGTATGTTGCCATGCTTTATACTATAATACAGTAACATTATACTATAAATAGCAGTTTATTTAGTCAATTGACAGAAGATTGATAGGCAACCTTTTGAGAATCAGATGAAACATTTCAAGTTATTCTTCAATTATATTTGCAAAAGTATACTGCACGTATTTGTCATACCTTATATTTGACTGACGTTTACACTGTTTGTGTAATAGTGCAAACTATTTGAATATATTATCGTGGGTTCTGGGAAATTATAATAGCTATGTTACACGGTTTTAAAAAGACTGAAAATAATCCGGTGAACTACTTGGTTGGCATGGTCATTTATTTGTTTCCTGGACAAAAAACCAACACGGAAGGAACTTGTTGTTTAATCCTGGACAACAACTCCCTGTAGTATAGGAACAGTATAAACTGAATTTGGTAATTAGGTTGTAAATCGACCTATTTTAGATAACGTCATGTGCATGCAAAATGTCTGTTGATGTGCGCATGAGGCAAAAACTTTTCAGAGGAAACACAGTCCGTTACAAAGATGCCTCCAAAAATAAACAAAGTTTAAGTTGTGGCTACAAAGTGCACCTACCTTCATGACTTCTTCTACTGTAAACAAGCGGGCACAGCTTCTTTGTTAGTTACAGCTTTGTTTAAACATGTAGCCAACGTTGATGAGCTTCCTCTCGCTAACGTCGCTTCCTGGTTCACTTAATAAAGCTGCTGTGTTGTTATTCAGAAAAGAATAAAGTAAATATGCATGAACTCATCACATCTAAAAGGAACGTTTTTAGCTGCACGCTTTTTCTTTCCTCGATATTAAACGCGCTTGTTCTAAAAAATGTGTGAAAGAAGGGCATCCAAGAGGCTAACGAGGTATACACAGCAGTAGTGCGGAAGTGAAACTAAACACACGCGCACATGTGACCGTGCAAATGAAGCGCGACCAATGAGCTGCGGCTGATTCCTGCTCACACCCACATCAGCTGACAGCAGACAGACACACAGAGCTGGGAACGGGAAGATGCAATGGCATGATGTCTGTGCAGTTAGCATGGTATCAGTCAACGCTGCACAAACCATTACAAATAACCCTCATGTAATAAATTGCATCTCCATATTATGGAAGCCAATATGCTACTTTATTATGTAAATTTGAAAAGGAAATTGTAATTCCAAAATAGCATGACAATCTATCTATCTATATCTTTCTACCATATACATTTTACATACATACAACCTGCATTGTTTTTACAAGACTTTAACCTGCACTAAAATGTGCACACTTATGTAAATATAGTTGACAATCCAAATATGTATATGTCCATTCAACTGCTCAACGTTTTATTGTTTTATTGTGATATCTTGTTTCAGCAGTTACTTTATCACTTTATTTTGTAATTTTAGTATTATTATTTGTATTTGTATTGTATTTTATCTTAATGTTTTACCTTGTTTGAATCCTGTTTTTCACCCCGACCCTGTTGCTGCTATAAACGCCTGAATTTCCTCACAGGGATAAATAAAGTTCAATCTTATCTTATCTTATCTATCTATCTATCTATATATCTGTGATATATCTATCTATCTATCTATCTATCTATCTATCTATCTATCCAGTGGCGTTTTTATATGTACAAAAGTGGTGGGGCACAAAAAACTTAGATGTCTATATATAAGCTTCTGCAGTGACGTGCAGTGAGGTTCATGGCTGGTGAGGCACTGGCACTGACTCTTCAGGTTTACAAATATTATATTTTGACCTAAACCAAAATATAATATTATTTTCAAAAGCTTTTTTTGTCTGATGCTTCGATTAATTTTAAACAGACAGTTCAACAAAAGGATACCCAAAAAATGTAATTTTATCATTTAAATATTGAATTGTTCTCTCTTAGTAAGATCCCATTGTCAATAAAATGGCGGTCTTACCTTGACTTGAAGATGAAGTCCATTTGCCTATCCTTCTGGACAAACATTTCTATTACTTTTTTGTAAAAGTCCTCCTTATGTTCTTGTAGTTTCAAAAGTCTATCATAAATCTAATCCATAGATTTATGATAAAAAAATTATAAAAGTAGGGTAGACATGTGGATGTTATCCGGCTAATCAAAACGTGCATTTATCTAACAGGTACGTTTCCCACAGATCTTATTTCGAGCGATTTTCTAAAATCCTCTGGAGAAATCTCATTGCTTTTTTGTGCTTACTTCCTGGTTTTAGGACGCGCCACTGCAGCTCTCTCGTCTCCTATTCAAGCACCACACTTTTCGCGGCACACGTACTTACAGCCAATCAGCTCTGAATGATTTGAGATGACGTATGGTGGGGATGGTAACTCCGTGCCCCTCTGGTCATTATTTTTTTGCCACACACATTACATTACAAAATACTCTGAGCATGCGCAGTGAAGTTTTTACAGTCACCGTTCACTTCACAGCAAGAGGAAGGGGCATAATCAGGTTTTGTCCCACATGGCTCTAAACAGCTCAATAGGCACACACTGTGACTGTAGACACACTAATTAGAAGAACACAGACTAAAACAGCAATGTACAGACGAATCAGATGATTAAACATGATCTTAAAATATATTTTATATATTTTTTTATTTATTTTTTTGCATTTTTGTAATCATTATTTGTAATACTTTCTGCTGACACTAGGTGGGGCTGTGCCCCACCTGCCCCTAATGACCAGTCGCCACTGTATCTATCTATCTATCTATCTATCTATCTATCTATCTATCTAGTATGTAATTCATACTGTTGCATGGTCTTTATGCAAATATTTGACTAAATCCAAAATAAATCCAGCACTATACACAAAAGTGAGATAAACTTAAAGTGGACCTATCATGCTATATTTGAATAATATAGTGTAGGACCATACCTATATAAGGCATATTTATACTTTTTTTTTTCAAAATACCAAACAGATCATGCATTTTAGCCATGCCTCATTTCGCTCAATTTGAAAAATGTTAGCTCTGTTTTTGCAAGGGCTGATTCAGTGAGAACAGCACCATCTAGAGGCCTGGCATATGTACTACAGCGTCTCCAGCGCTTTCGAACGACAATGCCGTGGTTGTCTCCTCCTGATTGGTGGAGTTGGCCCAATAGCCGTAGCGCCACTGTCCTGACATCAGGACAGTGTTCAAATCTGGATCAGTTTTTATCAGATCCGTTGCAGCCCCTTTTTTAGAGATTTGGGTATGGAGGAAAATAGAGAGGGTTGTGTTTTCTGACACTTGGTGAGTTCCCTGGAACACCGGGGACACATATTCATGTATAAAAGACGTACAAAAGTGCATTTTGCATGATAGGTCCCCTTTAATGAACAGGTAAGAAAATAACAAAGCTATTAATATTTCTTGGGGGAACACAAGTATTTGTACCAAAACGTCAGGAAGTCACTCCAATAGATTGTCTGGGAATCATGATTGTCTGATCAAAGATCTTGTTCTATTCAAGCGGTAGATGTTGAAATATCTCTCTGGATAACAGGAAATATTTACCTGACGGTGGGGATACAGTTCCAGTCAGAGGATAACCAGTCAGCAGTGTTCTCTGACTATCAATGTCTGTACACAATTCCAGGCCAATCCAATGAATGGACTTTGAGATATTTCAGTCTGGACCAAAGTGTATTTTCATTTACTTTTTTAATGTGCAGCATCTAAACATTGCAACAAGTATTTTGTTATCTATAGTCTGTGCCTAAACGTTTCAAACTAGGATAATGTATTTGAATACAAGACAACCTTTAACCTGGAAGGAGTTTGATCTGATTGATTTCCCTGCAACAGTGCCTCATTCGACTTTAAAAAAGCGGATAAGATTAAAGATGATAAACATTCCTCAGTGTGTTTGCTCTTTAAAGTCAATACAACATGTTCTCCATTGAGAAAGAGTAAAAGAACAAATCAATGGAAAGATATTTTAGTTTGTATTGCAACATATTTGCCTAGAGTCTAGACCTACATCAGTGTGGCTTCTTAACCTCAACATAAATTAATATCCCTACTTTATGAGAGAGGAGACAGTTAGAGAGTTCAGTTCATTTTACGGTATTGGCATTTTAAAGCACAACAACATTAGGTTTGCACCTCCTGGCCCAGTGCTAAATAAGAGCAACATATTGAAGGAATTAAAAAAAAATGTTTAAAGATTGGTTCCTGCTTCCGTGCAAAGAAGTTTAGTTTAGTTAATGGTCCAAAATATAAAATATATATATATATATGGTAGGCTATAGTTTGCATTCATCTGAGTACTACATCTGAATCATGTAGGACGTACACATCTGATGAAGGTCAAGTCAAAGTAATGCCACAAAACAAAGAAACAAGTAAATGTTAAAGCAATCAGTTGGGTGTCCTTTTTTAAAATTTGGTAAACATTTGATCAGCAATCAATCAAACAAGTAAATCAGTCATTGTTAAACAGATCATTCGCAGATCACCCTTGTTAAAGCCCCTCCCTTGGTTTCTCCCTCTGTGACTTCTAAATGTTTTTTTGGTTTTAAATCATAAGTTAGTGTTTGTATTCCCCTTTCGTTCCCCTCTTTACTACCTCTCAGGGGAATGTAGGGATGTTTTTTTATAGGCCTCACTGAGCTCTCCACCAAACTGTGTGCTCTAATCCTTACTTTCTGTTTCCCCTCCCCCACTCTCTCTTGTATGTTCACAGCCCTTACCTTACCTGGCTGTGTGTTTGCTTCAGACACACCCTGCTACTGCATATCAACCAATCGCTGCTTCAAGACACAGACACCAAGGAGGTATACTTCCTGTGTTTCGCGAGAGAAGAATGGAGCAGGAGAGAGTTATGTACTATATGTGCCAGGGGGGTCCACAAAAGAGACCACATCGACAGTAGAAGGGAGGGGAAATAACTAAAGCAGTGGAGAGACTTTAAGTTGATTTATTAGAGATCTTTCTGTTCAGCTGCAACCACTGAGAGGACAAGACAGAGAGAAGGAGGAGGGGAAAGATAAGTGTCAATCTGTTCAGACTTGTTTGGGAATTTGAGGAAGGAGGGGAGAGACAGCGAGGCAGCAAGAGGGAAAAGTAAGGAGAGCTCAGGCGTAAACATTAAGTGTTTCACAAGAGTCAAAGTATTGAGATACAAATATAGTTTTGATTAGTTTGAGCACATTTGTATCGTCAACTAAACAATGTGAGGTGTCATTTATTGTGTGTTGTGCAATCCCATGCATTTGAGCTGAACTGGACCCAGTGGGGAGACCTCAGATCTCCCCAGGATACTACATTCAGGTGAGTGGCTTTATCATGGATTTTATATTGACACTTCTTCTTTAATTTGCTCCTGTTTTGAGCACAGTTAGAGTAAGGTCCAGCTTAGTTGTGGTTTACATGTTACATGCCGTGCCTATGTGTCACAGGCCTTCACTTTCTGAAAGACTTCTCTTGGTATGCTGTGCTTTGCAAGTCTGTGCTGCATTCTTTGAGAACTGTAAGAGAGTGCCACTTTTTTTTTTTCTGGAAATACTGTTCTACTGTAAAAGTATAACTCTGCCATATTTATTGTATTTGACTAAATAACGTAAAAGAACACAGCTTCATTGTGGCAGCTATCAGCATGTGTCAAATGGCGCAGTAATGAACATTTCGTTTTTAAGAGTACTTGTACTCAATTCTGTGACATTACCTATACATTTGTAGACCATGTTGCTTATTTGACTTGCATTCCATTGATCTGTCTATACCTGAAGTTATCTAACTCTCAAAGGTCGAAATCTTTTTATTTAGTTTCGACAATCAATAAGCAGTGTTTGTCATATAGTAATGGTAAACATAATAAGCCAATGCAAATGAGCGATTGGTCTGTGCTGATTGTATGTACAAAAGGAAAAATAAAAAACAAAACAAGAAAAACACAGACAAACAATAACAACGACTAAAGTAATCCCCTATCCCCTATCACTGCCAGTGATCCTTATACACACAAATATATGCCAGACATATTGTTGGATGAGTATATATGCATGTAAAACAAATGCATATACACACATGCATATACACACATGCAACCTACACATACACATTTTCTGTATACATACACATATATACATACATACAGTATACACATGCTGCACTTAAGCTAAACCAATAACAGAATGATTTACAGAGTTTAGAATGCATTTATAAAAGGTCGATTTCTTAATTGATGATGTGGACTGTTGCTGTCTTTTAGGTCCTCCAAATCATAAAATGGGAACTAAAAGGCCCAGCTGCACGCCCTTTGACACTTTAACTAAACTCAACACATCTGAACGCAAGCTTCAGCCAGGTGGAAAAATCTCCCGCGATCCAAGTCCAAGGCCAGCAATGACTGCCCAGTCGGAGAGAGAGAGAGACAGAGACAGCAACCGGGAGGAAGATAGGAGGAGGGAGCGAGAGGCCGAGAAAATGAGGGACAAAACGAGATACAAAGATATGGATCCACGAGATAAATACTCTGAAAGAGACCGAGCTCCTGCACCAAGGCCAAGAGAGGGAGAAAGAGAGAGGACCGAAAGAGTGAGGAGGCAGGAAGACGACGGAAGCAAAAATGGGAGGCCCCTGTCAAATTTAGAGAAGGAGAGTTTGAGAGAACTAGACAGGGGGACGAAGAAAGGCGACACATTTCCCCGGATGAGAAAAAGCAGTCCAGGTCGCGGAAGAGGAATGGCACCCACCGTGGAGTTGGACAAAGAGAGGGAGGAAAGAAGACGGAGAGATGGGCCGAGAAGAGTAGAGCCAGATGACCGGGAGAGAGAAAGAGAAAGGACACAGCAGAGAGAGAGGTACAGGGAGAGGGAAAGAGATGATATCCGAAGCAGGGGAAAGGCAGAGGGAACAAACACTTTAGGAAGACCCGTCGAAGATGATAGATCACGAAAGATGAAAAGATATCCGGAGCCTGATGTCGTTTTTCAAGACAGGAGAAGAGAAGGGGGTAATTCACGGGACAGAAGAGAGAGGGATGCTGCTAGAAAAAGGGATAAGCTGGAGCCTAACACAGGAGAGAGGGAGGTCAGGGTGCATTCTGCACACAGGAGAAGAGAGAGAGAAATGCCCTCTGATAGGGGAGAGGGAAGGAGGGACACTAGGAGTGAAGGAGACAGTGATGAGAGAGAGCGAAAGAAGGAGAGAGTTAGGATCAAAGACAGGCAGGAGTTGACATATCAACACAGCAGAAGTGAGGGGGACAACAACGGGAAGAAACAGGGGGATAGAGATCAAGACAGGCAAGGATCCAAGGAAGAGGACAGGCAGAGATACATGGACAGAGAAGCGGATGGAACCAGGAGGAAGGGAGGGGAAAAAGATAGAGAGAGATACAGAGAGGCTGACAGGAGAGTGGAGAGGGAGGGAGACAGAGGGAAAGAAAGTGTGAGAGACTTGAAGGATGACAGGAGAGAGGAGGACAGATACAGAGATCGTGGCAGGGAAACAAAGGAAAGAGAGGCTGACCCGAGACGGGATGATGCGACAAGCAGTAGAAGTAGATCCCAGAACGAGACGGCCCCTAGGGTGCCTCCACGAGCCCAGAGCAGCGGGGAGTGGAGCAGCGACATGGACAGTGATATGAGAAAGAGGAGAGGCAGAGACAGTTATGAGGAGTCAGGGAAAGAGAGTGACAGAGACACAGAAGACCAAAGACATACAGGTGCTGGAAGAAGTCAAAGCAGGCAAACAAGAAGTGAGAGACAAGAGAAAGACAGGGGAGATATGACGGGGCAAAGAAGGCTGTGGTTAGAGCCAGAGAAGGACAAGAATAGGAAGGACGAGTTAGAAGACAGGCAAAGGGGGAAAGAGAGGAGGAGATATGAAGATGGACATTTCGAGTCACAGGCTGAAAGAGAGGGACGGCGAGTAAAAGAGGAACCATGTGAGAAATACTTGCCCGAAAGCAGTAATAGAGGAAGGAATGAAGGGAGCAGTAGGAACAGGGGGGACACGGGGAGTGAGGGTGTTAGTGTAGATGGAGAGGACGTGGGTGAAGTCTGGAGAGAAAGAGATAAGAGGGGGATGTCTGACAGTGATGGAGGGATAGAGGGAAGACAGCGGAGAGACGCAGAAGGAGAGAGCGTGACAGATAACACAGGGGACAGTGACAGAGAGGAAGAGGGGGGGAGAAATGACAGAGCCCAAAAAGATAGTGAGACGGGGTGGAGCGGAGAGAGAGACAGAATACAGTCAGGAGAGGACGGCTTTGTGACCTTGTCCAGCGGAGGAGACGACGAGGATGAGAGAGAGGAAGACGAAGAAGAGGAGTTTGAGGACTGTCGGGAATTCTTGGAAAGTTCACATGATGCCATCCAGATGCGTGAGGGGGGAGATAAGAAGGGATGGACAGTGGGAGAGGAGGAGGGGGTGGATGAAGACGAGGAGAAGAAGAAGAAGAAGCAAAAGTATGTCTTCTGTGTGATTGGGCAAACTTTGCCCAGGTCAAACACCAGCAAGATGTCCCCGTCACAAGATGATCACATGGCAGGGGACGAAAGACACAACCCAAATATGGAGAGTCGCAATGAGGCCACACAGGATGATGACTTGCATCCGAGTAGAAATGATGAAAAAACAGTCATCAACAACCAGCAAGCAAAGAGGAAGAGTGAGTGTGACGTGCCAGGGGAGGAAACGCCGGCCTCAGAAGACACAACCGAAGTGAATGTCAGATACAGAGAGACTGGAGGGGAAACAAAGAGCAAAGGAGAGCACCCATACGCAGAAATAGGGACCGTTAAAAAAGACTCGCAGACTGAAAAACTCCTACAAGAGTGGAGAAGCAAAAATAAAGGGGGAGTGGAAGAAGAGCAGGAGCTAGATTTGCAGGTGCCCAGTAATCCCTATGGTAATGTTGCTTCTCAGGTGAATCTTGAACAAATTCAACCCATCTTGGAAGGGATTAACACCGGAGCAATGAGTCCAGAAGAGGTGGAGGCCATTCGCATCCGAATGAGCGGAGCATGGAGCATGTCCGAGGAACCCAAGCGTCATTCCCAGGCCCCCCATCTTAAATGGGCTAAAAATGTGTTGTGGGAGATCCTGGGACACTCGGAGGAACATACCATTGATGAAGCAGGACAACAAGGGGTCAACCAGCCGGAGGCAGACAACAAGAACATGGAACAACAGGAGGAGGTTGGACAAGGGACCGCACGTGTGCCTGTTATCCAGTTGAGTACGGACGAACAGCACTCGGAGACAGAGCAGGAGGAGGAAGGGCCGTCGGAGGAGTTGAGAGGTATGGGGCAAGACCAAGCCGACATGCATGCTGACCAGTTCACAAATATTCATGGTGACTTAACGGCATACACTCATGGTGACACATTGTCAGACAAAGAAGGGAAGGTGGATCCCAGTATGGACATAGTAACTGAGCCATCTGATCACATTCAGTTAGAAAAGGCAGCAGTAGAGGTGATCATTAGCGAAGAGGCAGGGGATGACGTTATTACAGATGATATGGAAAGCAGAGATAAGGAGGAGATGATGTATTTAACTGTGAGCAACACGCTGTACAAGCCTAACAGCTGCCCTATTCTTAATTATGATAGTGAATCTGACCTCCTGGATATCTCCAGAGAGGGGGAAGACGGAAAGGGGGAAATTAGGGAAAGTGAAGAAGAAAGGCAGGGAGAGGAAACTGAGGAGAGGGTTACTGTAGAGGAGGTGGGAGAGGAAGGTGAGGGGGATAATGGAGAGGGAGAGGCGGTGGCAAAGACCAAGAAAGTAGGGGGGGCTGGGCTGAGCAGCAGCAGTTTTCTGGCTTTGGGTCCCGAGGCTCGATTGAGACGAAGGGGAATCCGTAAAACCACTGAAAGAAGAGATGACGAGAATGGAAGGGATCGCAGAACCAGAATTTTCTCTACAACAGGTAAAGACAGAAGATGGAGGAGGGAGACAAATTCTCTTTTTGTCATCATTCACCATTTAAAAAAAAATCATCCAATTTCAATCGAAATACTTCAGGCTAGACAGAGAATCTTTTAAATGTTGTAGAGACTTGTTTTTTCCTCCTGACTTTGATGGGAGACTTTAATCTAGTCATTTCCGTCTAAGAGTTTCCTGCAACACTTTGTCGTCACACTAAACAACCCCACATCTAATGTAGACATCTGCTAAAAGACAACATCAGTGCACTGATCTGGTCTCATTACATTACATGAAACTGGGAACTGCGTCACAGTGTTGTGGTTAGAGTTCAGGTAGTGGGCGGAGATAAGTGGAGGTGGAGAGGGAGGGAAATAAGAAGCATGAGCTATAAGGCTGGAGTTGATTCTGCTTTGAGACATAACACGAGAAGCTCGATTTATGGGAACAAACTAATCTTATTCTATAGCTTATTGAAGCACGGATACTAACTGAACTAATTATTTATTTAATTTATTACCTTTTTTTCTTATTAATTCATCCAAATTGTCCTTGTAGTTCGTGGTAAATGAATCGGAGCATAGTCAATGAGTATGCTGTTGTATAACGTTTCGACAAATGGATACTTTTTTATTCCAGATGATGAGGATGATCGAAGCAAAAGCTGGGGAGAAATAGAGCTGAGGTAAGTAAAACAATCACACACACACACACACACACACACACACACACACACACACACTCTGTGTTAAGCTACAGTAGTGCACAAGATGTGTTCAATTGTTTTAATTTGGATTAAGTGTCCCTGATATTAAAAACTTAGAGTCACAATGATATATTTAAATTATGTCAATTTTATGTATTTATTTAAACAAGGAGCATGCATATCTGTCACTTCTTTCCACCAGTCTTCATGATAATAACTTATCATTATTTTCTTTGCACTGTAGAAATGTTTTGGACACAATCGACAGACGGAAAAGGAATTCAAAGATTTTCAGTGAGTATCTTTTAAATGTTTTCTTCAATCAGGTCATGCTGCTTAAAATATAATAATTGTCTGCCTTGGACCTCAAACACACACATTGTGTTTCTTAACTGCTATCTCATAAATGTGCTGTGCTGTTTTCTCAATTAGCCTTATTTATTATTTATCACAAACTTACATTTTTAGACTGATTATTAGAAAAGGTCACGGCAAATTGACGTGTCTTCAGATGTTATCTCTTCTGGCTGATGTGGTTGGGAAAAAGCATGACGCAGTTGAGCATTTCCCTTCAGTTGGTGTGATTCATCTCCGTCTGTGAATGCAGGCTCACAAACTGTTTATCTCTTACCCTGAACATGTTGCCTTGGAACGAAAATGAAATTCAAAAATCAAAGGAAACCAGTTTTCTGTTGACACCATTTCATAATTAGTTTTTTTTCTAAAATGGCAGTTTGTCGCTTAGCCTATGATTCATATTTATTGCGATACATGGGGCAGGAGGGTGTGCGTACGTGCTGTTTATAAATGTGTGTCTGTGCAAGCCAGGGACAGGTTTCTGCAAGTATTAGTAGCTCTTCACTTGAAGCGAAAACAGCTGCTGCTGCAAATTTACTGCAAAGTACGTGTAAAAGGAATGTTGAATGCAAACAGCTTCTCTTGGCTAAAGCATTTATCTTCTTTCCTTTTCTTCCATTTTGTTCTCTGTCTATCTCTGTTGTGCCCTCTTCTCTTCTGCTTTTTTCTCTGTCTCACATCCTCTCTTTCTCCCAGATGCGGCCCAGTTATACCAGCAGTACAACGAGGCGGCCCAGAACATTGAGATCCAGCGCCAGGCTCGCTCCGATGGCGTCCCTCCTCCCTCCCCCCCTCCTGCCCGCAGACCCCTTCCTCCCCTACCTTCTGTCCCGCATCCCCACTCCTTGTCCCACTCAAACTCCATCACCAGTGTCCAAAGCTTGCCTCTCCCTGAGCCCCCGAAGAGTGAAGGCAGGCCTTCCTCCCCTCGTCTCTCCGTCTCTCTCTCTCAGTCGTCGTCTCAGTCGGCCTCTCTGTGGAGGGAGCTGCCGGGCGTCAGGAACAGCGTTGAGCTGGTGGAGCTCACAGATGACGAGAGACGACTACAGGAGGTAACGAATCTTACTCTGCATTTGAAAGTTTAGTCACTATTTTGTGGCAGAACGTTTCCTTGTAAGAAGGGTTTTGCCCTACATTTTTATTGAGAAGGACATCGTGCCAGTAACTTCAGGCAGTGCTTTTCATTCCAGCTAAGACATGCATTTGTGTTTCTTTGGAAAGAGACTGGATCAAGGTTCCCACCTCAAGGAAATCAGTCAGAACGCTTCAGGCAATTATCAATAATAAGAACACCCACACGAGACTTTCAATATATGGCACCTTTTAACAAAGGAAAAGCAAAACCAGGATACTCATAAGAAAATACATCAGAAAGCAAGGCCAAGAGCAGGACAAAACTTGTTACAAATAAATACAAATTAAAAAAGAAGTGATTTAGGCAAAGTCACTGATTTTGCAAGCCTTCTTTCTCCAGGCAGGTCGTTCCAAAGCATTTAATTTAATATAGTTCATTATCTTCACTTTACCAACAGTTTTTCTTCCTTCTTCCTTAAAGGTGGGATAGGTAAGTTTGAGAAACCGGCTCGAGATACACTTTTTGTTATATTCCATGGAATGCTCTTAACATCCCGATAGCAATGAATATCTTAAGTGCTTTGACAAAAAATCCATAAAAAAATGTCATCTGTGGAAGCCGTAGTACTGTAAAAAGTACGACCAATCATTTTAGCCGGGCCGGCTAAAGTAACTGGATGTCCTACCTGCCTGTCAGCCTTCCATCTGTGCACAAACTTATCTCGTGCCCTCATTGGTCATGTGCACGTTCGTGTGTGTTGGAGGAGGGGCTCTGTAAGGAAGTAGCAGATTTCTTCCGGCTGTGTATTTTCAAAATCTAGCGATCTCGAGCTGGTTTCTCCAAAATTACCTACCCCACCTTTAATCTGTAAAGGATTTTGATTAGATTGTATCTTTTGATCAGAGCAGCTACATGTGTAGCAAAAAATCAGGTTAAAAATCTGTGTCAATGTTCTGTTTCATTTGCTGCAAAATTACTGGCACAACTTTTTTCTTAAAATTCAGTAGAATCCTCCCTGATTTTCTTTCATCTCATGACCTTGAATTAATCAGTTCTAGTTTTAAAGACTCATGAGCTCACTTGTAATTTTCGTTTACAAGGTACCAAGCAATTTAGGGTGTCCTTTCGTTTCAGCAGCTTCCTGATGTCTGTTGTATTTCATTTTAACTTCTGGGAAATGACACTACTCTGCCATTCTCTTTTATCAACCAACCTCTCATACTACAAAATTCACGTGAAATATTCGTACTTGCATCATTTCAGAATATCCCTCACAGTGATCCACTTTATTTTTGGCAGATGAGTGTCTTACTCATGAATGTGCCAGTGTGTTTCTCTGGCATTATGGTTGTTTTCCTCTGTCTGGGCTTGAACTCTTCTTCTCATTGCGAAACCTACCTCCCTACTTAGTCACATCCTTGTCAAAATGCCCCAGCCTTCAGAGAACTGACACTGCTTATTAGCGATATGATTTACCTAGTCGGCTCTTACTCAACGCTTTGATCTTTTTTTTTATTTATTTCCCTTCTAGGTGAGATTTGAAGTGGTGACCTCGGAGGCCTCATACTGCCGGAGTTTGGACATTGTTGTTGAACATTTTGTCAAGTCCAAACAGTTAGGGACGCTGTTAGCCTCTCAGGATAGGAACTGGCTCTTCTCCCGGCTCGCTGATGTTCGGGCCATCAGCCACAGGTCAGAAATGTTTAACATTATTTATAGTTCTGTATCTGAATATTATCAAAACTACTTGTGTTGTGCAGGTACGATTTTACAAATATGTTGAAGAAATTAACTCATGATTTGTGTCTGTCTTTTAGTTTTTTATCAAAGCTGGAGGAGCGTGTTGAATCTGATACCTTTCTCTTCACCGTGTGTGATATCATCGCATGGCACTGTCAGCGCTTCAAATTGGTTTATGTGCCCTACCTCACCAACCAGTCCTATCAGGACGCCACCTACCAGAGACTCATGTAAGACACTCAGTCAAGCGTTTGTGTTCAGCTACAGGCTGTAGGGTTTGTATCTGTCTAGACATTCAATTTTACTTTTTCTTTCAGGGAGGAGAATCCAGGGTTCAGACGGATAGTGGAGAAATTAGAGAGGAGTCCTGTTTGCCAGAGACTTCCTCTTCGTTCCTTCCTCGTCCTCCCCTTCCAGAGGATCATAAGAATTAGGCTGCTGGTCCAGGTGTGTATGTGTGATTGTGAGTTTGTGTGTGTGTGCGTGTGCGTGTGTATGTGTGTGAGAGAATTTCTCTAACAGCAATGTTGATGGTTCACAACATGTTCAATCCTGTATGTGACTTTAACACACGCACATTGTTTTTCCACAGAACATTGTGAAGAGAACAACTCCTGGTACTGCAGAGGCAACACAGGCCATCAAAGCTTTGAAACTTCTGGAGAAGGTACATAAATATACCTATTCTGTGCACATGTTACATTTTATCCTGGATATCTTGAACTGCCTTGTGACAAAACTCTGCCTCTTTCATATATCTCTTCCTTAGCTGATTCAAGAGAGTAACGACAGCATCACTCAGATGAAAAGCATTGAGTCTCTGGTCTCTCTCAGTGCTAAAGTGGGCTTTGAGTGCAGGGTAAGTCACATTGTGATTAACATGCTGTTAATCATGTTTGCAAATGACTGATTTCATGTTTTTCAATCATTTCAAAACTCTTTTCGTATCAAATAATTTATTTCACCCAACATTTCAAGCAATACAAATGTAATTTCCTTGAGTTTTTTGTATTTTTTTATGGAATATAAAAATTATCTCACAAAATGATCGTATGTCAAGGCTCACTTACTAGCTTTCAACTGCACCATGGTCTTCATCAGTGGATGGAGTTAACTTATTTCTCATCGAAAAAGCTCAATTGAAATCAACAGTCATGGTTTGATGTAGGACAATTAAACAACTGACTACAAGGAGCTTGAGTTATAATACTTCCTATTTGTTTGTGTGGTTACAGACTCTTCCTCTGATCAGTCAGTCTCGGAGGATGGTGCGTGAAGGTCTGGTCACTGAGCTGATGGATTTCTCTCTAAAAGAAACGGAGAGGAATATTTATGTGCACCTATTCAATGACTATTTGCTGATTTCCCTTCAAAAAGAGTGAGTCAACAATTCTGTAAGGGTTAAATAGGTCATTTACCATTTGTTACATCCTGTTTCCTGCATATCCGCAGACTTTTATCATTTCTTCAATCTTATCGCAGTCAGTCCTTCCGCCATCTAATTTCTCTTTTGTGTTTTCTGCTTCCAGAGGGGGAAGGTTCACAGTTATAGACCACTCTCCCGTATCTGACCTGCGTGCTGAGAACTGTCGTGTCAAACTGCACACCCTCCAGAAGAACCTGTTCCGGCTGCACATGACAAACAGAGCCCTTCTGGTGCGGACAGACAAAGAGTAAGAGACTAAAACAGTGGCAGGGAATGTCTACATATCAGTCCTCATGTCATCAAGTTAACATAAACATGGAAGAAGACTCACCCATCTTTGCTTTTTCTACCTTCAGGAGTGATAAGCTACGTTGGATATCAGCTCTCTCCCGGCCTCATCCTGAAATAGACTTTTCTGCTGCAGAAGGTGAAGCTATGCTACTTGGTTTAGAAATTGCAAAGCTCACTGTTTTTCAAAAGCTCTGTCTTAAATTCCTTCCTACCTCATTCCCTGATTAAAAACACTCAATGTGATACTCTGAGACTTGTAAATTTAGATTACAAACACTTGAAACTCATAATAATGTAGCATCCTCAGCAGTGAGTGCGTTGTCACATGAAAATAAACTAACTGTAGATTTTTGTTAGTATTTTTTTAGCAAAAACATTGACATTGTTTTGAATTTTAACTAATTTAAACCTACATTCAGAGACTGAATCAAAATGGCAGACAGTATGTATTTATATAATTTGGGAATAACATGATACCATGAAAATCTATGTGCTAATAACAAATAAATATAACACTAGAGTGGGGGAAATGTCAGTGCAGCGCAATCTTTGCAGGCCCAGTTGTTGATTGTAGGTCTGACTTCTCTCCTCTTGTGTCCATACAGATTTTACACAGATGCAGTGTATCCGGGCTATTGTTGGCCATCAGCCTGATGAGCTTTCGTTGGAAAAAGCGGACATCATTCTAGTGCATCAACAAAGCAGTGACCGTAAGACTATTTCACTATCTAACTTCCCCCATCATTCCCTTAAAAACGGTTCACTCGTGCAATATATGCAGCCTGGTATTATTAGAGAATAGACAATAATTAACTTTTTGTTGGATCCTTTTTTCCTTCCAGATTGGGTAGAGGGGACCAGACTGTCCGATCGGCATCGTGGATGGGTTCCAGATTCACATTTGGAAACCATAACCAACTCTAATATCCAGCAACGCAACCTTTCAGATGCCATCAAACTGACAACAGCCACAGCTGCCGTTTGAACAGGACACTCGGACTGGACAAGGGGACGTCCTGGAATAAATCGCAAAGGAGAGGACTTTGAGTAGCTGGAAATTATTATGGACACTCAGTGCTACTGATGGGCTTTTCTGCCATTGTATTTTTTCTCTAAAGTGCAGCAACTGAACAGTTGTAGAATGCATCTCAATATCATTTTGGGTCTCATTTGATTTACTCAGCGGAACAAGATATTGACTTCAATGCACATGCTGAGGCCTGCCTGAAAGACATTTAGCACATTGTAACTGTATTGACTTTTATCTACAGTACAGTACCAACAAGTGTGTGCGGCAATAAATCAATAGACTGGTGTTTTAAGAGAAAATGCTTAAAAAAGGATATCACCTTTTTTTTAAAGAGAAAAAAAGTTTGCTGTGTTTGAAAAATCTATTATTATTTGTGTATATTGAAGAGAACAAAGAGTTGAGTGTATGTTGCATTTCTGTTAAGAAAGTTGGCCTCTGCATGAAGGTGACCTAGCAGAAATCATGCAAAAATGTATTAGACGATTCATAGATGTACAGATCTTACACGGTGAGGACATTTCATAATAATTCATATTGGAGGAATAAAATCACGTTTGGAAAAGTACATGCTTTAATAAGAGAGCTGTGGATTATTGTCTTCATCATGAAACTAGTTGTTTTGGACAAAGCTGGTAGGCTACACATTTTACACCAGCAGCATTGTTGCACGTTCACAAGAAACCTTGTTCTGGATTAACTTGATTCCTGGCATATGTTTGCCCCTTGGCTAAAATGCAGAGAACAGTCTGAACTAGCTGTTTACAGAAGAAAGAACAGTACAGATAATGCACGTAGCCGGCCGCCTGGCTGGGGCGTGACCACTACGTCGGCCTGGCCCATTTTCAAGGGTTTGCTTTTGCTTATTTCTGCCGTCAGTTAGAAAACGGGACTACAGTAGTCATCCAATAAACGCACTGCAATCCTACCGTTGCCGTCCTCTAAACGGACACTCCCACTGTCAATCAACGCACTCGTCTCTGATTGGTCACATCGTTGGTGGGCGTACCCTGCAGTATTTGTTGTTGTTTTCGTTCAGGAGAATAGGAGCAGATCAGTCGACATCTTTGGTATCCATAGCATTTCTGTGCGTTATGACCGTTTCTTAAGCTAATCATTTAGAGACTTGACGACCTAAAGGAAACAGCAAAGTGAATCTGGATTTATCGTGTTTTTAGTGAAACCTGTGTGTGTCTTTTTGAAAGGTATGTGAACAGTAACGTCTTCTTCGATGCGTTAGCTGCAGCTGTTAGCATTGATAGCTATATAGCACAGTAAACGGTTGATTTCGTATTCAGTTAGCAAATAAAAAACACAAATTACACACAAATATGATGAGACGTTGTCACATAGTCAATCCCAACGATTTGCTTTGTTAGTTTGGTTATGTTATTGTAATACAGTAGGAAGGAAGGCGAGTCAGCTGATCTCGATGCTGTTAAAAGTGACGTGGCCTCAATTCACGATGACCAAAACAACCCTGATAGCAGACACTGACATCGTGACCACAACAATCTAGGGAGAGAGCTATGATTGTTTAATTTTTCAATATTCAGTTAAAATGATTATTACTCGACACAGTGTGCCGTTTCTTCAGCCTCTGCCACGATTCTGCTGTTTCCTCTACCCACACCTAGCTTAACGTAGGTTGTAAACAGTGGCGGATAGTTGGGGTTCTTGTTATGTAAGAGCACCAGTGGTGGAAAGAAACGAAGTAGCCTACATATACTCAAGTACAATTTCGAAGTACTTGTTCTTTACTTGAATATTTACATAATGTAATTTGACATAACTACATTTATTAACACAGCTTTAGTAACTTTGAAAATGTGAACATTTTTCCTAAAAAAACTAAAAAACGTAATACACTTTCAACTTAATCCATCTCTAAAATTCAAACTACTGGACTAACTGTTCAAGTCACAAAAAGATTATTCAATATATTACAAAATGTGGCTTGGTGCAACAATTTGAACAATGTCATAATGTCATATATATATATATATATCACATTTGGAGGACTTTTTTCTCCAGAATTACTACTTTTGCTTTTGATCCTTTACGTACATTTTCTCTTGATAATAACTGTACTTTTACTTTAGAATGTAGGCTTGACTTGTAATGGAGTATTTTGACTACAGGACTTACTTGTAACACAGTATTTTTCCAATTTAGTATTGCTACTTTTACTTAGGTAAAAGATTAGAGTACCACCTCTGAAGAGCACTATTATTGGGTTTACAAGGGTTCCCATTTATATTGATATTGATGGGCATATTCAATCTGTCTTCAAATGTTTAGTTTTGTTTGACCAAAACACCAAAGACATAAAATGATACAATTCTAATTGATATATGAAAAATAAAAGCAGCAAACACTCTCAATTGAGAAACTGAATTCAGAGATTGTTTCTAAATTGATGAAGATATATATACATTTTGTTTTTCTTTGACTAATAGCTTAACACATTAAAGGTAAATTGTCAAATTGATGCCTCAGCAATTAACTGATTAACCCTTAAAGCATTTGAAAACAATAGTAAGCTCAAAGATATCAGAGGTAGAAGTGCACACCCCTAATGTGACCTCCACAAAACACGTGATTAAATCAAGCCCGATGTCATCATTCATCAAACAATGCTGTGCTCTTTACGCGGTCATATCACTTGTTGACTGAATACACTGATTGGTGACGTCAGCCATTGCTCTGTATTCTTTGTAAATAATGCCATTGTGAGGGAATTCATGTTTTCTTGTGTTTGTTGCCTTGTTTACAGATGGGCAGTCAGTACCAGCGCTCAGTACCTCTAGAGGTGAGGAGAGCAGAGGGAGAGAGGGTCCGGACCAAGCATCCTGACAAGATACCGGTCAGTATGACATCTGTTAACATGTTGCATCTACTGTTAGTGACCTTCAATCAATTAAACTGGGTTAGGAGGTGTTATGTTTGTACAACAAAATAACCAAGATCTCTATTTAAAGCCGGTTATCCTAATAAAATAATAAGTATAGGAATTCTTAAACAGATTGCAACTGTAAATTAGTATGAATGTATTTGTTGTTGTTTAGATTTTGGCATATGGCTGATTACTTTTGGCTCTATTTAACCAGATCATTGTGGAGAAGTCCCCGAGGTCACGAGCCCCTGAACTGGACAAGAAGAAATACCTGGTGCCCTCAGATTTAACAGGTGAAACACACAAACACATGCAAAATCTTCAAAATCCCAGTTAAATCTCTCAGATGACTCATCACATCCAGCAATCACCAGCTCTTTGGCGGGATACATTTCAGTTTTGGTGGTCACATAAATGTATAAAAGCTTTTTTTATAGCAAACACTCAGCACAGGTGATTTCATAGGTAAAAAACTCGCACTGCAACATACCAAAATAATTGACATTGCATATGGTCAAATAACACAAAAAACATCAATCAATCCTAAATAAAGGGTATCATAAACCATAAGGTGCATAAATAAGTGTGAGTCTGATCTCTTTTAAATGATAAGATTCCGTATTTTTAATCACGCTCTATATTTCTCTTCTCTACCATGATAGCACAACACATTCATCTTATTGTGAAGATAAAATATCTCGTCCCCTTGCGCTTTTACTGAGAAATAATCCATAGTTAATGTTAAAATTCCATCTGTGTCTCATGCTATAAGTCAAAATGTCTTGCTGTGAAAATCTGATAGGTGCACTAAGGGAAACTGTTCATGATTCAGCCTGATAGTGTCACTGCATAATAAGGTTTTTTAGCTTTTCTGTCTTTCTGATTGAATTTAACGTCTTGATTTCTCTTGGCAGTATTCCTGTTTTTTGTTTTTTGGTCAGAAGACTGAACAGTGTACTGGTCATTTCTCAGAGTCGCCTGTTTTCTTCCTCTTTATGTGAAATGAAACTACTGAGTGACACCCTTGCTGAGCATCTCCCTCTCTTTCTCGACTTCCTTTTTTTAGTGGGCCAGTTGTGCTTCTTGATCCGTCAGCGTGTGTCTTTGAGACCGGAGGAGGCACTCTTCTTCTTTGTCAACAACTCCCTTCCCCCATCCAGCTCCCCTCTCTCTGCTGTATATGAGGTAACTGTACCCGTCCACACACATGTTCACAAGGAGCTTCCCCAACACACACACGCGCACGCATGCTAAATAGATCTGCTGAGACTTGAGGTCAAGTTTAGCCTGCCAGTAACCCTCTTGCACAATAAGAGAAAATTCTGACCTGATCCTAATTCAACTTGAAGCTTTCTGGGTGCCAGAAAAAAGCTTTTTGACTACATTTTGATCAGTCATCTCAAATTTGGGGTGAATTAAAAAAAGAAGAAGTGCATATTCAAGATTCAAAGGTTTTACTGTCATATGCACAAAGCTACAGTGTAGAAATGGCAATGAAATTCTTCTGACCTGAGCTCCTCCAACAATGCAACATATATAAGGAAATACAAAAATACAAAATAAAAAGTAGTGCAAAAAGTCTATACACAGGTAAGTTGAGAATGCATTTTCTAATACTCTTTAAATAATCAATTATGAGGTTATGTTGAGTGTGTTAGTTAGTCTGTGTGCATTCTTAAGTGCCATTGTCATGCTGAATTATTTATTTTCCCCTTTTTTGTTGTTGTGTCCCAGGAGCACCATGAAGAGGACCTGTTTCTCTACATGACCTACAGTAATGAGAGTGTGTACGGTGCCTGAGTGAGGACAAAAGACTGGAGAAAGAGAGAGAGAGAGAGAGAGAGAACGAGGCTGTCTGAGAAATAAAGAGTTAAGGCTGTTTGTAATGCTTCACACCACTATTATTCTCTATATTAGTTTTGATAAGTAACTACATGGTGAAAGAAAGGCTTGGCACAGGGCAGACGTGGTCGCTGGTAGGGTTTACCGTCGTCAGTATTTCTGGGTGAGCTTAATGCATTTTAGTACACTTCAAGTTATGTTGATTAGAAAGAATGAATGCATCGCAAAAGGAGGTTAATGAAATTACGTTGAGGGATCTCTCTTATTCTTTCTCAGTCCTCTGTATTTAATGCAAATATTTGTTGTTTTTTTGTAAATTAATATCATAAACTTTTGTGGAAAATAAAGATGAAAATGCATACATTTCTGATTCTGTACGTGTGTCATTCTGCAATGTCTGCGGTTTGGATGTCAATTGGAAAAACATTTTTAAATGATTTATTTATAAGTACAACACTTTTGCACATAATGCATGTGGTTTAGGGGAAACACACATATAGAGGAAAGTATTTTGTCTTTACTGATCAGATGAGTAATGCTCACTGGACACTTTTAGGTTTCGGGCGTTTGGGTTTCTCAACACTTTTTGAGCAACAGGCGTTTCATCTGCATTTGTGTCCGCATGACAAAGGATTACATAACTCAGTTGTCAGATGACTAGCCTGGTCTGAGAAACTTCTCCAGCATATCGAAAGTTAGAGAAACAGAAGCCACAGGAGCCATGGAGCTGCAGGAGATCCCCAACGAGGGGGAAACACACGAGGAAGGTGAAGGAGCAAGTGAACCGATGCTGGAGGTCAAAACTGAAGGTACACATATTTTATTTATTCAGATAACACTTAAGAGTCCAAAAAAGCCTAATAAGGAATATATAGAAATGAAAAACGATGCATGCACAGTATTGTAGTGTTCCTGTTTTCTATATGAAAAATACATTTAAAAAAGTGTAATAAAACTCTATAATATTAAGAGATTTTCATTTCATATATTTTAGTTCAACATGTATTTGAGATTTAAAAAACATGTCAGGTGGTTTTGTCTGTTCAATTGAGTCTATCTTTATTTTTGTCTGGCTTTAGAGGAAGCAGAACCTGACCACTACTCCAAACTACAAAGTCCATCTGAAGATATCTATTCAGAAGCTTTATTCAGTGGCGATCCCGTTAAACCAAGGGCAGAAACGACCCGAGCAGGTACATATTATAATACAAATTGTTGGTGTTTTGAAGCTGCTACGTCCAAAGGTAACATGTAACATGTTTCAGTGTGCCTTAAAGCCACTTACTAAAAATAAAGGGTCTTCATTGGTCTTCCATAACACATTTTGTTTTAAAACTGCTCCATGATGTTTCTCACATTCTATATTTGATGTTGAAGTAAAACACACCAACATATCAGGGAGTTGCATCAACTTCAATATATTGCTGGTTCTTCACCAATGTGTTTTTGTCATTGTGGTTTCTTTGTTACTGTACATGAAAAACTGCAGCCTATATAATAATGACTTGAGTGTTTCTCTGAAAACCAATAAAAAAGCAGAAGGAAAGGTTTGAAAGCTTACCACAGCAGAAATTTAGTGGAACAAACGTTTTAACTTTGATCAACGATTACATTTTCATTACAGAAATAATGTCCGTTATTGTTTTACTTTTAATAAAGCTTGGTAGAGGCTTTTTAAGAATGTTTGACGAGCTGGGTAATTGTTAAATTCCAACTTATTTTCTTTTATTGTTGTTATTCTAAAAAAGGTTTGATGGCATGTTAAGGTCATTTCTCTGATAAACAGAAAAGTGGAGATATCAAGGACATGTTCACATATTTGTATTGTTTACTTGCAGCAGAATAACAAAACAAAGTTGAAATATGTAGTAAGTATTTTCAATGACGATTGATCTGCTGGTATTTATTTTCAAACAATTTAATTGTAATATATATACATTATATTATAATTAAAGTAGCTCAAAATGCCCCCCACAATTTCCCAGCACCCATGTTAACATTTGTTTTTTCTAAATAAGCCAAAGATTACCACGACAGAAGAGGAAAACACCTTTGAGGAATTGAAACCAATGACATTGTTTTTACAATGTCTCAAATAATTAAATAGGAAATGTGTTGACAATTAACTGTCAATGCTCAGTTAGTAAGTGAGTTATCATCAATTACCATTGTTCCATTGTTATATTATTTTATTTTCAAAGTATTTCTTATTTATTGAAGTATGATGGTAATTTACCTCTTTTAATCTGGACAGAGTGAATATGATATACTTGCAAGTAGATATTTATGAAAATAATGACAACATTTAATTACTAATACAACTAATACAATTTATTTACATTTTGTGATTCTTTAAACATGTTGTTTGTGAGCATTAGAGTACATTCATATTTGTAAGTGGTGGAAATCAAACTATTCTTCATCCAATAAGGGGGGATATCTCTGTAATGCAAAACCATCTGTTTAATACAAGTACACTTCACTAAACCCAAATCTGTCTTTTGTAAGGAAACAGCAACTCAATGTTAACAAGCACCTGTTGAAATCAAAACACTGTTTTCCTATTTGTTTTGTGATAACGCAACAATTTAAAAAGACAGAAAGAAAGTAATACGCAAAATAAACATTAATAAAAAGCACTAAATCAAGGTATGGAAGCCCTGAGATGCAAATCTTTGTTGTTGTAATTCTCATTTTGTCCACAAGAAACTGGAGTGCACCACTAGTGGCCTGGTTTGTTTCCCCCTCGGAATTCTGCATTTTGATCACATATATAAAATGTATCTGTATCAGTCATACTATGTTCTGTCTGGGAACTGTGCTCCATACATCTGAGATGACCTCAAAAAACAGTCCTATCTTTTGTTTTAGAGTACAAAATGTCTCCAGGAAGCACAGTCAATCTCTCACACAAAGAGAGATACAGTCCAAGTTTTGGAAACTGAAGGACAAGCGGATCACTGTGCCCCATGAATAATTCAGATATCACTGAAAGTCATGTTGCTATGGCTACTACTAGACAAAGGAGGGGGGGGGCGTCTTAAAGCTGCACTCAGATGTGAGTCAGCAGAACAGACAGACGGAGCAGGACAACAAGCTTCATCAAGAATCCCAGGACACTTTTCTCCATGTATATCAAATTTTGCCGCATTTATGGTCAGGATAAAAAAGATGGAGCCGGTGAAAAGTTGTCACCTGAGTCCAAGTTATCTGTTGAACTGCAGGAGGAAAAAGGTAGGCCAGAGCCTTCATGGTGTTTTTGTGTTTGTGCGTATTCTGAAATATCTGTCCAACATCAGGCTGATTTCTTCCTCCTCAGGCAAACCGACGGAGGGGAACTCACGTCTGTACCGTGCTGCGTGTTTGTTCCTCACCATAATCTGCCTGATCCTGCTGCTGGTCGTCATCATACTCAGTGTGAAACGTGAGTATCTGCAGCCATGGATCATGTCAGCACTGTAAAAACAAACAACTGCTGCAGCTGGATTATGTTTGTAACTCCAAAGCAGATTATGAAAGGATGTATGGTTTCACTGGCAGTTCAGAATTAAAAGAAATATATGTGTTAGTCACTTTGCCATGGTTCCTTTTTTGCTCGTAGAAACCAAAAAGGATTATAAAGTGTGTCTGATCTAACTGCTGCAGCCTGTGGGCACCATTCCTTTCTTTTAAAACTCCTCCCACTGTGCTCTGCTTTCCAGTCCAAACTGGCTCTACCATCTGTCCAGAGAGAGAGGGAACTACAGCAGATGCAAGGAGTCGTCCTTCTGATTTGACATGCAGCCACAAGAATTGCGAGGCTCTCTTCCCCGAGATGCAACCCCAACGTGAGTGTGATGCCAACTAGACAAAAACAAAACCTTATGCAAGCCAGGGAAGCATCTTCATCAACCGAAAGAAAAACTAGAAGAGTGCAGGTGCATCTACTGCTTTCATGTCTGAATCACAATTATATTAGCTTTGTGTGCAAATGTTGAAAGAACCAATCCTGAGGGGTCAGAAGTCAAAGACAGTATACAACAGTCATTTAAAGTACGTTTTTCAAAATGTGTGAATCACCCTAACCACCAGAGGTCCTTGAACGAACAATCATAAATCTGCACATTAAAAAATCAGACTGATGGGTCCAGTACTATGTGAGATTATTGGCGTACAGACAGGTGCACACACATGACAGACACATGACCCCAGGCTCCAGACTGACTGTGGTAGTGGTCACCGCAGTTCTGCTTTCACAGTAGCCCAAATCGTTTTTTAAATAGGCCTCAGAGGAAGTTAGTTCATGTGCTAGTTTTTATAGAGCTGAGAATGCTTAATTGAATTGTTTTCACCAAGAATTCAGCTTTGATCATCTTTATTGTTACCTCTTGATGGCCCTGTGTTTACATACACCTACATGTATAGGTAAATGCATGCACACAAAATGTGTTTGGATAAATAAACTCCCTTGAAATGTTTAAAAGCAAATTAAAAACCTATCTATTTAATATGGCTTTTAATTTGGGTTAACTTTCAATTGTCACTAGTATCATTGTCCATGTTTTACTGTATTTTATTTCTGTTTTGCTTTTATTTTACTTATTTTTTTTTTTTTTTTGCTTTATTATTTATGCAATTGAGTCTATGACCTTTTGTTCTGACTTGTATTCTGCACTGATGCCTCTCTCCCTCCAGATGCCAGCTGTCGGCAGTGCCCTGGCGGCTGGCTGCGTTATGGCCCGTCGTGTTTCTACCTGTCCAACTTCAGGCTGAGCTGGGAGGAGAGCCAGAGGAACTGCAGCTCCAACGGAGGGTCTCTGGCTGTCATTGCCAACAAGGGACTCCAGGTGGGTCTTATGTCACTTCCTCACCTGGCCATGAGGTGTAGACATGCAGTTCACCTTTCTTACCATCAGTGGTGTTTTCTCTTGTAGTACTATCTGACCAAGAAGGGGAAATTGAGTTACTGGATCGGGCTGAGACAAACAGCAACCACATGGACCTGGGAGGACAAGACTGAGCTGACAGAGAGGTGATAATTAGTGAATTGACTGATCATCTCAACACATTTTTTCTTGGTCTCTGGATATTGTTGTTTTGTGCACATGGGTATTTTACTCTTTCAGAACAAAACACTCAGTGGCCACTTTATTAGGTACATCCGTAGGATCCAGTGCAATCCAATACAACTGCACTGCCTTAAATTCTGAAGTAAGGTTATATTTAGGCTGGTAATTATTGGGGTCTCAGTCTAAGTTCTCAGATCTTGTACTTGAGTAAATGTAAAAATACCAGAATGCAGGAATACTCTGTTACAGGTAAAAGTCCTGCATTCAAAATGTTACTCAAGTAAAAGTAGAAAAGCATAAAAATAAACTTGAAGTACCAAAAGTAAAAGTACTCTTATGCATTATGCATATCGGCACATGTCAGAATAATATATACTATATGTTTTGATTATAATTATTGATGCATTAATCTGTTTATCAAAGCTGGTAAAGGTGCAGCTAGTTTTAATAACTTTGTATTGTGAATTTACTCAAGGTGTAACTAAAGTCTTATTTAAGCGTTGATTATATTTCACATAATTTATCCCAATCTGTAAAGTAACTAAAGATATTAAATAAAAGTAGTGGTTAACGATTTACCTCTGAAATGAAGTGGAGTAAAAGTACAAAGTAGCATAAAATGGAAATACTCAAGTATAGTACAAATACCTCAAACATTTACTTAAAGGTGGGGTAGGTAAGTTTGAGAAACCGGCTCGAGATACACTTTTTGTTATATTCCATGGAATGCTCTTAACATCCCGATAGCAATGAATATCTTAAGTGCTTTGACAAAAAATCCATACAGAAATTTCATCTGTGGAAGCCGTAATACTGTAAAAAGCACGACCAATCATTTTAGCCGGCTCGGCTAAAATAACTGGATGGCCTACCTGCCTGTCAGCCTTCCATCTGTGCACAAACACAGTGTGTGTTGGAGGAGGGGCTCTATAAGGAAGTGGCAGATTTTCTCCGGCTGTGTATTTTCAAATTCTAGCGATCTCGAGCCGGTTTCTCAAACTTACCTACCCCACCTTTAAGTACAGTACTTGAGTAAATGTGCTAAGTTACTTTACCACTGTAGTTTACGGCAGTGACCAGACGGCATTTTACATTTTAATGGATTGCATTAGATTGTACAGCTGTTTCCTAATAAAGAGGCCCCTGGGTGCATACACTGTGTATTGCAATAACAAACAGACATATTCACTCTCTGCTGCACTAAAAACAAATAATCACAATGTCCAATGACAACTATGCAAGAGTCAATATTCTTATTCTTTTTTGTTTGCAGTTATTGGGCGGATGGTGGGTCAGCGGGGGATTGTGGGATCCTGAGCAGTGATATACCAGCAGAGAAAAACTGGATGAAGTATTCCTGTAAGGGCTCCACCTACTTCATCTGTCAGCAGTAGCTCTGACCACTTCTGCTCTTTCTTTACGAATTAATGAGGAAACCAATTTCCTGTCAACAAGCAGCAACTCCTCCGTAACATTTCAAACCATGTCTTCTTCACTTCAAATGAGTAATAACCAGCATTGAAAGATTGTAATATTATAGTTTCATATTTAACACTTGAAAAGAGATATAGTCAGTCTATTATATTATATTTGTGTGTAGCATTGTGTTGTCTTACTGTATAATTTAATGATCTGCTGTTCTTTTTCTTCAAATGACTCACTGTGGCCAGTGAGTTTGTTTCAACAAGGTTTTATTGTCATATAAAAAGCAACTACATAATAAGTTGAATGTCTATGTTTCACTTTATTTGAGCTAAGCATATATTACTGCTACATATGTTTTACATTGCTACAAAAATAACACATTCTTTTCTAAAGCATAATACTGCAGGTACAAGTATGGACACATTTATATGTACTTCATATGTTCAGGACTTTAAGATGAAGGTCAGGAGAACGCTCTTCAGGCTCAGGCAGAATGTCTTTCTAAACATATTTAATGTCCTGGTCCTCGTCCGAATCCTCCTTCTCCATCTCCAAACCCAAAGTGCTGTGGCGAATCATCTGCCATCCTGTCAGAGACTTCCTGTTGTTTAACCCCCCTCTGTGTTTTGGTCTGAGCTTAGGGGTCCCTGAGATGGACCCCGTCATGGTGTCCGTCTTTTCCATTCCCTCCTTTTCATTCTCCTCCTCTCTGGAGAAAGCCTTGACGTACCGCCGCATCTTTTGCAACATTGGGTCATTTCTGTCCTCAACCCTGTGGACGTGGTAGAGGGGAAAACTGGTTACAGTTGCTTCAAGGGAAATACTTTCACCATGGTAACCATTCAGTATTTAGAATTGCATCTCCTTTATGTCGAAGGACTAAGAAGAGACATCTCATAGAACGAACGGTTAACATGACACAGCAGAAGACATCCTAAGGTCTCTAGTATGGGTAAAACTCCAGTCATAACTATGTTTCCCATAATGCAGCTGATAGCATTCCTTGTTGATCATTATCTTATTTTCTCAGACTTGAACATGCTCCTCCAGAGCCATCAAAGACCTGCCAGGCTGAGTAAAAGGTGAAGCGCCCCTATACTGTAGCATGCCTTTAGGTAACCTGCATGATATAACATGTTGAAAGCTGTTGTGGCAGTGCTGTTGTATTGGATTGCACTGGATGTTGTAGTTGTATGTGGATCACATCACTCCTGTTCTGAAGTCTTTACACTCGCTTCCTGTGTGTCAAATAATTGATTTCCAAATATTGCTGCTGCTTTATAAAGCTTTGAATGGTTTAGGCCCAAAATACATTTCTGACCTCCTGCTAAATTATGAACCATCCAGATCTCTCAGGTCTTCAGGGACTGGTCAGCTTTCTGTCCCCAGAGTCAGAATTAAACATGGAGAAGCAGCGTTCAGTTATTATGCTCCAAATATCTGGAACAAACTCCCAGAAACCTGCAGGTCCGCTGCAACTCTTACTACTTTTAAATCCAGGCTGAAGACTTTTCTTTTTGCCACTGCTTTTAATTGAACTATTCATATCTTAAACTGCACTGTAACTTTTATTCATGTATTTTTTTCGTTTAATGTTTATTTTATTATCTTTGCTTTTTAATGACTGTTTTTAAATGCCATTTTCTTAATGTCTTTCATTTTTGTAAAGCACTTTGAATTGCCTTGTGTTGAAAGGTGCTATATAAATAAACTTGCCTTGCCTTGCCTAGTCTTTATGCTGGTGGAGGGTTGGGATAATAATAGAACTACGTGAGTGAGAGTTGTGCCTCTTACTCACAGCACAACATGACAGCATTAAAGGTGACTTAGATTGTGGTCAGCGGACAAACTTCAATCTGTATGATTAGTTTGAGCCAAAATAGTAAGCCTAAAAAAGATTTCTTGCTGATGTCATGTTACTGAAATTATGCAATATATTTGTTTGTTTTTTAAAACAACATCTTTGCTATTGATATGATAGTAATTTAGGTGTGTTTCATATTTAAAGAAAGTTGCTAAATAATTGTGCAAGAAGTCTGTGGGTTCACAATTGGGAGAGAATATTGTAAATGTCAAAAACTGTAACATCTTTTGTCAAAAGTATTTGTTTATATTGTTATCTGAATGAAGAAAAGGTATGTAAAGAGTTGGCAGTGGAGTATAGGAACTTCAACCCCTTTTTTATGTGTTCGAAACATAAAAAAAGCGTTTTATGTTTTTTATAAAAGCCAATAGGGTCCCACATGGACTGACTTTTTTCTAACAACAGTTGTGGTTCTTATGAATCTCACATGAGACATTTCTGTAATGTGATTTCTGTCACTATTTTGGATGGTTTGAAGAGGACGGGACTCAATTGTGAACATTCATGTTTTTTGGGCACCAATCAGGTCATTGTCAGGCAAATCTTATCAAACCAGACTCACACTGTCCTGACTTTTGAGAGATTTAGTAATACGTTTTACTTTTACAGAATTTTCTTTTTTTTATCTGGTGTTTTTTTGCTGTCTCACCTGAGATACCAGCACTCCCTCAGTCCGTAGTTGAGCCCACATACTCCGAGCCGAGGCCAAAGGCAGCGGGGCAGCTTCCTCTCCAGCATCAGAGTCGTGGCAACCACCTGTACAACACCATTAAAGAGTGTTACACACACAGTGATGCACAGGGACGTGATGATGAGATGATTTTATACATTTAGGTCTATGTCTATAGATTGTAGTCCATGGGAGTGTGTGTGTTTACCTGAGTCCTCCAGAGCTCGTCTCTCTCCTGGGCCACCCTCCAGTGTGTGTCACTCATCATGGCTATCAGCAGATTTAGCAGGAGGATGTAGGAGACGACAGAGAAGGTGCAGTGCAGGACGTGGACGATCGGGGGGGTGGTGATGGTGTGGTCTACAGGCAGATCTATGAGGCCCACGCTGAGCTCAAACTGGGAGAAGAGGGTGATGGGGAAGGAGCGATATGAAGGGATGGAGTCAGGCTCCTGCGTCATATACACCATCCACAGGGCTGAGAAGAAACATGTAAAAAGTATGTGAGTGTACATCATCTGATATCAAGCATTTCTTATCTTTCAAGCTTCGTGAAGGTTAAATACTTGTTTGTGCATGTCGCCCAGAATATACTCACAGCTGGAAAAACCAATGAGGACTATGAAACTCAGCCACATAAACTTTGTCAGGTCTCCAAATATAATCTAGGGGGAAATGAGACACATGGTAGGTCAGTCTGCAAACACAAATAGGTTAACCTCAAGAACCAAAACAACAAATGAACACATCTGCTTCAAAACATTTCAGTACAGCTGTGTGTGAGTGTGTGTAACAAACTACTACACTACGTGACTCATGAGCTACCATTGCATGCACCACTGTTTCTGAGCCCTACCTTCTGTATCATGATGACATAAGGGCCGAGCATTTCAAAACCTCGGGCGAAGAACATGACGTTGCTCCAGCCGAGGACCAAACACACCGACATCACCACATCCTCTCCCTGCACCTCGCAGGCTCTGAACACACACAGCAGCACCACCAGGCACGCGTAGCTGATACTGGTTAAAATAAAACAGAGAGGTTAAAGGGTATTTCAGATCAGTTTGGCTAATTTTCTGCAAATACGTGTTTTCTACTCACAGGATAACATGGAAGGGGCCTCCCAGTGCTGTCTGGCCAAAATAGCGCTTTGCCCCCACTCTCAGTATATCAGGGATCTGTTGGAAGAGGGAATATAGGATGATGTGGCAGTGCAATACACATGCATACAGTATGTAAAACATGTTTCATAACTTCACCTCCAGCACCAGGATGACAAAAGCTCCCAGGAGGCTGATTATCTCGCCCGCCAGCCGCACGTTGTCCTCATGCGTCACATAACTCTCCTGAGTGAGGAGACATAGATATGTCAATATTAAAAGCACATTATTTTCAGACAATGCGGCACATGCAGGTGCAAAGTTTGACATTTACACAGGGAAGTATGAACAGCGTATATAAAAGTGTATAGGTCTAACTATTAACTAGGTCTAACTTAAGTGAGGTATACAAATCCTTCATTACAACTGAAAGTATAAAAGTATTACCAGTAAAATGTTTCAAATTAAGATATGTATGTTAATATACAGCGCCTTAAAAAGTATGCAGTAGCATGAAATCAAAAGTAATCAAGTCAACTACAGTACCATGTACTTACTGTATGCATACAGTAGTTAGTTACAAATATTTAGGAATATTCCAGAAATCTTTATGGTCCTGTATATATTATATTATATATCATAACTGAATGTGGTCACACTGAAATATCACATTTCTGAATTTACACACCTGGAGTGTTTTCTGGACCCGGATGGTTTTGTCCATCTCTGAATTTGAGTAGTTCTCCGGAGCGTCCTTTAGAGGGCGGTATGCACAACACAGTGTGAAGGTCCCGATGTACAGGAGATACAGTAACAGCAGCAGCCTGACACCAGAAAAAAAACATTGTTAAACAAGACTGGACATGTGTACATTTCAGATATTTGACTTTAGACATCAATCTTTACCTGAAGTAATGTTTTCCATACAGGTTCCACTTCAGACTAACCAGCTGCCTCACAGGGGTCAGCTCCAGTATCCTTCTGCCCTGGAGAACAAAACATATGTTTTAATGTTCTTCTCATCAATACATCATCATCATTTTTTTTAACCAAAACACTTCGTCTTGTGTTTTACCTCTCTCTGGTGGCTGCCCACAATGAGCTCCAGCACTGACATGTTGTCGGCCCATGAATCGATCTCCGACAGGTCATACAGGTTAGAGGTCAGAGGGCCTAGACTCCACTGGACTACACGTCTTTTATTAACCAGGTGCTGAAAAGCCTGAGAGAAAAAGAGCAAAGTAAAGCAGTGAGAATAGAAAAAAATGTGTTTTTTACCATGTGACCCCCCTCAGGCTTTACTCACCACAGTGTTTCCCTCTCTGGCAGCCAGTTTAAAAGGTGTAAGGCCTCGGTAGTTGGGCACCATGTCAAGTGACAGTAACTGGTCCAGCTCTGCATCGCGTGCCATTATCAGTTCAATGGCCTGGCACGCAATTGTCTTGTTGGGCTGCAGAACCAAAATGTGAAGCACTGTGTTACCTAGACGAAAAACAAGGAAATACAGAAAACGTGGACAAGAAGAGATAGCAGAAGGAGTTTAATAATCAAAATATCAGACAGATGTTAATACTATAACACTCCGAAAAGAGGATGTAATTCATACCACGGTAATCTTGGACCCTGGTGCTGGCCCCTGCATCGATTAACATGGAGATGATGTCCTCATTCCCAGCACAGGCAGCAAAAGACAGGATATGCTCACCTGTTAACCAAATTAACGTCTTTAAAAACACCATCTCTTGTGTGGGCATTAACACATACATTTCTGCCTGCATATTCGTCTTGAGAAATATTGGGCTGTAAAGGTTTGTTGATTTACCATAGTATATGAGTCCTCCTATCCTTTTCCTGAAGTACAGACCGGTGACTCGAGGTGTGGCCACATCACCCCCACGAGTGATTAGATGATGAACCAGATTGATGTTCTGATTCACCACAGCGATGTGGAGAGGAGTAACACCTGAGACAGAGAGCAGTGTGCATTAGTCCACTGTACATTTAATGGTATTTATTGCACCTCTTTTTTAGGTGAGGCTCACTAATGTGCAATTAATAACAGTAGTAATATTCAACCACTAGATGGCGCACTCTACACTATCGTCTATTGAATTCACGTCAAAACACTGTAGTTGGCAGTTTGATGAAACCTGAATATTTCATGGACAGTTTTGGCGGAGATTCCAAGTTAGCCAACTATCAAACTCTAGCGCTAGCTTATCGATCAAAAAGACATATGGACGCCTCAGCCGAGATTTCGACCATTAAAACTAAGCAATTGTTCGTTTTTTCCACATTAACTGGCAACTACTTGGTCGCGGACTACACCTTCTTATTATACATCCATGACTACACCGAGATACCACGTGACACAACCCAACCGTCGTCGTCATGCTATATTGGCTCGGGGGGCTCGTTGGCAACGGCACCGGCGGCGACCACACGCCAAATATCAGAGGTAAACAAACCATTCTCGACAACGTCTTATACACGATTGTATTTTTAGAAAATTATTTTTAATTATTCTGCAACTTGTACATGCTTAGCTGGTGTAATATTTGAAAAACAAACATAAAATCTTACTTTAATATAACCTTTAACAAAAGTTAATAAACTACAGTAAATTATAAAGCTGTCAGATAAATGAGTGAAACGTACAGTAGGCCTATTTATCTTAAAAATGTTGTGGAGTTGAAGTATAAAGTAGCATAAAACAGCAATACATTACTTTCAAAATGTACCTAATTAAAGTAGTTTTACTTAGTAACTTTCCATCCCAGGTGTGTAACAATAAATAATGTCCTAGTCTTTTAAAGTGGACGATGAGGCTGTCAAGTGTTCACTTTTTTTTTAAATGATGCATGTTTATTAGTTAGATGCTTATATAAATGTTCACATCAAATAATTATACATTTACAAAAGCTCTTGTTATTATGAAAAATAAATCAACAAAGATCCATATTTGAAGTGGTGTAAAAGTTATGTGGAAAGGCAATGAATTCAATGGATTAAAGTTCCCTCATTCTCCTACAGCTCTTTTATTGTATCTCCAAATATATGTTAGGCACCTATAAGATGTGATTGTGCTGTTTCTGTGAGTTTATGAGTGTGAACCTTGGAAGAGCTCGGAGGTCATGGGCTCGTTGATGAGTTCAGGCGCTCCGTCCATCAGAGCCACGGCAGCTTCCAGGCTATCACTCATCACAGCAACATGGAGTGCTGTCTCACCAAGAGCTCCTGATTTGAAAGGATTACAATTTCACACATTACAACTACTGCTTCACCGCCCTGAATATCACAGCCTACAGCAAAGGGCCTTACCTCTCTCAAAAATGTTGGTGGATGCACAACTCAGCAGTTTCCTGATGCACCCAACACTGTTCTTTTTAGCCGCATAGAAGAGAGGAATGTCATTTATGCTAAAGAAGGACAAGATAAACAACACATATAATATATTTAAACAGGTTGGCTTGACACATGCATATAACAATGTAGACTTAATCTAATTTATTGTTGGAAGAAGTTGGAAAAGGCGTCTAATCTGAGTCTCTTACTATTTGGAGTGGAGCATAAACGTCTCATCTAACATCTCGTTCCATCCTTTCTTGTTTTGAAGGCGAAACCTCAGCTGGCTCCACCAATGGTTGAGCTCGCTCGGAGCAGATCTCGCCATAGACGGAGACATTAACACCTGATGTCCGACTGGAGGAAAAAAAGGAAAGTTGAGTTTAGGACACACAGAGAGAGAATCAGTGAGTTGAAAAAACTATCACAATGAAATATAGTGTACTATCATATAGGTATCATTGAGTCCTTGGAAATTGATTATTGTATTCAGTTATACTGTTTAAAAATAGAACAAATAAAGGACTAAAAAGGAAGAAAATGTCTCAGTCTTACCCTTAAACAATAGAAATGTTACTCCTATGCTTCTGGTAATCCTCAGTCATAACACCCTGTCAAAGTTGGACACAACACCTGTAAAATGTCGCTGAGGAGAACTGAATTTGGCATCACTAACATTATTATATATGAACCCAGCCATGGGGGCGGAGGCTGTGAAGGTCTGAGAATGAATAGGTGTAGAGGGAGGGTGAGTGAACAGTGGACAGGTAAGACAGAGAGAGTGTGTCAATAATGAGCAGGTAGACTTTCACCACAGGTTGGGAATCCCACAGTGAAAGTTACGCTTTAAGGTTTAACTCACCGTTTGACTGGGAACTCCTTTATCGTGCTGACCTGAAATAAATGGCTGTATTCCTTCACCTTAAAAGCCTAGTGACAATGGTCCAGTCCCTAGATCTAGTATATATCTCTGTAATCACCAAGCCTGTCCGCATTCCACCAACTACCACCAAAACCTGCATGACCGCTATGAAAATTCAGCTAAATCCTGACTATCAACACATTGCAATCATTGTTTCAAGTGAACCATTAAAAGGAACCTGTTTGGAAATCGCAAGCTTGTATGTTTGAACCCGTGTTTGTAATTTAAACCTGATACTAATGCTTACACGCCAAGTTGCATAATTTCTGTTCTATTAGTTCGTTGATTTCTCGAGGTGAATCTGGGATTATTTGATGGAGTAAATCTGAACATGATGTGTGATTTTCGAACATGTTGCATCTTGTACGAAAAGGCACAACAAGCTAGTTTCATTCACAATGATTTAACATGTTGACCACCACGGTAATTGCCACATTACAAAGACCATAATGGTCGTTTGAAGGTTAGAAAACACCATGTCACTTTTCCTCTGAAGGCGGAAAACAAAGCTAATAGTGCATTGTATTTTTTTGTGAAATGATCAGCCTTTATTCTAAAAGTTATAACCCGACTGAACCCAATCACAGATTTAGATTCCACAAACGTGAAGTATTTGTAAACTGCTGAATCAGTCCACTTGTACAACAGCTCTGGTTGTCTGGTATGTAGTGTTGCAGGTGTTTTGCTGCAGCATTTATAGGTCATGACTAACAGGCTGGTCAGCCAAAGGATAAACAGGATTTAGGGAGACTCTATAGGAGGCCCTGCTAATGGTTGCCGATGTGGCCGTCATTTAGTGTTGAGGAGTTAATAGCTGTTTACCAGACGGGGAGCACCATCTTTAAGCAGTGTCATAAAGACCAGTGGTCTCCACTCTGTTAATGTCTTTATAAAGAAACAATAACAACATAAAAACATGATTTTGTGGTTTGTGTCTCTACTGTTTCTGGAAATACGTACAAGCATTTCTTTCACAACACTTTGTTGATTTGAGTCCCAGCAAACAATGATTACAGGCATCACTGGTAAATGTATAACAGTTGACAGATGCTCTTATTTAGAGTGACTTAACATAATGATCATGATATGAATACAATAAGAATACAATATATAAATTATGATAATTCATACACTGTTGCCCATAAAGTTGGAATCAAATATTTTGTATCTCTTCTCATGAAATGGTTGTGACAATGTGATTTATTCTTGATAGATAAAGTGCATATCCTCACACAACGTTATTGATCAATCTCTTCCAAACATATCACAGCGAAAATTAAACCACAATTAAAACAGGAATGTGTCTGAAAACAAAATGATTCCAACTTTATGGTCAACAGTGTATAACGTATTATTTTATTTTGATTCCAAAATTTGACTTAACCTTTACACTTTCAGTGTCTTAGTGTTTCTTAATGTATCCTTTTGCACATTTAAAGTGAGATTAATTTATATTCTGCGAAGCGACACAATCTTAAAATGCATTTTCTTTTCCTGGTTGCACTTTGATATCAAATGGAACATTGCCTGTCTTGTGAACTCTCATATTTCTCAGTGGTGAATAAAGTATTCAGTTCCTTCCCCTGAGTCCAAAAAGGCACAAGTGTAAAAGGGATATTTCCTGTTAGCTATGCAAACCAACTTGTTTCTAAAAAGCACTTCAGTATTGTCCTGAAGTAGTAGTTTACTATTTGTAAAAGTACTGAATTACTTTTAACCACTGGAAATGTATTGTGTTTGTATACGTCTTGATCGGGACTGTTATCAAAATAAAGTTGCAAGAGTTTTAAATAATGTTTACACGCGTTTGTAGAAATAATGTAGCAGTCTGTCATTGAGACTACCCTCCAGTCTGACACAGAAAGATACAGCACTGTGCCAGCCACATCAGAGTGGCAGAATAACGTGTAAGCGACTTGCTATCAGTCCAGATCTGCTGTGATATCAGCAACAGCGGGGCATGCGGGAAACCGGTGTCTGTTCTTAGACTGCTGCTGATCCCAGCAGATCCCACACTCAGATTTGACTCAAATCTGCTGATCTGTGAAACCTGAAGCACCGGAAGTTCACTCTTTAACTTTGTGAAGGTGATATCAGCGCATCAAGGTGAAAATATTGTAATTTACTTTGTAGCTGCATTAAAGCTAAAACTGGGGCAAAAGTTCATATATTCTTCTCTATAGAGATAAGTTGGCATGGATGGATGTGGTAGCTGAATACTTTGACCTTGCATAAATATATTTATATTTTAACCACATGAAACTTTCATTAAACATAACATTACATTTATGAACCATTGTCCTTTTGTTTGTGTGTTTAGGCACCAACCCATCAGTCAAAGGAAGGTTAACTAGATAAGGCTCAATTACTAATATTTAATTAAGGTGTTCAAAATGTGTGTTGTGCTGAGCCTGGTCCATTAAGACTTATTTTTGGCATCTTTTTGGAAGAGCCTGGCACAACTTTTGTCCAGAGAGAAAATATCTCATCTACTGGATTACTCGATGGATTGCTTTAAACATTAGTACAGACATGGTCACCAGAGAATGAAGTGTAATGACTTTGCTGGGACTTGTCACGCCACCATAAGGTTGATTTTGTTTTTGTTTTTAGGGAAATGTCTCTAAAGCTGTCGGATGGATAACTTTAATTTGGTAAACTGAAATTAAAGTTCTCCAGAGGATGAATCATCAAGACTGTGCGTTTGCGCATCACTTAACTTTTTACAGTGCCATCATCAGGTCATACTTAATATACATAAATATCTTAAAAACGAATTACATTTTTATAAGCCTCAGTGTACCTTGTGTCTAGTACTTAAAACCAGATGTTAGCTAAACTAAGATAGTGAACATAAGGAGTTTGCTAAACAAAAGCAGGGTTAGCATGGTTATTGTGAGCTTGTGTTAGCATGCAAACATTAGCATTTACCTCAAAACACCTGTACAGTTTCACAGGCCTGCTAGCTCTTCGTCCTGTTCCCCTTTGGTATTAACTAAATGTATCTCACATTTTATCTCTTTCAATGTTTGTCCCTACATGATGATGCTAGCTTAGGCTAAGTCTAAATCATATTTACCCAAACTCTTAATGAAATACTCATTAAATAAAAAAACTTGAGTAGCTGGTAAAACACTTAACTTGCTCACAAAATAACACAAGTAGCAAAATATTAAATAAAATCATATCATTTATTTTACAAATTTGCACAATTATGGAATAGTGGTGAACAAGTAAACACTGCTAATAATGTGTGTAGCCTGACACACTTGTCTCAAACACACACACACACACACACACACACACACACACACACACACACACACACACACACACACACACACACACACACACACACACACACACACACACACACACACACACACACACACACACACACACACACACACACACACACACACACACACACACACACACACACACACACACACACACACATACAGCATGATGTACAGCATAAACCTGATGTACACATTAACATTAACACAGCCTCATTTACAGCACAGACAGACGACTGTATACTTACAAAGCATTTCGCCTCCTTCCTTCAAGTGTTAATCAGATCCGATTTTGTCCGTCTTTCCCATTTCACACATTCACAACGCTTCAATGACTCAGTGTCTTTACTCTAGCAATCAAACAAAAAGGAGGTGGAGTGTGAAATGTACACATAAAGGTGGGTGCTGCATGGTTCTGTCTTCATCGCAGATGGACATTGTGTTTGCAGCTGAGGTGAAGATTGTAGTTTTACAGTACATGAGCTCTGTTGTCGCCGAGAGACAAAAGAGTGAGAGTGAGTTGTACAAACTGGATATGTCTATTAAAATAGGAAATACATGGCTTAAAGTTCTTAAAAGCTTTTTTTGTTTCATTTTAGTTTTTACAATTTCATGGCAGTGACTCATATCTAACCTCAGGATATTCGGCTCTAGGTGGTTAAAAACATTTTGTTTGAACAACTAAACAAACTGTACATTTTGAAAGCTAAAAGTAATACCTTATAGGGCAAACCATAGGCTGCTAGGTAGTATACTGTTTTGTTTCTTGCTAACAGTTTTCTTTTAGCATTTGGCGATTAAGGAGAAGGGAAGTGATACAACTTTACAAATAACACAAGAAATATTAGAAAAAGGCTTTGATTGTCTTTACGCAATTCTTTGTGTGGAGAGATCTCCATAAGTATATTAACAAAAACATTTCAATATTCTTTTGTATTCAATGAGGACGGGAAAATTGAAGGTTTCATGGAGGAACAGTAGTTTAAGAGTAGGTGAGAGAGGTAGGACTGCAGATGGGTGAGGAGAGAAGAAGGCAGACAACAATAAAGTGAATTCTAGTGAAAAATATTGAGGAATCTTCAAAGTCCTCCTTCTCCTCAGAAACTCCGTAACCCCACTTTGACCTGGACTGCAGCTCCCATAGTGCATCTCTCTTCTGTCATTTGTCGTGAGTGTCTGTCAGAAAGTCCGATCCTCTTTTTCACAACTTCTGGTTGTAGTGTTGGATGTAGTGTAGAAGAATACACAGAGTGGCACTTGATGCTTTTCCTTACAAACAAAAGCTGATTCTCTTTTTTGTTTTGCCCGAAGATGTGCTCAACCAAAATGAATGAAACCAGACACAACAAGCAGAGGATTGGGAAAAGCGCAGAAATCCATGGCGCAGGTTGTACTGTCGGTGCGTGTCACACCTCCACCTGCCCCTGCGACAGATAGGCTTTGAGCTGCTGGGTTGCATTGAAGATCTTCCTCTGGTGTCCCAGCAGGTTCACCCCCAGGTTCTGGATGTCTCTGCAGGAGAGAGCAGAAGAACCGGGGAGTTTAGTTCAACACTTGTTGTTAACTCCACCTGATATTTAAAGGTCAGACATGTTGGGTTGCATGTCTATAAAACCCTGTGGTAGCTCAGGCGTTTATTGATACTCATACTGACTTTTGTAAAATGTTTTCTTTAGTACTTTGGCTTATCTTAATGTTTTCATTTACTACTGAACTTTCATATGTGCCAGATACATAAGAGGTTCACTTACTTACTTAATTAAGCTCCAGAGAACAGCCTCAGCACTCTCCGGTAATTTGTCTATTTATGTTTGATTATTCTGTTTTCAGCACTGCCTCTCTAATCACATTTACCAGGGAGGACCTTTAAAGCCTTTAACTATTCAATATTCAAATTGTGTATACTTCACATAAGTTTTACTAATGAAGTGTGCTTTAAAACACTTTTGGCATTGTAGTGCAGATTCAAACAGTGATAAGAAACAATTTCTTGGTTGTACCTTTCAGACATTCATGAGTTAAGCACTGCCATGAAAAATGTTGTTCACATTGTGGGCAATAACATAATACCTACATCATTTTCAGTGAGACATAAAAGCACACAGTCACTAGCTTCATCTTATCCTAATGTCATAGTGATAACCATCTATACTCACTCTATGCTGAGCCTGCTGACTCTGTCTAACGTGTCCAGGTTTGCCTGATCAAACTCATCCTGATATCTCTCCATCTTCAGCACAAGCAGCCAATCACTGACTGTCGACACTGACGTTAGGTCTGTGGGGGTGGGGCTGAGCAGCGGCTGAGAGCAGCTTCTGTAAAAGGGGTAAATGTCAAAAACGAGAGCATCAGAATCTGTAAATATAGCAGGCGGTTTGTCAGCTGCTGCCTCTGATGTGTTTTGGTCAAGTGTTTGCCAGAAGCTGGTGTCTCACCGAGTTGGCTCCACCTTAAGGGAGGCAGGGTGCCTGATGAGGCGGTCCAAGGAGGAGAGGAGTGTGTCGAAGCCTGGCCGGTCCCCTCGCTCCGTCTGCCAACACTGGAGCATCAGGGAGTGGAGGGCAGAGGGGCAGTTGTGGGGGGCAGGGAGGCGATACTGGTCTGCTACTGCCTTCATCACCTGCAGAGAGAGGCAGGGAGACGTTACAGATAAGCAGGGCAGATGGAGTTTTTATGTAATTGCCCTTACATGAAAGGTCACAGACCGCTGAGGGCTATGAAAGAGTGACTAAGAGAAAATTAGGCAAATTAAAAGCTGCTTGGCATTTTCTCACCACTTAAACGGGTGTGTTAAATCAAGAGAGGGAGGATGGTGGTAAAGAACATTTAATTAAGAAGCTGTCTACCTTTTTTGCACTGGTACATTCTATTAGCTCAAAATTATTTTAAACCAAATAGCTGTATTAGTCGTTTTTTGTATATTTGTTTACATACTTTACATTTTGATCAATTAATAATTACATTCAATGGGACAAAAACACAAATCAAATTTTTTCCAGTGTGAAATTCTTTATTTACTCAGATTGCAGCTCAATAGCTGTTATATAATGCCATACTTTTACTTGTATTCATTATATTTGGGGTATTTTAATGCCTTTTTTACAGACTGGGAATATCATGCAAAAAAAGGTCTCGAGCTCGCTGCAAACCGGACCCGGCGACTCATAGTCGGTGCAACCAGCGCGCCCTTCGTCTTTTAATGGCATGTTATAATGCTGTAGCAGTTAAACTTGCACTTAGGCGAAGGATTTGAGTGCATTTGCATCACTAATATATGAGTTCTTCTGCTGAGGCAACCCTCTCCTACATACTCACTTCTTGATTGCTCATGTCCCAGTATGGACGCTCTCCGTATGACATCACTTCCCACATGAGTATGCCGAAGCTCCAGGCGTCACTCGCCGAGCTGAACTTGCGATGCTGAAAGGCTTCTGGTGCCGTCCACCTCACAGGGATCTTACTGCCCTGATGGAGGGAAGCCAGACAGGGAATAAGTGAACTATGTTGCAAAATAATGCAACACAGATATATAAAAAATGTTCACATACGTACCAGTGAGGCAGTGTATGTGGGTATATTGTGGTCCATGCCCCTCATGAGTCGGGACAGTCCAAAGTCGGACACTTTACAGACCAGGTTGGAGTTGACCAACACGTTCCTAGCCGCCAAGTCCCTGTGGACGAAGTTTCTTTCAGAGAGGTAACGCATCCCTGCACCGACTCCTCTGAGCATCCCGATGAGCTGGAGGACGCTGAACTGGCCCTCGTTCTCCTGAAAGAGTGAGGAGGGCAGGGCACAGGAGAATGGGAGAAGAGGAGATTTTTGGGTATTACTAACATGTGTGCGGCGGTCAATACAACATACTAAAGATGGGGAGAGTGTGTCATTGTCTCACCCTGAGGAAAGCATCCAATGGCCCATTCTCCATGAACTCTGTGATGATCCTCTCTGGAGCCGAATGAGTGATCACACCCTCCAACTTCAGTACGTTCGGATGGTCAAACTGACCCATGACCCCTGCTTCACTGAGGAAAATCCCTTTCTCTCTGTCGGACGCCCCCCAGCGGATAGTCTTCACTGCAACCAGCACCTCCCTGCGACCCATTGGACGGTAGCGACCCCGAGAAACCTCCCCAAACTGGGCTGGAGTGGAGAGGAGGTGGAACAGATTACACATTAAAGTACCTATCACAAAACTACAGAATGATATAAAAGAAAAAGCAGCATCATGCCTACCTGCACCAATCACCTCCTCAATCTTTACATGAGTGGGATCGATCTCACTGGCAAACTCTTTGACAGCCTCACTGGGGTCCTCATAAGTGGATGGGTCCACATAATACTTAACTCCACCTGAAATGAAACGTTTTCTGAACTAAGTCTCTAAAAATCCGATTACTTGGCTGCTACAAACACATTCTTTAAATTAAATTAAATATGATTGTGCTCACCTCTGTTGCTGATGTACCTCTGGAGTCTGTCGCTGTACGGACTCTCCCTCCTCTTACTGCAATGGGTAAAGAAAATTCAAATTTTCCATGATTAAAAAAATGTATCACACTGTTTGTCTGATCATGCGAATGGATCGACAACATACCTGCGAAACACCACAACAACCACGATCGCTGCCACCACCAGGAGAAAAGCTGCTCCACCCATCACTGACCCGACCAGCAGAGGAAGCCGATTCTTGATCTGGTGTGAATGTTCCTCTGTGGGAGAAGAAGTGAGAAAACTATCAGCTACTGATGAATCATTAACACAGTGTTGTTTAAGTTATCCCAGAGCTGTATAAAATTAAAAACATGGTTGTTACTGTAACTGAATAGATGTACTTTAATGAGTACACACTAAAAACAGACATTTCTATTTCATTTCAAGTGCAATCTGAATATTGCTCTAAACTACAGAATAGTCCACATTTAGAAATGTAACTTTACTTTGATTTTTTTTTAACTTTGAGGTAATCTCCAAGGGTTTTCTGGGAAGCAGTTTTGATAATGAGTAGATTACTCTGGTGCAGGGGTAGCCAACACGGTGCCCGCGGGCACTTATATTAGTCGCCCGCAGGGGCAACGTGAGTCGCCCGCGGGGCATGTTCTAAAAATAGCTCGCCAAGCAAATCCAAAATGTAAAAAATACACAAAACAAAAAAGGAAATGTAATTAAAAGAATCTACCCTATGCATAAACAAAACCTCAATCATAGCGAACTCTATCTACTTACTACAACTCTATATCTATCGAACACCCCTCCTCCCCCCACCCCCACAATGAATATCGACCAATCACGTTCTTGCTTGATTTGCGGGACCAGCGTTGCAGTCGGGAAGAAAAGCAATGTGGAGCGGCAGCTCACCGCTTCATAAGGAGTTTGACCTTTCCTTCTGGCAGAATCTACACAACACATCAGCCCCATTGAACAGCCTAGTCGTGCCAGCCTATACAGCACATGAGGGGCAGAGCTTTACTCTGTGTGTGTTGCAACTTGCATATATATTTATTGCACTTGACGCACACACACGCATGGCGTAATTTCCACTGGGGACAGGGGGGACATGTCCCCCCCACTTTTCGAAATCCCGTTTGTGTCCCCCCACTTTACAAATATGTTTATTATTATTTTTTAACGCAAGCCGTCATCGCCACGGAGGAGCACTCAGTCTCTGTGAGCGAGACAGAGAGAGAGGGAGAGAGAGAGAGCGAGAGCGAGAGAGAGAGAGAGAGAGAGCACACCTTTATCTATTTAATATAGATAAAGTAAGAAATCATTCCAATGTGTACTATAGGACAGTAAAACGTTTAAAAGGGGAGTGATTAGTAAAATATGCATAAATAGAAAGAAAGAATGCTAACTAGGTAACATAAGATAAGAATAAACAAGTTTAAATGATTTGTTATTGGTTGTGATCATATTCTAAAGATGTTTGGATTATTGAAAAGTATACAGCTCTCTTTCATCTGAGTGTTGAGAGCTGTATCCATCAATTCATGTTGTGCTCAAAGTGCTCCAGATTGATGCATTTCACTTCAACATTTAAAAATAAATCTTCCCGGGGGAGCATGCCCCCGGACCCCCCTAGAGGAGGTGAGGTCCACCCCCAAATAAAGCAGGTTAAAATAATTTAACCTATTTATGTATGTAATTGCATACATTTTATTTTAGTAAACACTGAAAAGGGTCCCACAGACCCAAACAGCACACAAAGGTTAAAGGTAAGAATATAATAATGTTAAAATGTGCTAAATATATACACTGCAAAAAACAACAAAAAGAGGAGTAAAAGTAGCCCCCGACTTGTTTTATTTTTTTTAAAGTAGCTCTCATCCTAAAAAAGGTTGGTGACCCCTGCTCTAGTGAAATAAAGCAGATTGAATTGAACAGAATGGAACTAAGGAGGCTTTCTCATAAATATAAATAGTATAACCACTTTAGAGAACATTGTTTGAAACGAAAGTTAGTATGCATGACTTTGCTTCTTCTGCATTAAACTGTTTATTAGCAATATTTCCTACAGTCTTTCTCATACTTTTATAATATTTAGTTTTTAATTATGATCTTCCTAACACTAATAAAGGCACAATGAGTAAGACTTGTCCATCGCGGTTACAAAGACAACATTAAAAAAAAAAAAAAAATGCCCCCCAGCTAAAGAACACTTAGAGTTTAGCAATATTTAGTCTAGCGCGCTAATAGGCAAAGTATTTGTGTGCAGACAGGAGAATTTAATGTAGCCTCCTCAGCTTCCAACTCAGACGACCCCAATTTCCGTGTCAGCCGGGGCCGGACAAACCTCTAGGGAAGAAAAGGCCGTGGAGCGGCAGCTGGAGCAGTGACAGAGCGAGAAGCAGAACAACTGCCAAGAAACATCCCGAACACAGCGGTATGAAAAGAGAAGAGGGACGCGTCTCAGCGTCATAAGTGATGAGGGAGCGGATTATTTTGATTTTAATCTAGTGTTTTTTTAAGGAAAATTAAACGCATTGTGCCTTTAAGGTCTCATATGGTCAATTCTACCAGCTCAGTTGTGTGTTAAGTGCAGTAAAGCACTCTTACTGTACTTCATTGGTTTTACAATAAAGGAGTGCAGTACCCAGAGGCAGCGTGGTGAAGTAGATGGTGTTGCCGTAGGGCCCGTAGCCCCGTTCATTTCGAGCTCTGATCTGGAAGGCGTAGATGGAGCCGGGGATCAGAGAGCCGACGGTCACCGTGTTGGTCTCGCTGTACACACTCGCTGCACTGTCCACATCTGAACCCTGGGGACACAGGAGAGGGACATTTAGTGCTAAGTCTCATATATGTCCCGGCTTTATGCAGTTGTGCGCCATGTTTGCATGTACCTTGTCATAGTATCTGAGCTGGTACTCCAGGATGTCTCCATTCGGCCTGTCCGGCTGAGGCCACGAGAGAGTGATGGAGTCTGGGGCTCGGCTCAGCTGGTGCATCATGGGAACTGTGCTGGGAACTGTGGGAAAGAACAGATGTATGAGAATAAGGTTTCCCTGAGAGATGTGATGAATGATCATTAAACCTCATTAACCCACAACAATAAAGCAGAAGTTGTGTTGGAGGGATAGTGACCAGAGGGGGGCAGTGTTACAGAATGTGTCAAGTGTATTTAGTAGAGCATGAAAGTGGAGTCTTTATGGAGCAGGATCTAGTTACAGTCATTGTGCCGGCCGGTAAGAGGAGTTAAAGGAAACTTTCCGGCATTCCTTTCATTTGAATCAATAAACTATGAGTGCAGCCACCAGAATGTTTTAGATAATTTAGGTTAATGGAGACTTTTTAATCGATCATGATAACTTTTTTGGACAATCTCATAGTGGTATACTTTCTCAGCACAATGCTCCATTCTCCTCTCCTCTTCCCACTCATTTACTTTCATCTCTCTTTCTGTCTGTCTTTTTGTCTTCCCATCTCTCATTTCTCCCTTTCTTCCTCCGCAGTGAATCAAATGGGATGTGACAGGATATTGTAACCTCGAGCAACCCCCGGCCCAGAGAGCAGGAAGACAAAAGATGGAGTACAGAGAGGGATAGAGAGAGAGAAACAGAGACAGAGAGGGAGAGAGAAAGGCTTCAAACACACGCACACACAGTATCTACACAAACATCAACATCAGATCATCTCTTCTCTTTCATCTCATCTGTTTCATCCTTTTATGTCCCGTGCTCACCTGACTGGCTCGTAGTGAAATTGATGCTTGTGTATCGAGCTGGAAAAGGACTCAAAGCTGACACCTCATTCATGGATTGCACCTGTCAATAAGAGGAACACACAGACGTGACATACAAAGCTTTTTACTATTTACATTTAGGACGTGCTTGGAAAACAAAGCCTGACACATGCAGCTGTGTCGGCCAGTAAACAAACCCCAGTAAATAGGAAATAACTGCCCTTTATGAATAACAAATATGCTATGATTTAGTCGGGTTTCCCCAAGCTAAATAATAAATGTGTATTTATTGATGTGGAGCTTATGGAATAATACGACACAGAGGACATGCCTGCTCTGTGGCTCCGGGAAATGTTTCAATAATCATTGTGTGAAACTCTAGTTACCCAGGAGCTAGGTGAAAATAATAGATGTTTGTTGCACAAGGACCTTTAAAAGGAGCAGTCCTTGAAATGTTTCTCTTTTCACAGAGAGTTAATGAAGAAATGTTCCAATTTGCTTTATTGATGTAGTCCAATCTTACTCAAAATAACCCAAATAGCAAAACGAGAGAAACTGTTATCACTGTAAACCTTACTCTCATAGAGAACTTAACAGCAGATAACCATGAGTGCCTTTAACAGACAGTTTTCAACGGTACCTGTATGAGATAAGTGACTCTGGTCAGCAGGTTGTTGAGGGTGACCTTAGTTTGTTTCAGGTTAGTCTGGGTGGGGCTGAAAGTTACGCCCTCTCCACACCAGGAGCAGGTCGTGGGGTTGGTGAAGGTGGCTGAGGGGCAGATGCGGCACACCACCCCGTACCACACCTCGCTGCGGCCCCCCATGTCAACCGGAGGGCGCCACCTTAGGGACACCCCGCCATCGGCGCTCTCATACTCCCAGGACATAGAGACCGGAGCAGATGGAGGCGCTGTGGAGACGACACAGAGAGAGAGGGAGGAGTTTAACATACATAATGTACCCGACGGACACTTAGATGGAAGCATCTGCTAAAAAGTTTAAGATATGAAAGTAGCTGCTTGCTGGCAAAGACATTTAACCAAGTTAAGTAATGGAAAGAACGTTATAAAAACTAAGTTCAGCGGTGACATAATTTAAGTGAGCAGGGAAACTAAATACTTAACAGTTTCCATTATATTGTGATAAAAAAAGATCCTGGTCACTGACTGTGAATCTGGGTTCTCACAGTCTGAGGAAAGTGACAAATGAGGAATGAGGCCCCTTGAACACCTCCCAGAGAGCCAGGCGTAAACAAACAAAGCTCACTTGTGCAGGCAGAGGAGTTGGCGTCTTTGGCACCCCGGTAAAAGCCGCTGCGACATTCACACACACTCGACCCCTCCTGGCTGGTTCTGCTGTTGGGGGGACACACCGTGCAGGGAGTGGAGCCCGAAACGGACTTGAAGTAGCCCACCGGACACGCTGCAGAGACACAAACACACACAGGAAGGGGTGAGCTTCATCCTCAGTTTAAAATAAAAATAAATTAAGTGTTCACTCTGAGTTACTGGTGTTCTGTACTATCTCAAAAGAGACAGCAGTGTCTAAGGTGTTATAAGACTGTCTCTCTAATGGTTTAACTACAATAACACATTAGGCAAGGCAAGTTTATTTATATAGCACCTTTCAACACAAGGTAATTCAAAGTGCTTTACAAAATGAAAGACATTAAGAAAATGGCATTTAAAAACAGTCATTAAAAAGCAAAGATAATAAAAGAAACATTAAAAGAAAAAAAATACATGAATAAAAGTTACAGTGCAGTTTATGATATGAATAGCTCTAAGAGCAAAGGAAGCGGTCTGACAATGAAAAATGTAGCAGAGCAAAAACTAAAATGAAAAAGTGGCAACACAAAAGCGGGTATTTTATTGTCTGACAGAAGGAAAATGAAAACAAAATAAAAAGTAATATAGTATTATTACAATTCAAACTTAACAAAACACCTGACAAAGTATTTTCCCGGTCCTTAATCTAAATTAGATCCAAAAATGCTTTTTTGAGCGCATAGGAACCCAATAACCCTTTCAGCTCTCAGCTTACTGCAGAATGCACTCGGCTCAGAAGTAATCAATATAGAAAAACTGGGACTTCATGAAATACATAAGACAACAGTATTTCATGATCCTGTTTTATTGCTTTGTTCCCAAAGTGAAATACGCCAAACTATTTTTATGCAGAGCATCAATTTCATGTTGGCTTGTGGTTGTTTCCCTCTGAGTCAAAAGTTCATTTAAAACAAAGCGGCCTGTTGTTTGTTGTTGGTTTTGTCCAGCACCGTCATTTACTTGAGTTTAAAGGAAATGGCTCACAAAATCAGCAAAACCACCGGTCAACAAACAAAAGTTCAAAATGACCACACTGACTCTGAATCACTGTTTCAAAGCAATCCGACATTTTGGAAGAAAACACTTTCCACTTTCTGGTGGAGTTTTAGGTGAGAAGATGTATATAACTCTCAAATCTGTAGACTAAATGTGAGTCTTAAGCTAGCAACATGTCAAACTACTGTATCTGTTAGAGGTGGGAGCATTTTCTCAACACAAGAAGAACAATTGAATTTAAATAAATAATAATTGGAATGGAATGTAGAGTGGAATTTGTGAAACCTCTCCCTTATAGAGGAAGAACTGGAGCAGAAACTCAATAAGAAAGAACACACACACACACACACACACACACACACACACACACACACACACACACACACACACACACACACACACACACACACACACACACACACACACACACACACACACACACACACACACACACACACACACACACACACACACACACACACACACACACACACACACACACACACACACACACACACACACACACACACACACACACACACACACACACACACACACACACACACACACACACACACAGGTAGTTCAATACCATCATACTATGTGCAATATGTGCTATATGTGCAATATATACATTATATACATATGCCATTAATATCTTTTATTTGTTATATTATATTTGTATTATATCATAACTTAGTACTTTTTTCTTAACATAGGTAACATTAAGCTGTCTGTCCCCTCTGTGGGACTAATAAAAGTATTCTAATTCTGACACACACAAACATTGAAAATACCATTTGAACCTGCGGGCTGTTTTACTGAACTGGTGTGTTTAACGTGGAAAAATCTGTGAAACGCGGCGATTGTTAATGTCAACAGCAGGACAGCTGAGCGCTGAGGTCGAGGAAACACACACTACATGTCGCTGCTCCTGCCTCTTTGTGGGTCTGCTGCCCTTTATGTGTGTGTGTGAATGTGTGTGTATGTGTGTTTGTGGATGTGTGTGTCAACTAAAGGTTGCGTCGTTCAAAGAGAGGTACCTTTATCCATGAGCTAAATGTGGAGTTTGTGAGTGTGTATATTTTCATTCAGAGAGGCTTCCTTGTATCTTTGAGTGTGAAAATGGCCCAACAGGAAACACCTGAGCCAGCATCTTAAAAGAAGGATCCTCTCATATGTTTTCAAACAGCGTTAAAGGATGAGAGTGGATCTACCGGTATGTCTGTGTGTTTGTGTGTGCTCCTTAAGGTCAGTGCGAGTGAACCCCGTACCTTGTTTATATAACCCTGTCGAGAAGATTTATAGAATTTGACACACTGTATGTGTGTGTGGATGCATGTGTGTATACTCGATGGTGTTTCGGAGTAGAAGATAAGGAGGAAAGAAGTGAAAGAGGGTAAAGAATAAACATATAAAAGGCTTTCTGTGTTCTCACTCGTCTCAGGGAGCTGACTTTGCTTTCAAACAGGTGTGAAGGGGGAAAAGGGGGAGACGGAGAGAAGTAAAAGGATGTTGAAAGACCTCAGAGGGAGAATAGGGGAAGAAGTGAACATTGAGATGGATGGCCCAAGACGGTTGTAGGATGAGCGGTTGGATTATGTATATGAGCGCCAGATGATGGGTGAAAAACGCAGAAACAGAGATAGAAAGAGGAGAGCAGAAAATCCTTCTTCCTCCGTCTTCGATGTCCTTGCTGCACATTAGCCGACGTGTTCTCTGACGGCTCTGACACGAAACATGACTTTGCTACAAAGCCTCTCATCGCCCTACGAGCTCCGGCAACAACTCAACCCCCTCCTCCTCCTCCTCGTTCCATCTTCATCCACCTGATTACAGCAGCCAATGAGAGCACAAGTCCTCTGCCCTCTTGCTTGATCTGCAACCCCCATCCCCCCCTCCGCCTACAACCATCCATCTCCCAGCTGTAAAGTCGACAATTCAGGACCATTATGAGCAGAGACACAGATGCCTTTACATCATACATCAGTAAACCCAAGAGGCAGTGATTGAATGACATGTAACCTGTTTACATTACAAACCTACAAAGGACTGATTACTCATAAAAATACATCTGCAGCTATATTTAATAGATTCATGGCTCAAAAACGTAGCTTCTCAAATGGGATGATTTGCTTTTTTCTCCTGTTCTTTATCATCGTTAACTAATATTTTAGGGGTTTTGACCGTTGTTCTGCCAAATAGACCACCTCTTTAAGGATGTCATGCTTGGCTCTGGGTTATTAAGATGAGCGGTTCTTTTTTTTATGGAATGTTTAAAAAAACGTAATAATAAATTGGTAAATTGAGAAAATGGTCAAATTAAAATATGAATACATTACAGCTCTAAGGTAAAGGTTCATTTATTTATATAGCACATTTCAGACTTAAAGCAATTCAAAGTGCTTTACTCTACTAACAAATCTGACAAATCTACTGATATCCAAAGTCAGAAAGTACCTACAGTAGTTGTTACATGACAATTTTAAGAGTGGGGAAATTAAACAAATGGAAAAAACAAAAATAACACTATTATTATTAAGAGGATTACATGTGAAAAAGGATTAGCCTAGAAGTCTACCTGCAAATCAAATTACTATGTGTTGAGAGAAGAACATAAATCCAATTGAAACTAACATTGAGATGAAGAGAAATAGAAAACTGCAATGAGATGAGTACCTTGATGTTAACATAATACTTTGGTTTGTAGATCACTGACCCAATTTTCTCTTTCTCTCTCTCCCTGTTTCATGCGTTCATTCCCTCTTTTGCCTCGCAGCATAATCTCCCTCTCTCTCGGACACACAAACACACATAAGCTCGCTCACAGATGCGCCCAGACTGAGATGTGAGTACACGTGGTTCCAACGTTAAATGTCTTCCTCTCTTTATCTACATCCTGTCATTCACTGCCGACAAAAACAACCGATAGGCACTGAATCGTATGAGTTCATCTAGTATTGTCCTTTTCATTATACACTGTAGGCTTCAGCAGCACAAAGCCATGTGTGAAAACAAGCAATCCTTAGATATTCTCATATAAACCAGTAGCAGTAGCCAATAAGCCATACTGAAGCTTTTCCCTCTTCTCAAAATATATTGAAAAATGAGTGCACAACATTAAATTCCACAACATGTGAAGGACATAATTATTGTAGTTCACACACTGGATATTGCAAGGTCCAAAAAGATCATGAGGCAGCTTTTTGTCCATCGAAGTCTTGAAAATTAACAATTCAGAGATGACACAAGACACATTATACAATAGCATGTGGAGCTTTAATTGTATCTGTATATATATATAGGTTTTTTTCTTTCAAATGGATGTTTGCATGACCTTATCCGTCATTATAGTTTTGCATTTAAATAAAACATAAGCAAGTAGTTACCGAGAAACATTGTATTCTATCAATAGTTAATAATATGTTGAGTTGTGTCTCTGTGTTGTGTAAGTCCAGATTCATTCTTTCTTTAACTCTCTTTAGGTTTTTCCCACGAGGAATATTTGACTCGTTAGCTTCTACTAGCTCCACTAGTCCCTACCTCTAACTGTGTGTGTCTGCTGTCTGCCGAGAACAGATGTACGCTGAGTTTTTAGAGCTTTTTCGCTCAAAACAGCTGCTTCCTGCTGGAAATGATGCTATGAGAGCATCAAAGCAGTAAAGTTGACAGACTGCTAAACGGCTGAGCTGAAGCTGGGGGATAATTCTCTGTCGCGTCATGACTACAAGTGACCCTTCACATTGGCACATTGTCATTTGATATATAACTGTAAAAGACCAGATTTATGTTTCTGGCAGTGGAGAGCATTCAATGAAACATCCTTTAACATGACGTAGGGAAATAAAACGTACAGAAAGTATTACATTGAATGTGAATACACAACATTGGCTAACAAAAATGATTGATAAAATACAATTTAAAAGGCTGATTATCAATGCAGTAGTTGCTCTGATTATCCAACATGTTATATATTCCAGATGCAATGTCATCGCCCGGCTGATCCCCCAGAGCGCAGTCCACCAAACAGTCAATACTGGATCCCATTGATCATTTCACTGAACTGTGTTTTGCTCCAAACTTGACTTTTATTATCGATTGTCTGAAAAAGCAACTGATTATCAACAACATGGCTAACATGTATCCACTTGGCATATAATGGTGGGTTACTACGATGAAGAGTAACTTGAAGTGTTTATATGAAAGAAGAAGAAGAGGAGTGGAAGAAAAGTCCTGTCTGCTCAGAGTAAAACATCCATGCTGTTTGGTCAAACCCCATCACACTCCTATATCCTAAATGCAATTTTACTTTCCCCTTGGCTACATTTTCTGTTTTTTTTTTTAACATAATGCGCCTGAGGATGGTTAGTGGATGTGTCTGTGCTAAGAGGGAGCATTCTGGGTGACAAAACGGGACAAACTGACATGATGAATATTTCACTGCCAGTGGCACGCTACAGAAAAATACCAACACGGGTCCAAATGTACTCAGAGCCCATTTGAACATTCGGGACTAATCCTTGTCCCAAATCCTCGACAGTGGCTTAATGTTTGAGATGAATCAACGAGGGGACGATGTACTGCCAGCTTGGACCAGCTCCGGGAGCCCAAAACTAAAGGACTGTTTCATGTTTGGCTGAACAGGTGTAATTGTGTCTCATGCTCAGTCGTGTTTCCGCTTGTTCGCCTCTTCGTCTCCCTTGTGGGATTCAAATGTCAAAGGATGAAAACATCAGACATTTGCTGTGTGTCGTCTGCATCTGTCCTTATCTTTTTTCAGGAGACTGAATACGAGTTTTCATCCAAAGACTGAGCTCTGAATGTCACAGCAAATATACTGAAGCACAATGTTCTTTCTAGACTTTCTTGTGATAAACAGCTTCATAAATAATCTAGGAATGATCTTTTCATGCCTTGCTGCGAAAATGCCAGCTGTGTTTTTGTAAGTTCTTGATATTCAGTTTGCTATTTAATTCATCATCAGGCCAAATGGTGAAGTGTTGTTTTGGTGAGTCTGAGTTATCAGAATAATAAGACATCACACATGTAGTAGATTAACAAGCAAATGTAGCTTTCACACTAGTTCTTCGCAAGTGGTGATGTCAGTTCAAGTGATTAATTTTCAAACAGATCAAATACTCTGAACTTAAAACGTGTGAAAAAAGTTGTGATTACATGTTTTAAGTCGAAAAAAGGTTGTCAATCATCTCACAGTGATCAAAAAGGTCAAACATGAACACAAACTTTTCTGTTAAAGTTACATATGTTTTTACTAGTTTAAAGGTAGGGTAGGTAATTTCGGAGAAACCGGCTCGAGATCGCTAGAATTTGAAAATACACAACCGGAGAAAATCTGCCACTTCCTTATAGAGCCCCTCCTCCAACACACACGAATGCGCACATGACCAATGAGGGCACGAGATAAGTTTGTGCACAGATGGAAGGCTGACAGGCAGGTAGGCCATCCAGTTACTTTAGCCGGGCCGGCTAAAATGATTGGTCGTACTTTTTACAGTACTACGGCTTCCACAGATGACATTTTTGTATGGATTTTTTGTCAAAGCACTGAAGATATTCATTGCTATCGGGATGTTAAGAGCATTCCATGGAATATAACAAAAAGTGTATCTCGAGCCGGTTTCTCAAACTTACCTACCCCACCTTTAAGTGGGTATACATGTCAAGCATCTGCATGTAACAATCAGCATTTAGCTTAATTTTGATTAAAAAAACAAAAACAAATGATAAAGGGTGGAGTTTAAAAGACAAAACCACAACAACCTTATTTCTTCAGTTTTAGAGTCTTAAGTCCTTGCCATGATAATCCACTTTCACAAATAAAAAATATATTATGCGCCTCTCAAAATAGAAAGCTATTAGAGCCGTGTGTAGTTAAAGGCAATCATTTAACGGTGATTTTCTTTTTCATATGAGACCAAGAGGAGGAGGAATCTCCAGTAATGTATTTGTCTGCAGTTTGTCACATCAAACAGCATTAATTCTCACTCTAGTGATTTAGTTAAATAGCAAGATGCTCAATACAAAGACAGAAAATACATTCTGAAAGGGTAATGGTTAATGTGCTAAATAATGTGTATAATGAGATGCATGCAGGTTAGGATGACACACTTTTAAGTGGAATTAAATGTCAGTTAACTTCCTTTTAAAGTGTTTTTTATTCTCAGAAGTGATAAACAATGTGCAGAATGTGACTGTAATTATAGTTTCCAACCAGTTCAGTGCAGTGCAATCTTTCATTTACTAATGTAGTACTGTTATTAAATGTCCTTGTAGCTTAATTCAAACAAGAACAAAATGTACAGGTTTAAGTTGTTACGAAAATTTGGTGCTCCACTTTCCGGAGAGAACACGGATCGGAAACTGTTAATAATTCCTGTTGACTGCATCGCCAGTTAACCATCTGCCTCTTGTCTTAATAATCCCGGGGAGCCAGAGAGGACAACAATGTGATCATGCCAATCCACGTCATTATTCAGAGAAGTGATCAACAAACCATAATCAAAGGAGAGTTGGAACAAAAAGCCGAAGCAGCTTGGGCAGCGATGTTTCAGATCGTTCATACACAGGCAGAGGAAGCCTTTGCTCTGGCAGATGAGCTGTCTTCAGGGTTGATTTGTCAGTAAATATCAATCAAATGCGGACAAACGGAAGTGGTGGGCAGAATGCAGATGTAAAGCAAAAGAGCATGAACACATTTCACAGCTGACTTGGCAGGATTGGAGGATTAATTGTGATGAAGGGAGTTAGACTTTGAGGGCCCCCAATGCGAGGGAGCGGAGCAATTATGGCCATTGAAATTCTTGGTGGACTTCAGTTTTTCACTTTAATCCCGGCATTTACAGACATATGTGGAACGAACATATCAGCATCTCAGCAGGAAACATTTGTGCGTCCTCACACGTTCACACAAATGGACACACTTGTACGCACTCAGGATTTTTTGCAACGCTCAGTTCTTTAAGTCATTAACTTGCATCCTCCTATCTTTCACTCTCCCTCCACCTCTCCCTGTTTTTCTCTCCACTCCCCCTCTCTCTCCCCCTGCGGTTTCTGTCACTTGTTCACAGACGAGTGGCCATTACATCGCCATGACCTAAATGTGTCACGTCCCTCTCACTGTGGCTCTTTCCCTCCCTTTCTCTCTCCCTCCTCCTGCACTCTCCCCATATCCCTTGCTGTCCATCTGGACATCGCTCAAATTGTTCCTACTTTTTTCCACACTCACACCCACTTTAAGAAGTAAAAACAATTTTGAGCAGTTTTGCAATTGCTGACCCTATCTCCTCTTTCCCCCTCCCCTCCTCTCTCCTCTCCTCTCATCTACAGTAAAGTTAGCAGCACATTACCATAAAGCAGCTTTGTATTGCCGACTTCATGTCTGTTTTATTTATGACAGAATGTATATGCAAATGTTACATCAACACAAAGGCACTGCATGGATACAATACTGTCTCTTCCCTTCTTATCTGATCCCCACTCGACCTGCGTGCCCTCGTTTCCCTCTGGTCTCTACATCAAACTCAGTTGTGTATCAGAGTGACAGCAGCTCCTTCCAGTATTGATCCAGACACTTCGTATCTCAGCAAATACCAAGAAGAGAACTGACAGAAACATTGGCACAAAAAGTTGACGGATCACAGGTATTACCTTTTCGGCATTTTATATCAAATGTGTTCTCCAGAACAAAGTTACAACTTTGTGCATTTAAAGGGGAATCCCACAATATTTAGCAACAGGTTATGTTGAATATTAGGGCATTTGCTTTTCAACTAGAAACAAATCAATGACTTACAGTCGTTCATCCTAACCACTGTGTGTATCAGCTTGAACTTGAAGATGATAATTGTTGAAAACCTGCATTATAAACTTGAGTCTTAACCTAGTTGCATGATGGGAAGTGTAGGAGCCAAGTAGAGACACAAGTCTGGATATCTCAGTTGGTGCTGCATGACATTTCTATTTGATGTCTCTCACCTAACATCATGGAGGTGCATTAGAAAATAACTGGAATGTTTTTTAAACCATTAGAAAAAGGCTGATATACTGTGGCTTCTATACATAAATAAATGGTCATGATGCTGAAATGATCCACTTCCATATCAAGCTGTTTTCCTCAAACTTACCCAAGCAGGCCGATCCATTGAGGTTCTGCTCATAGCCTTCATCGCACACGCATCCTCCAACAGGAACCATCCACTCCCCTTCAGCATTGCAGTGCATTCGAGGGGGCGTGCCTCCTTGGGTCTTGCTGTGGGGGACACACGTGCCGCTCAGGGGAACTAAGGCCGTCGGCTCGGCTCCTGAGGGGGTCGCTGGGTACGACGCCAAGTACATGCTTGTGGCAGGACAGCGCCGGTAGAAGACAGACATCCCCATGAGAGAAACACACGCTCCACTGTCGACGACAGCCAAGACAAATCTGCAAACAAAGGTCACGTCAGAGGATGAAGGACATTCAGACCCTTAGGAGTGATGATGTTAGTCAAACATGAGCAGCACATTACCCATTGCGCGTGAGCGGCGCAAAGCTGCGAGTCTTCATGTTGATGCGGCTGTATCTGTCGGGCTGATACTGGTGAGGTGAGCTGGGCTCCACTTTGGAGAAACTCTTATCAGCGGCGATGGTGTCGATCTTCACCCAGCCCTCCCTGTTCTCCTTCTCCCCGTTGGACGGCTGTGGTGAGGAAATCACATAGCGGACAGCAGATGGTGGAGAGAAAGATAATTAGTGGTCAAGAGAAAAACTAAATGGCATGGAGAGAATGTGTGGTCACAGGAAGGAAACACGAGGAAATGATGGGGGTTAAAATAAGCTCGTTGATAGATGGATAAGGGTTGGAAATATATCGTGCAATAACAAGAGAGAAAATGACATGATTAAAAACTAGCTCAGAGTTTCGCTGTATTTTTCCCAGGCAAAGAGTTGTTTCGTGAGAAGAGTAAACGTTGACTTGGATGTATGCAGGTCCCAGTGGGGGTTTGCGCTAAAGTCCCTATGAAGACTTTCAGCGCTGCAGTGCTTCCTGACTCTCCTTTGATTCCTCATCAGGCTTTGATTTGCATTTTTAAAAGCATCTTGCTTCCCTCAGGAGAAATGCATTCATCTATACAAACACACCATACCTCCCACTGTGCCTGCGACTGCACACACAGCTCAGACAATTTCAGAGTAAAAAAAAGGCCCATATAAAAAACTCAACACATAAATAAATAAAACACCTTTGGACAGTCTAGTCCAAACACTGAGTCCTGCACTGAGTGTTAAATGGTCACTGTCTTATAATGCATGCCTTAAATATGTAATTAGTGGGAGTGAAAGACAATTTCTGGAGACCACAGCGGCACGTTTTTTGCATTTTGTAAACCACAGTGCTCAACAAGTATGTGCTTAAAGAGGCCATCAATCTCAACAGCTTTTCTTGACAAGCTTCACAATAATCAGGATGATTGGACAATAACTCCTTGTCATGGGATGATGAAAGGTTTGCTGTGTTGGTGTAACTTGAGTCTAACATCAATGAAAATTGTATGTTACTTTGCCTTATATCTGTGTCTGAAGATAACAGGAGTTATTTAGATTGTTTACTAATTCTAATGAGGATGCTGAGCTGCACCTTTAAAACTTAAAGGTAGGGTAGGTAAGTTTGAGAAACCGGCTCGAGATACACTTTTTGTTATATTCCATGGAATGCTCTTAACATCCCGATAGCAATGAATATCTTAAGTGCTTTGACAAAAAATCCATAAAAAAATGTCATCTGTGGAAGCCGTAGTACTGTAAAAAGCACGACCAATCATTTTAGCCGGCCCGGCTAAAATAACTGGATGGCCTACCTGCCTGTCAGCCTTCCATCTGTGCACAAACTTATCTCGTGCCCTCATTGGTCATGTGCGCGTTCGTGTGTGTTGGAGGAGGGGCTCTGTAAGGAAGTGGCAGATTTTCTCCGGTTGTGTATTTTCAAATTCTAGCGATCTCGAGCCGGTTTCTCAAACTTACCTACCCTACCTTTAAGAAAAGTATTTGATGTTGCTGTAACTTTAGCTTTTTCAACTTTAATAAAACCAAAAATGCCAAAGAGAAATGTTATGTACATAATAATAATAATAACAACATAATACAAAATGTTGGTCACCTCAGCGGCCCAGGTCCTCTCCAGCTCTCTCTGGGTGTCGGCCTGTTTGTAATACAGGGTGAGGGTCTCTCTGCAGGTGGGTGACGGTGATCGCAGGCTCGCACAGTCCCGCACTGAGAACCGCAGGGTGACAAACACCCGTGGAGCCGAGTGGCGGGACAGGAACGGCGTGGCCAACCAGTTGTCTTGCACACGGGGATTTTGGTTGACATTACAGACCTCGAATGTTCGTATGAGCTTCCCCCGGTCGTCCAGGACACTCACTTCATCCCACTGAGAGGCACAGAAACAATATTATGAGCTTGTGTAAACTCTACTTTGTAAAACAGAAACATGATGTTAGGCAGGGAGAGCTAGAATCAGCCTGTGTGAACTGTAAAAACCCTGGTGTGTTTATAGGGTGTCCATTGGTATGAATCTTCCTTATCTCTTGTTTACATGCTACAAGGTAAATATTGCTGGTGTTGCTAACATGTGGGACCTGTCCTTGCACCCACATTACCAGCTGTTGTTTGACATCTTAGTGCTTAGTTAGATAAGTATAATAGAGTATTTGATTTGTTTTGATGTAACACGCACATTGGTATTGAATATACGAGTGAAACGCTGTTCTTTAGGGAATGTAGGTCACCCCTATGTCCTAGTTATCCACTATAGACTTTCCACTGTCTATTTAGGTAATCAATTATTATGAACCCTGTAGTTAATTATACCACTTGAGTAATTCACTTGGAGCAAAACACGTTTAACACACAGACAAAACTCATTTCAGTCAGAAAAAGTCCTACGCATATAGGGACCGATGGGACGCATATTCTAGAGAGCATTCATTTCTGTCTTAAATGCCACTAATAATTTAGTAGATACTTAATTGGATAAGTGAAAATTGTCTCTATTTAATTTGATGGAAATTCATCCAATATTTGTTGAGACACTACAGCTGGGTCTGAGACTAACAGATGGACGTTTTCATCTTCAGAGCTGAACACATTTCAGCATCAAAGAGTCCTTCAGAAAATGCGTCCTGATGACTCCAGATAATACTCAGAACGCCATGTTGACACATTTCAAAAAGACTATTTCTTCATGACAAGGGCACAAGATAAAAACAGTTCACAATGCATTCTGTTTGTTATCCGGAGTAACAAGGACACTCCTGAAAAGACATGTTGGTATTGAATTATCTTTAAAGGGTTTTTCTACAGCTTTGAACACTACAAACACAATGAAAATCACCTCCTTTATATTGGGAAGGACGCGGACATATCAGAGACACTTATTTCAAATTCTTCCAACAAGTAAAATGAAAACTGTTTGCACGGCCAGACCCTAGATGTGCGAGGAAGTGGCATTTTCCAATATGTTAGAGAAGAAGAATAATGTATTATAATATCAATAGTTCTGTTTGATAATGTGACATGTGGTACATTTTTCTCTTGCACTGGTTTGGCATTTGCATGTGTATCATTGTTCACATTTGACAGGTGGCGGACACTTGTGTGTCTCACTTGCGGCAGCTGTTGTGAAATAAAACGGGCAGATTTTGTCGTATTTTAGGGAATCTGAATACTTGAAGATGCACAAATGGCTTTGTTTTGTGGCTTCATGGTGTGAAAAAAAAAAACAGGCAGTGCAGAGACACGGATCTGAATGAAACTGTGTCAGCTGAGTCAAAAATGTAAATGTAGGAGAGGGGTTTAGTTTCACCAATTATACAGTACGGTGCATCCAAGGATAAAAAGGCTCTGCTTTAAGCCTGTGTAGCCCTAAGTGACAAGCAGGGCCTTTTCTGTTGTAACACAGAGGAATTATGCATTAGGCTTCATCATCATTATTCTCCATGTAACAATGGCAGGAGGACAAAAGGTCCTGAAACCATATCAGGGCGCATTTGGCGTGTGTGTGTGTTTCTGTTTCTATGCATGTTAGTACATCTCTGCATGCTCATGTCTCTTTCTCTGTGTGCTTCTGACAGCCAGTATATGGACAAAACCTTTGTAGCGTCCCACACGACAGAGAGCATTCATATTTTGTCCAATCGGAATAATGATAAGATCAGTGGGCAGATAGATAGAGTCTGAGGCGCTGTCAGTCTCATGGAGGGAAAGGCCAGTTTACTCTCTCCAGGGCTGTGACTCACTCTTTGTCAGACATGGGGATGAGGGGGATCGTATGGAGGGGAAAACACAGAGCACATGGTGAGATGAAGGGATGCAGACGGGCAGAGCATAGTAAACAGAGAGTGAATTTGTGTCAGGGGGCTTCATTTAATGTCATGTATTCACTGTACCAAGTTCTTTTGTTTCTTTTGTATTTTTGTATTTGGGGTAAATACTTGTAAAAATTCTTTTTTTTTTATTATGTTAAATCGTTTTTTTCTTTTATATTTCTTTCTGTCCGTCACCTACAATATATTTCCTTATGTTGTTTATGGTTGCATTACCATACACCAAAGCAAATTCCTTGTACGTGTTAACGAACCTGTCAATAAACTCAGTTCTGATTTAACGAAAAAGCCGGGACTTGGCAAAAATCGGAGAATTCAGGTAGAACATCTGCCAGTATCTGTGTGGGGCGGTGCGTGCAGTTTGCTACTGTACCTTTGTGAAAAAACACAGCTTTCATTTGTTTTCTGACCTCAACCACCTCCCCCCCCCCCCCCCTCCTCCTCCCCCACCTCTCCCTCCCTATTGCTCCCAGTCACATTTTCTCCCTCCCTTATGAAGAAAGAAAAAAAACGGGGCAGATTGAGGAGGAGGGGTGGATGTGGCGTTGGAAAGAAATGAGAAAAAAAGTAGGGACGATTCATCCCCGTGATTTGATTTGAACTGAAATGCCAGAAAGCCACGCAATCTCTCCAGTGACAGAGCACTGGGAGGGGTAAGGCCTTGGACACACACACACACACCCACCCACACACACACTAACCCGTAGAAGCAGAGAAAGGCACGCACAGATAGACCAAGACATATGCATGTGCACACAAACACAAAGCAAACACACAATGGAGGAGTAGTGTGTGAAAAGAAGGGTAGGGAGAAAAAGACTACCGTAAGAAGTCTATAGTCTGCTGGTTTGACACTGAAGGGAAATAAGGGGCAAAGTGGAGATTGAGTTGGGGGGATAAAAGGAAGTATATGAAGCAGAGACCCAGTGGCTCTGGGACTGTGAAGGGCAAAGGAAGGAAAGATTAAAAGAGGGAGAGAGAGAGGCAGAGACAAAGAGGGAGAGGGGGCTGCCTGTCGGTACATTAAAAGAATGGGAAGACGGCAAGAAGCAGGAGGAGGAGAGTGCAGAAAAGAATATCCACAGAGCCTCAAGCAACGGGAAAAGATGGGATGTGAAGAGAAAAGTGAGGAATGGGTTAAAAAAAGAACACACACACACACTCACTCATGCACTCACACACACACAGTTAACCTCCCTCTTTCTCTCCCCCCTCTCTTGGTCTGTCTTTTTACTTCTCTCAGCTTGATGCCCCGGGTCAAATAACCATATCTCCATCTCAGAAGCACTTCTCAGGGACCATAAAGCAAAAAAAACTCATGCAAATCCTTGACTTACGAACACGCACACACACACGACAAACGCACGCACACACACACAAACTCCCTGACACACACAAAAATGGATGGCCTCTTATTAGCAGCTGCCATCATGGTTCACAAATTCCTAACACACATGAGGCCCTAATTAGGGAAACATCATGTACAATTATGGAGGCCAGACTGGGGTGATAATAGCAGCGTATAAAGCTAAACTTTAGTGTAAGGTGAGATAAAAGGCTCGTTGTGAGTGTCTATGCTCGCTCGCCAGATGTTGGTTTGAGACTGCTGTATTTTTAGGTTGTTCTTTGTGAGCTGCCAACATTATATTCTTGCTCACTTGTTTGCCAAAACTAGCATGTATAAATGTAGCGTTAAGATCTCCTGACTTGTTTTCATTTCATTCACTGTATAGTACTCTTATTCTAAATATCAGTTTGCACATAACGTCCATACACGGATGGAGGCTTGGAATAATATTGTTGTGAACCGGTAGAATATTTCTGCAAAGGAATTTCCTGCACATTAGCAAGTAGTGCTCTGCAGTTTCTCACATGTAGTTTCACTGATTATCTCAAAGATGATGACAATGAAGACGATGTGTGTGTGTAATTATGAGCCATATTAGAACTGAGCCCCAATCACTCACAGATGAGTGGATTTAACTGACCCGGGACTTGACCCTGGCACAGTCACGCAAGCCCACATGCACTCACACATGGAAACCCCACACACACCTGCACATATTTACAAAGCTCAAGGCGGCGAGACAACCTTAAATAAAAAGCAGCTCAAGAATAGTGGATCTAGGGCTTAATCACTGCAATCTCATCACAGATGAAAGCACACAGTGGAGACCCAAAAAAGAAGAAGCAGTTTAGACTTCAAGGGTGTCTTGAAGGCAAGGTGGGACTTTCTCATTCTCAGGCTGTGTGTGCCAGAAGCTGTTTGTGCCACAGATCAATGTCAGATGCCATAAATCCAGCAAGATTATAACCCCCGAACATAGGGCATAACTAAACACTTATGTCTTTATTCATCATCTTCAAGCTGGGAACTGTCTGCAAACGTTCCTTATCTGCAGCACAAATAGCAGAGAAGCTTTATTGGGAACCTGCTGTTTATTCCTGCTGTGATTTTGAATCATTTCAATCAATGCAAGCTTAGAAAATGTGCCAGCAAGCAAGAGGCAGACTACAGCGATCGTGTTTGGTTTGACATGTGAATGCCTGTACTCTATTTTAGGACTTTAGGACATGTGGGAGCAGGAGCAACATATCTACTCAGTACAGAGATCTGTTGGCAGGGTAAAGGGTTTTTTGTTTCTTTACAATAAACACACAATAAACAGTATGTGTAATCCTATTTTCCAACTAATTGAAAACAAGAACTTTAACCATTGTACATAACAAAATATTTTCTTAACAAATCTTATACAAAACCTCATCACTAAACAGGTAAATTAATCGTTTTAAAATAAAGATCTCAAACATTTGATGGTTCCTGCTTCTTACATTTAACAGTGTATGTTTTCCTGTATTTTGAACTTAACATTAATGGGTTTTGGACTGTTAGTAGGATTATCTGTCTATTTTCTGACAAATTAATTGATACAAAAATAACCAGCAGATTATGTCTTCCTTACCATCCTCTCAGGACAGTAACCGTTAAACTTTGTGATGTATTGAAGTGTTAATCCCTCGTTAGACTTCCACCACAAAGCCCAAAAAACAACGTGGTTATAACCTCACATTTAGAGCGTAACCATGTGTAACATGTGTGCACCACATTTGATTGCCCCCCCCCCCAACATAACTGCAGCTGGAAAGCACATTGAGAGAGTGAGCTCCCTGCTTACCCCCGTGTCTGGATAGGTGGTCCAGCCCAGCTCTGAGGTAGACTCTGTTGTGTCCAGCAGCATCACTGACAGGTGAGGAAGCAGAGACAAAGACAAGGTGTGAGAAAACAGACCAACAATGTGTGTCACAGCTGCCTGCAAAGGTGTGAGTTTCTCAGATTAGTGTTTTAATAGTATGGTTTAGGGAAATTGCTTGGGAAGTGGTGAGCATACATGAGACTTGGATTACACTGCATGAGTTGGCTAGAGTTTGTACACAGATTTGTTGCTAAGCCTTTGCTGTTGGTAAAAAGTGGCTTTTATCACAAATCCAAGGTCACATGGAGTGAGTAATTGATATACAAATGTTCGTTTTGGGGGTGAACAGACCGAGTGTTAAAAAATAAGTGACTGTGAAACAGAATTTGCAATCATTAGATATTCTCTCAAGGCTTGAATCACAGACTGTGTGATGATTCTGTGATGCCATCAAGAGCTAAAACATTAATGTGCTCAAGTGATGCTCAAGTTGAGACAAACTTTGTGAAGTATTTTGTAAGGGGGGGAGGGGAGGAGCATTACAATCAAAAAGTCTCTTTTTAAATATATCACAAACAGTTTGAAGGGTTAGGTTTTTTCTCCCCCGTGCAATAAAATCAGGAGGGTGCTCCAACTGTGTGCTTCCGTCACATCTAATAAGTGATTCTGAGGGATGATGCACTTTGGCACAATGTTCTGATGTTTAAAGAGTTGAACGGATTGACCTGATGGGTCACCATGATTAAAGGTCAGATTTTCCAACTTTAAAAGGCCATAACAGTTACTGTCACATTTTATAAAAACTTAGCAAGCTGATGCTTCTTAGTAGTTTGGCCCAAAGGGAACCAAGTGATGTGTTCACCGTTTGTTTTCCTATTGTTTCAGGTTTAACAGACAGTTGTTTATTTTTCAGTGATGGAGAATGAAAGCACCACATTTCTGTCGGAGAGTATTTTCCCCATAATTTGCTTTAAGATTTAAGTGCTGTAAAACAGCAAGCTGGCAAAGAAATCACACACACAGAGTGACTTTAATGCTGAGTGCTGCGTGCTGACACATGGCAGCCACCCACACGAAACTGAAGCCCTTGAATTTCCCATTAGTATTTCAAAACCGTGGTGGCTGCCGTTCCTTCAGTCTGGCGCTCAGTAATGTTGACGAGCCGCCGATTGAATGCATGCCAAACATTTTCTGTGTACACAGAGGTGGAGGAAACATCAGACTTCAGGTTTGGATGCTCACACAGATGAAATTAATGGAGATAAACACAGTGTCTGATGTCTGTTGAGACACACACACATGCACACACACACTCCATTGTGACAGGAAGCATCCATCCGCCTCTGTTTACAGATACATTATTATTTTCATTGTCATCATACAATTTGAATGCTTTTGTTTCCATTTTAAGCCACACAATCGTTCATCAGAGAGAAGAAGAATCTCTTATTCTTTCTCTGACAAGCAGACAAAGAGAGACACAAATATATGATCTACATAATCATCACACACACAGGAGGGGATTTGAAACAGTCCCCTGTTTCACCAAAACACCCGTGACTTTTTTATGTCTTAGGCGAACAGGTTTTTCGACACACAGACACGGACAAACTAAATCTCTCTGTTTTTCTAATAAATCCAACGGATATCATTTGTAGCCTATGACATAAATTCTCCCCCACCCCTCTGTTCTCTGACTGTGCCGTAAACAGATTTTATTTTAGGATTATACTCACAGATGGAGACCCTGCAAATCTGTCCTTCAATCCTTCATTTCCATCCTCTTTTTTTCCTTTTACAAGCACTCCCCCCCCCCCCCCCCTTCCACTCCAGTCTGTTTTCACCCACTAGCTTGTCCATTGTCAATCTTCATAAATTCACACATTTTTCATCTAAATCCTCCAGGACTTTGGAGTGCTATAATTTGTGTTGAGAAAATAATACAAATGGACTGTGGCAGCTACGGATTATCTGCGGCCGTAAGCATCAGAATAAATAGTTTTTAGTGCAGCGTATGTCTGGACAGCTTGGCGGCTGGAATTGCAGAGCCGATCAGGATGAATCAGCAACAGGGAGAAGAGTAAATCCACCAAGACATGATGTCTATAGCCTTTCAGAAGAACAGTTATTTCCATTAGTGGCACACACCTTTCCTGCTTTGTCTGAGGACATTTCTGTAGCAGAATATTATACTCAGTTGAAGTTTAATAGTTACACCTAGCTAAATCTAATGAAGTCTAATACAACACTCGACCAATACATTTTAATGAAGGTTATAATGTAAGAGAGGTGGTGATTCAACTATAGGAAATATGTACTTTGTACTGCATCATAAAGAAAGGAGTTTCTCTAACCAAACCTCATTAATATAAATAGGGTGGACAATATCATATAAACACCTGTCAGCATGTGCAATGACATGGAAATGGCATATTGACTCACTTTTCAAGATCTCTGTCTTATGTCGTAAATCCTTCTCCATTTATCAAATAAGAAATGATCTCTATGTATGAACATGTCATGTATGAAATGCACGCACTCATATATCATGCATTGTGACCTCATTAAGCAACATCCTATTTATATCAGATAAGAAAGAAAACACACACACACACACACACACACACACACACACACACACACACACACACACACACACACACACACACACACACACACACACACACACACACACACACACACACACACACACACACACACACACACACACACACACACACACACACACACACACACACACACACACACACACACACACACACACACACACACACACACACACACACAGTAATGATACGGCATACAGTACGTGTCATTCCAAATTCAATTAACCCTCAGCTTCGGGGCAGAGTCATGCATAAATAATATACAGCAAACTATTTTGACATTAATATTTAAGCCTCTACTATTTAGCATCTTGTTGTGAGGCCTTGGGGACCCCGGTTCCTCACGTTGCCCCTGTTGGAGGAATGTTCTGATGCGCGTCTCATTGCGTGACATTAGTAGGTTGAATAATTCACCTAGACATCCTAAGATAAGCGTTAGAGTGCCGTGTTACACACACCTTTCAAGGATTAGCTTGAGCCGTGCCATCATGACCAGATTGTGTGTGTGTGTGTGTGTGTGTGTGTGTGTGTGTGTGTGTGTGTGTGTGTGTGTGTGTGTGTGTGTGTGTGTGTGCGAGAAACAGTTGAACAAAAGATGGAGGGGCATTTCCTGGCAGGTCCGCTTGGCAGTAAAAGCTCCTTTATTTAACTCTCGCTCCGACAACAACTGCGCTCCAGCATCTCTGTCATTGGTCCATCTGAGGACCGAGACACTCAAAGTTTGTCCCTGACAGTTTGGAGAAGTGCTGAGTCTGCAATCTGGACTTGAGTGCCGTGTTAATGCACGCCATGTTTCACGTCTTCATACTCTCCGGTCTTTTACTCACTTTACTCAATACCTTTCCCCTTTTTCTACCTCCATCTTGTCGCTTGTCCCTTTCATCTCTGCCCTTTCTGCATGTGTGTATTATTCATCTAAAAAGTGACAACAGGGAAGGCCTTTCTCTACGTTAAATAAAGGAGATACGCTGTGCTCCATTATTGATGCCAGATCTGCTGTTTGTTTGGGAAACGCTTTGATACAGAGAGAGAAAAAGAGTGGACAATAGAATAAAAAAAAGGAGTATGAGATAGGAATGAGAAGAGGGTGATAGGATTGTGTTTGTGCATATGAATGTGCTACTTTCACACGTTCTCCCTCTCTCTCTGTGTGAGGCGTGGGTGTAAATGCTCTCTTCCATTGTGCAGCAGCGACCTGCATTAGTTCACGACTGTCCCCTCTCCGCTGCTGGAGTGTTCACTTCAGCTGAGTGACCCTCTCTCCATCCATCTCTCTTTGCCCAACACTTTGCCTCTCTGTGTGGCCATGCATGCAGCGACACTCTCCAACGCAAAGTGTAGCGCTGTTGCTCGTATCACGCCTCTTTGACGACGGCTGTATGCTACATTACTGCACACTTTCTAGGCAAAAGAGCCTCACTGACACCCAGCAAAAAATGTCTGTGTTAATATTAACGCAGGCCAGAGAGGTGTGAGAGTGTAATATGCCTTAACATGAAAGTAAAGACTATACAGAGTCACTGATCTCACGGGTAACAGCGGGTAACAGGAACACACACACAAAAAATTCCCACAGTGCAGGAAAGCGTTCTCAGCAGTAGTCAGGTCATGTTTTGTCTTTTGTCCACTTATCCACCCATCTCCACCCATCTCCACCCATTCTTTATATTCTCCAGATGCTCCTACTCACAGACAGTCAGTGGAGGACAGGGCCCACACCAAACCATCATTACAAACAACCACAGCGAGAGAGTGATCCGCCAAGACAGGGAGGCAGCAGGAGGGTGGAGGAGTGAGGAGAGAGGGGGATTAACGCTATTCCAGAAATAAGCATGCACATGTCAAAGGGAGTTATCAAAAATTCTCTGGTGGTTAAGCTGAATGAAAGTGCAGCTGCAACAAACAGCACTTAAGCTAGGTTAGATGACAGAGCAACGTCTGCAATGAGTCGCACAAACAAGCAGCAACAGGCACAGGTAGGAGGACGATTCACTAAAACTGAATCTCCTTTTGATTACAAGACTTTTGCAAAATAACATCATTATGTTAACCATCTGGGGGGGTGGTTCTGGGGAACTGCATCTTAAAGAAATAATTGAATATTTGGGAAATATCTCTTTGCTATGAGATACAGCCGGGTTAATAAAACAACAAGTTTGTATGACGTGTTTTCTGACCTTGCTTTTACAAACGCCTACCCCAGAAGGCAGAGTAAAAGGTCCTAGAGAGCGATGCAACATTGTTTAAATAAACATTCAACCCACATTTTCAGACAGACTCTCTTTGACACTTGGTTGTACTCACAAGAAGTGACATTTTGTGGCATAATAACACATTTAAAAAAGAGCTTAAAAGAAAAGAATAGTTCGGACTCATTTTAGGAGGACACCACTCATGTCGGTGAAATATGAAGCGAACAT